CTGGCACAAGATGATTACCATATAATGGACAGACCAGAGCAAGTTATTATCCTTCGCCTTAGAACAGGGCACAATAGACTTCGCTCCCACATGTACAACAAATTTAAGATTGGCCAATCGGCCATGTGTACTTGTGGACTGGCACCTGAAACAACAGATCACATCCTTCAAGACTGTCCCATATTCAACGCTTTCAGGCAAAACATTTGGCCAAAAGAGACACTTGTGGAAGTCAAACTTTACGGGCCGCTTAGTGAATTACAAAAGACAGTGAAATTCATACAAGAGACGGCTTTGCAGATATAGACAATTTATTTCATGCGAACGAAAGAAGAAGAAGAAGAAGGATGTGAATATACACAAATACCAACATCATATAGCATAGGCTTAAGGAAGAGACATAAGCCTTGACTGAGTGTCTGTCAATTACTGCCTGTATATACCACTTTTGCAGGGTAGGCAGGAAAGTCTTTCAGCCTATGAATTTAAGGCCAGATGGCTAGTGCTGTCGCCACGACTGTGTAGGTGAGAATTTTATTTTGCCCCTAACCAGAAAAAAAACTCCCTAGCCTTACCGAGGATCGAACACGGGTCTCCTGCATGACAGCCCAGTGTTCTAACCATTCGGCCAGTCACTCCTCGACTGAGCATCACTGGAAGAATCATGAATACACACACTAATTATGCTGAGTTTTTACATTAAAGACAGCCTAAGTTACTGGATCTTGTGAGCAACCTTAAGGAATACAGCAGTAGACAAACTGCAGAATCTGGATATAAAGATGGTTTATCATCATCATGTACTAAATCATCTACAAATGTCACTCCTATCATCTTCTTCTTCTCATTTACCAGCTGTAAACTTCAGCGCAAAGTTCTGGGCTTTGAATCTTGTCCCCCGTGTTGGTTCCGGGGCCCCATTGTGGGGAAAACAAGAATAGACCCACTGCCTCCCCAAAAGCATGTCGTAAGAGTCGACTAATTGGGGAGCTTCCTTTGAAGTCGGAGTGCATCTGCCGGAGAGGCAAGGAACCAACAGTCTGTATTCAAGAGAATGAGATCTGTAAAACTGATACACACGCAACACTCAGGTTCTGGAGCAGGACTGCAGTTCAGTAGTGGACGAGCAACCAGAACTTTCCACCAGAGTGTACAGCTGGTGAACGCGAAGAAGAAGAAGAAAGAAGAAGAAGAAGAAGAATCTTGTTCCAGGACTTGAGTTCTGCGTGTACATGTTTTTCTCTCCAGATCTGTCTTATATGTACGCAGACTACAGGTTCCCTTCCTCTTAGGCAGATGCACTCCGAAGGAATCCTCTAAATAGTCGACTCTTACAACATGCTTCTTAGAGTGGCAATGAGTCTAAAAAAAAAATGTTGGTGGGGGACCCAACAACCCACATGGGGTATTGTGTACAATGAGATGTTGGTTACTTGTGGTATACTGTTAATCTCTTACACTGTCAACACAGTTCTTGTTTCCCAGGATCAGGTTCAAAGCCTAGCAGAAGCAGATTTTTTTAAAACCAGTGCAATCAATCAATCAGTTTATCCCCTCCTGGCTGCCACTAAAAGGTTTACCATACTTTCCTTTAGGTGCAATCAATCAATCAGTTTATCCCCTCCTGGCTGCCACTAAAAGGTTTACCATACTTTCCTTTAAGTGCAATCAATCAATCAGTTTATCCCCTCCTGGCTGCCACTAAAAGGTTTACCATACTTTAATTTAGGTACAATCAATCAATCAGTTTATCCCCTCCTGGTTGCCACTAAAAGGTTTACCATACTTTCCTTTAGGTGCAATCAATCAATCAGTTTATCCCCTCCTGGCTGTCACTAAAAGGTTTACCATACTTTCCTTTAGGTGCAATCAATCAAATAGTTTATCCCCTCCTGGTTGCCACTAAAAGGTTTTACCACACTGTCCTATAAATCGCAGAATTTGGCAAAGATAGACTGGAGACAATAAAAACAAAATACAAAAGACACATAACAAAAAGATGTTTATATTAGTTTACTGATGACATTTGGTCAAAATTGATCAGACGATGTTCAACATTCAACATATTCTTCCAAACTGAAAACAAATTTGCGTAACTTGCTGTCAGGAAAAAAAAAGGACAGTAACCCTAGCCAGTTGATGCTGGTCAGCCCAACCACAGTGGCCGAGACTAGCACTGGCAAGGACGAACATGTTCACAATATCATACTATGATTACGTTCTGCATACGTTTTGTCTGTCTTACACAAAAAATATGTCCTAATTGTGAAATTAATTAGCGTTTTCTTCTGTGTGGTTTTCATGGCCCTATTTTGGCAGTTTAAAAAAATTACAAAAAAAACAACATTGACCTACTGCCCCCTCAACAAGCATGCAGTAAAAGGCAAGAGTTCTGTTGAAATCAGACATGTTGGGCGAAAATGTGCAGATATTACAGCCTAGCTGTCAACCACAAACCACAATACAACATGCCAAGAAAAAAATTAGTAGGTTTTAAGTGCTCTTACTTTTTTTGGGCAATGCAAGAGCTGCCTGAAAAATACATGGCCTAGCATGTTTTTTCTGACTGACTGCTTCTTCACTTGATCCAACCATTTGTTCTTTCTGTTTATGGTGTTACTCAGCAAATAACAATTACCAACACTTATAGGATGTGGCTTGTTAGAGATTCTTGATTATTTCCCTGTGTGTTCTGGGGCTTTATTTGGAAAAGGGGTGGGGGGGGGGGGGGGGGGGGTGGGAAGAGGAAAGAGTACCCCTTTCCCTCCACAAGCATGTTGCAACAGGTGACTAATTAGGGCTTTGCTGAAATCAGATGTTGCAATGGGGGATATTTTCACCCAGATTAGGATGGTTGGGGGGGAAGGCCCAAAGCTGACCTAAAACACCAAGATAGTCCAGATACTCGGATTCAACGAGAATCTGGAGATAGGTGAAGACCACTAGTTATCACGGGTATCACGATGATGCGACCCAAGGTTGCCACGTGAAAAGTAAAGGACCACCACGTGTTGTCACGTGAAACTAACCCGTGGTATAAGTCAGACTTGACTCTGGTCAAGTTTAGTTTGTGTCGACCTGTTGGAGTGAGAGGACGTACGACTGAAAGTGAGAATGCCAACGTGAGAGTGCTTGTGGAGAAAGGAGACCCTGCCGACGAAGTGTGAAGCCGAGATCGACCATGCCAGTGTGTGAGATGGCCAGAACCTCAACGTGAATCCATGGGAGCCGACTTTGGTCAGTGAATGCTTGAAGAAGACTGCTCACTGAAGGCTGCATGAAGTTGTGTGCGAGAGCTGTTTACTAGGACACCGACAGGACATTCCTGTATGTAAGTGTAAATACGTCAATAAACTCATGCCTCGTAAGCTCTCATCGGTGTCGGCTTGTGCCAGTTGTGTAATTTTGAGCGTGTGAGAAGGACATCCACCACACACGCATGAACACTGCCTAGACAACGAGAAGAAACATACACCACTTATTGCAGATGTCCTGGTGGCAGAGCACTTATGGTTTATAACTGTGTGGGCTAAAGGTACAAATATCACAGTCTAGCTGTAAACCATAACACAACATGCTAACAATAGGGCCCCCAGAACCCACATGGGGTACTGTGTACAATGAGATGTTGATTGCCTCTGATATACTGTTAATCTCTTATCCTGTCCACACAGTTTGTGGTCAACTGTTTTGGGAGGTAGTTCTTGTTTCCCAGCTCCAGGTTCAAACCCTAGCAGAGGCCGACTTTTTCTTTTTTTTTTAAACCAGTGGGCCGCATTAGCTCAGTCGATAAAAGGCTGGCTTTCAAATCCAGCTGTGACTCTCTGCAGCCCATGGTCGGTGTTTGAAACACCGGGGCTCCTGGGGTTCACCCAGCCTCTAGGAAATGGGTACCAGAGTTGACACTCTGGGGTAAATGGAGGAACGTCACTGTAGCTACAGAGTTATGTGCAAACGGCAACACAGGCGAACAATTATTATCAGCTGTCCGTACTGGTGGCAGAGCACTTATGGTTTATAACCGTGTGCAATGACGCTGGTTCACTTCTCCCGACTTTTAACTTCTTTTTTTTAAACCAGTGCAATCAATCTTTAAAGAGTGAATGAAAAGACATTGATTATCAGCTACAAAATCTTGTTGAAACGAGTGGGTTCCAGGGACTCATTGTGGAGGGGGAAAAGAAAAAGAATAGACATGATGACCCCTAACAAGCAGGTTGTAAGAGTCAACTTATTAGGATTTTGCTGAGATTGGATGTATTTAGCTTAATGGGTCAAACATCACAGCCTAGCTGTAAGCTACAACATAACATGCTAACTGCCCTTTTAAGGGTGGATGCAGAAGAAGAAGAAGAAGACCTGTAACAATTACACCAGCAAGACGTCACCTGCGGTCCTGTGTAGGCAAGGGTTTTAACATACCCGTGTGGTTCTGGGGTCTTTAAGTGTGTGTCTGTGTGTGTGTCTGTGCCGTCTCCACAAAGAAAGTTGGTGACAGTGTACCCACTGCCATCTTGCCAATACTACAATCTCTCCTACGTTGTGACTGTCGTACCATCATTCAGAAGCCACCACAAGTTTCTAAACCAATGAATACACAAACTATCTGCCATGGTAATCAAACCCAGCACTCGTTCACTAAATCAGTAACAGATAATTTTCAGGAACAAAAAGTGACAAGAATGGAATTAGCCAGCCCATGCTGAATTTCATAACCCAGAATATGTCAGGGGCGAACATTTCACACAGCATCTGATATGGGATCATATTTACCTTGTTATGCAACCATACCACTATCTTTCTACAAGAGAAATGTCTGAACATATTCTGATAACATTTCTCCCACGACAGCAGAAAGTAAGCACTCATTCTCTCATATTTCTGGACAAAATCATTAAACACAGTCACCTATTAAGGAAACAAGTCTCAAAGAGAATCCCACAACCTAATATATGTAACCAGCTGAATGTTAAATACCACATTTAAATATAGAGTGGCAACTATCTTAATCCTTTCTTTGCTGCTTGATGTATATGTGGATCTAGTTTGTCTGTGGATACATAACACATATTAGATTAGACAGTTATTATTTGTTATTTATCAGTTCATTGAATTCATCAAGGAGCAACAGGTTAGATAGTTTGACCATAAGACAAGAACTGCTTCAGAGAGCCACGCTGAAGAAATATAATGAACTCAGAGCAAGCAGAAGACCGTGCAAAATATGAAATGACAGAATCATGAAGAGTCTTAGAGAAACAAAGATCAACTTGATACGAAGCATTAGAACGAGCACACAGTAGATTCTTACATCTCCTCCACAAATTAGATAACTAGAGGGAGAAATGAAGAAGATAAGAAGTAACAGAAAATGAAGAACAGGAAAAAGAAGAAGAAGAAGAAAAAAATGAAGATAAGTTCTAATTTTATGACTCCTTTAGTTTGTCTTTTCCTTGCTACTAGCGGCTTGATGTTCATTGCCTGTAACCCATGATATTATCTACTGCTATTCTCATACCTTGTTCTCCCATCAAAAGTGCTGATAAGCGCATGATAATTTCTCCTAGACGAAGCTATCTGCATTTTATTGTTCACCCAGTGACAATGACCAATTATTAATCCACTGAAGGCTGAGTGAAAGTTACAAGGATACGGATGGCTGATACGACCAATTTTGGTATGGAGAATTATTACATAAGAAATTATTTGTACACTGAAGTAGACAATAATGAGGAAGAGTTACGTGATTCGTAACTTCACCCCCTTGCTGGAATCAATACAATATCCACACGTCAACATCTGGAGATGAGCACAGGTGCAGTGGATGTGTAAAATATCTTTACTACTTTGATATGTTTAAGGCTCCCCACAAAGCATGCTAGTACTCATCCTTCTATCCCCAAACCATCAGGTGTATCTGCACAATCTGCTGAATATAGGCCTTTACACGCTGGGCAGACATGTTTAAACTCATCGACTGGTTTTGTCCAGGCTGGCTACCCTGCTTTAATTCAATCTGCTTGTCAAAGCTGTTTCTGGGAGGTGGCCGCTACTGCATACTGATAGCACAGAGGAGAGAGAGTTCTGGGTATCAGGCCAAATGACTGCCAGTGTGAGTTCTATTACCCAATGGGTGAAGGGTGGGAGGTAAACCTCAGTTCCCCTAACAAGAATGCTGTAATCGGACATGTTGAGTCAAAAGGCACAAATACTGCAGCAGTCTTATTGTAAACCACAAAACGTTTGGACTCCACAATGACAACATCCAAACAATGTTAATATATCTACAATTTCTCAATGTTAAGAAGAAGCAAAATAACTAAACTAATTATTAACAATCAATATCTGAAATACTTGAGGAGAAGATTCGGGGCAAGAGAAAAAGAGAATCTCCTAGGAAAAACCACACCACACAGACATGCAAGGACATTGGGGGACAGGCTTTTGGCAAGTTGAAAAGAGCTGACCTCAGAGATGTGGTTTTACAGAAGAATGCCTACAATTCATCAGACAACCAAGATTAGTAATCCAATGTTTTGGAAGAGGCGAAGACCTTAATACAACTTATTGTAAACATCAGAAAGATCAGTCATAATTGTTGGGTCACTTTAAAAGAAAAAAAGAAAAAAAAAAAAAAAGAAAATGTGACAACTGGAAAGTTTATGGAAAGAGAGAAAGGAAGACAACATAAGAAGATTCTTCACAGCCTTTGGCCATGATATGGAAGGATACCAACACTAAAACTGATACACACTGTTAAAGATTATATTTTTAGAGAGAAGTTATAAAAAAAAAAGTAAAGTTCCCTTTTCACGCCTTTCGGCGCATCGGGCATATGGGCAGAGCGTCCCATATTTTTACAGACCATCAGCACTCTGTGGGTAATGTGGTCAGCATTACGCCGGCTGTCTTTACTTTCCCAGGACAGCCCATTCTGGTACCCATTTTAAGGCTGGGTCGACCTGCGACGTCCCATACCACGATAAAAATCCACGCAGCCCACGCAGGTTTCGATCGCGGTATGCTGGCTTACAAGTCGGACTCGCAACGCCTTAGCCACGGACGCCGCAGAGAAGTTATAGAGAGGCATAATTTCTCACGACAGTCAGCAAGGCACTTGGTGAAGAGACCTGCCGAGAATATGAGATTCTTCTTCTTAAGTGATCTCTGGTCATGCACATAATCCAGTGTGGGCCATAAACTGGGATGTCATCTCAAGGTCTCTTAGGTTTCCCCAAAGCTTAGTTGTCAGGTCTACTGGGCTAAGCCACATGCTGTTCCGCAGCTCTGCCAAGAGAGGACAGTCATGCAAGACATGTTCTGAAGTCTGTTCGGCATAAAGACACTGGCAGAGAGCTGTTTGGCTCATACTTAATTTATATGAGTTTTTGTTGAGTCTGCAGTCTCCAGTGCGTAAGCAAAAAACCATGACTTGGTCTATACAGGTGTTTGAGGAAAACTTTTTCATGGTTATAACCTGTGTTGGTTTTCCAGTCTGATTCTGATTTTCTCTTAATGAGGGTTTTGACTTGACGAAAAGATAGTAGCTGGAAGATTTGTAGTTTGCTGCTGCCTTCCTTGGCTAAAGCATCAGCGCTTTCATAGCCCTTGATGCCGCAGTGAGATGGAATCCACTGCAGGTCAGTTTCTACCTTTTCTGAGAACATAGCAAGTTCTTTTGTTAGACTCTGCTGTGTGCTGTCAATAGTTCTGGACTCTAGAGCCTGTATGGCTGACAGTGAGTCTGTGAGAAAAACCTTTCTGCCTGTAGGGGTTTGCAGATAGGAGATAACTGAGGGACAGGAGTACACAGCTTTTATTTCAGTCTTCCAACAGACAAGTGAATGTTGCTGGCATGTTTCTGTCTTTCCAGATGATAGTTAAACACTGTGATATGGGGGGCATGTCAGCGTCTGTGCTTATGCATTGCGAATGCACTCTGTAATTTCAGAGTGCTGGGTTCGATGCCAACTGGGGACAATCTGGCCAGCAGACCACCTTAAACTTGTTATGACAGTAGTATCAAGAGCAGAACTATTAAAATAGCAATGGCAAACTATTGAACATAAAACTGCCTAGTTAAATACCAAACACCAACAAATGCTGGGGTAGGTTTTGCAACGTCCTAAATGTAAATTAAGAAAACAAATGGTTTATAGGGAAGCAAGGAATCACAGCGATTGTGAGTGACTGACTAGCAGGAAGAGATCTTTGAGAAGTCTTCCACAAGAAGTGGACAGGATTTTTACACCGCTGTTGCCATGCCATGGTGGAAAACACCCCCTGTAACTATATAAAAACAGTTAATAAAATGTTCATACTGCTAGGACTTACATATTTTATGTTTTCCTTTTATGGGAAATTTGACAATCAGTTGCTGAGGGTTGCTACAAATGAAAACATATGGAGATGCAGACTCTCCATCTGGATACTGCAACAAATATGCAAAATCAAATTAGCAACAGATATGCAAAATCAAATAGCAACAGATATGCAAAATCAAATTAGCATCAAATATGCAAAATCAAATTAATCTGCTATATCAAAGATTTTGAACTTATCTGGCATGTCTCCCTTTTTCTTTTTTTTTAAATGAAAAAAGGTGCTTTATTAATATCCTACCCCAAACAGGGGAAATCCACAGGTCATGGGACAGTCTAATATTTCAGGGGGTGGTAGTCAGGCTGCATGCAATTGTGGGACCTAGGCTGCACTCTCTCGTGGGACGTAGGTGGGTTGGGGTTCGGGTCAGTTCTAGATGTTTTGGGGCCGTTACAAGCATCAGAAAGCCGGGAAACCCAGTCTTACCACCCTCTAAAATGTTGGACTGTCCTGTGACGTCATCTGGGGGTGAGATATTAATAAAGAACAAATAAAAAATTTTTTACTGCGTTCTCCACCCCTTGGAAATATATCCTTTGTAATAAACAAACAGGAAGACGCAGTTATACATATCTAAAATTAATTAATATGGGTTTAACTCTGTTGCACAAGGAGCACATAAGGTTTTTTCTTTCAAATTTATTTTTCTTCTCTTCTTTCCAAATGGCTTCAACCCCCCCCCCCATTTTCCATCAACATCCAACAACTGTTTCTGAGGTTATTACCACCCCACTTATTGATTCCAACATCTCCCCATCTCAATTATATCCTTGGCTACTTCAGCTATCTTGGTTGCTCCAGCACCCCAGCAATGAAGATATCACCCCCTGGGGCAAAGACTAAGATCTATAGCATCAGATGAAAGAATGATCTCACGTCTGTTTATGACAAGATCAGACACCAGTTTATCTCAGTCTGGATATAATGTGAATTTTTTTTTCTCTAAAGCAATCCAATGATTATATCTTTTTCTTCATCTTATTACAGTAATCAATACTAATTACTATGATGATAAAGGTAATAAGAATAAAGGAAATATACCGCAGGACAAACTACAAGACTGCTCTGTAAACGAAACAGATTTATATAATGGCAGCATCTAGTTCACAGCTATTCCAATAAGGTTACTCATGGGGCCAAAATTTTGGAAACCGCATAGGAAGATCATGAATAGAATGCCACTAGTAATGATCTGCGGGCCACTTGCTAGGCATCCGCAGGCTGCCGGTCAAATAGCTCTGATCTAGTCTGTAGTGATGAAATGTTTGAAAAAACAGACAAGCCAGCCCTCACTGGAACAGATAAAAACCATAAACTGATTATAGAGATTAGCTTTAGACAGTTTTCTGGATTTGAGTAGAGAAAAAAAAACTGACACACGAACTTGGCGAAAACTGGAAAAAATATTAGAAAAGAGCCAAGGGATGGCAACAACAAAACAACCCCCCCCCCCTACCAAAAATAAAATCAATGCCTGGATAGTTTCGTCATATAGATAGGGGCCAGACAAGAACCTTGACCTGATCCATGATTCTGGTGACTGAGTGAGGTGGTGAAACATGACTGCCTTTGCTTATTAATAAGGTGTATGCAGTAACAAATAAACAATACCTGCTCTCTGTATTCATCCTGGGAGAGACAGTCTTCCACATTGACACAGCCCAGTAAACACCCTGTGGGATAATCCTTTGGGAAGTCCAGGTTCTTATCTGTTTGAAAGTGATAACTGTTGTTACACAGAATATAAAACATAAAGGCAAAGGTCAAATTGGTCCTGTAGCAGATTCTTCTTTTTTTTCTCCTGCATTTTGCCAAAGATGTAAATATGTTGTGTCCCCTTACATGGCTGCAATATTTGTGCCTTTCGGCCAACACATCTGACTTTTGCAGGCGTTTAATGCCCAGGTTTGCCTTCCTGGCTGGCAGATACCATAGATGGGGTGTGGACTGTTAGGTATTCACATGTTCTAGGTCATGGTGTAAAGAGTTTAGTGTTGTGTCTTTTGTGGGATCTAATCTTCCTAAACAGTTTCTGGAAAATTGTGTATTTTTTCTGGCATCAATTTTTATGAATATAGCTATACTGACTGAAAAAATATAATCCGGCTTCTTCCTCTCCTTCTGCATGCTGTGTTGTGGTTTACAGTTAGGATGCGATATCTGCATCTTTCGGCCTAACAAAATCAATTTCAGCAAAGACATGCGTGTTGGGGTAGGGGGGGGGGGGCAGTTTTTTTAAAGTCGGTGTGCATCTGCTGGAGAGGCAAGAAACCAAAAATATGCAAACAAATAAGCCAGATTTGTAAAAGATATGGATGAATAACCGGAACTTTCCACTGAAGTTCACAGCCAGTGAAAAGGTAAAAAGGGGGGGCAGTAAAGGAAACCCCCCCCCCCCCCCCCCACAAATCCCTAGTGGTTCTGGAATCTAATCATTCTGTAGATTATTTTAGATCTTAACTCCACAACTGGCAGGATTATACTTTTTAAAATTAAATCAGAAAGATGAAACTACAGTTTACAGATTCAATTACATCAGCAGGAAAAGTTACATTTGAACACAGAAGACACAAACAACAGACAGCACAATTTACTGCTTGGTATTCTTTGCTGTATTATGTCAGGTGCATCATTTAGAAACACATAAAATTAGGCAAATAAATCAATCCTTTAGAACTGAAATGCACACCAGACACTCTCATAAGTAACTGTCTTTTTTACAGGGCTAAAGCAGATTCACTATTATGTCTTTCTGTTTACACAAAATGGATGGAAGTGATCAGCAGTGGCCACTTCAAGAAATTTTAGGACTCTGCCTGTGGTCAAGGTAAACAGAATTTGAAATGGGCTGTAAACCTTTACAATGTGGCCAGAGTTCAAAATGCGGTGCACTATGGACGAGCAGTGGTTATTTTTGACCAGTCACCTGAGTAGTCTTTCTTCTTCTTCACGTTCACCGGCAGTAAACTTATTTTTGTTCATCCACCTCTGGACTTTAGTTTTGGTCCTGAACCTCAGCATTGTGTGCACATCTATTTTACAGATCTGACCTAACTGTATGCAGACTGTTGGTTCTTTGCCTCAGGCAGATGCACTGTGGCTTTGAAGGAAGCTCCCCAATTAATTGATTCTTACAACATGCCTGCTGGGGAGGCAGTGGGTCTATTCTTGTTTTCCCTACAATAGGGTCCTGCAACTCACACAGGGAACCTGAGTAGTGTTTGTTGAATTAGTACTGTTTTTTTATTTCTATGTTGCTTTTTTTCCCACAAAATTTCAGTTTCCATATTATTAGAAAGATAAAGAAACACTTCAAAGATCATTACTGCAAGAAGTAAAGAGCAACATTTAACATATTTTTGAAGATACAAGTTACATTTTACTACAATGATTTCATCAAGCTATAACTATGTGTCACTATTTCAATGATATTGAAAAAAAAAAAAAAAGATTAAAACTACCCAGCTCACAAAAGCCAGCTTCAGGCCTCAGAAATAAGATATCTGAGAAAGGTCCAAGTGACAAGAAGGGACAAAGTCCGCAAACCCGTATGGATCAGTCATAGTTATGATGGTTTGCACATGTATGCAGAATGGGAGAAAATCGGCCACCAAGGCAGGCATGGGAGGCTAAGAACCAGGGAACCAGACCTCCAGGACGACCCAGGGTGCGCTGGGAAGACAACATCCGACAGACTCGAACTGACAGAGGACTAGAATGGAATAAAGCCAGAAAGAAAACTGCTGATAGAGACATCTGGCGAATGCCCTGGCAAACCTCTACATCCAAAAGTAGAAGATGAGCGACTAAGTAAATAAGTATTATAAGCAGGAGAAAGCTACAATGCCACGTTTAACTTACACTGTAAAGAAAGAAGCTACATCTGCCTGTTTAACTTACACTGTAAAGATAGAAGCTACATTTCCCTGTTTAACTTACACTGTAAAGATAGAAGCTACATCTCCCTGTTTAACTTACACTGTAAAGACAGAAGCTACATTTGCCTGTTTAACTTACACTGTAAAGACAGAAGCTACATCTCCCTGTTTAACTTACACTTTAAAGACAGAAGCTACATTTCCCTGTTTAACTTACACTGTAAAGACAGAAGCTACATTTCCCTGTTTAACTTACACTGTAAAGATAGAAGCTACATTTCCCTGTTAAACTTACAATGTAAAGAGAGTAGCTACATTTCCTTGCTTAGCTTATATTGAACAGGTAAAAGCTAAACTTCCCAGTTTAACATTTACTGTAATCATATAAGTTATATTTCACTATTTAGCTTTTAGAATTAACAAAGACAAATTTAACAGCGTCAGTGATGTCGGCAGCATAAAACAACATTTGACAGTTTTAGTTATGACAGCAAGAGAAAAACAACTGTTTACACAGCCCGAGAAGCACTAACCATTACGAAGGTGGGCGTACATATGTTCATGCTCTCTGATGTCATCTGGGGATGGGCTTTTGGCAGTAGAAGCTATCCACAGTCTGCCCCTGTGTGGTGAGTACCATGTCCGGCCTTCATGCCTGAAACACAAAATGCTGCCTCAACCATCCTGCACTTCTGTTGTTGTTGTTTTCTTTTTTTTTTTAAACTCTGTCAGGTACCAGCCTATAGTTACTTTAACTCTTTATATAATCAGTTCTATTTGGAAAGAGCAATGTTCGAGTTCAAAAATTCCCTGTGTGTGTTCCAGGGCACCAGTGTGGGGACAAAAAAGAATAGATCCACTGCCTCCCTAACAAGCATGTCCTAGGAGTCTACTAATTTTGGACTTCCTTTAAAGTCTGACTGCATCTGCCCGAGCGGCAAGGAACAACCAACTGCATACCAATAAGCCAGTAAAATGTATGCACATGCAAAACTCAGGTCCTGGCACAAAGCTAAAGACAAACAACCAAGACTGGAATTTACAGCTGGTGAACAAAGAAGAAGCAAAATATTAACACTATAGGGCATATGAAGTCAAACTAATAACTCAGATTAATAAGTTTCTGTAAAAACATCTGCAAAAGAAGAAGAAAGATAAATGTATACCATCTTTAGGCTAAGTAATAAACATGATAATATGAGCCATTTGTACCAACTTTGCGCTATTAATGTCATACACGGAAAGTCCTAAAAAAAAACATAAACACAAAATTACAACATGTGAGATGAGATGTTTAAGCAAAGAGGCAGGAAAAACAAGACGAGTCAGTAATCAATGAAGAACTAAGAACAATGGTACCCCAGTACTAGTAAATGGTTTCAAAGAATACCAAAGATTCAAATGGTTTGGTCATCTGGTCAGAACAGAACAAAATCAGTCAGCAGCTGGAGCAGACTACATGAGAACAGCAGTCTACAAGGCAAGAGGCTGACCAAGAAAGACACGGGTGGAGGGAGTAAAATGGACACTGAAGAAACATAATATGACATTTACATAAGCTGCGTAACTAACAAAAGACAGGAAACTACCTTTAACTCCTCCCTGTGACACTTTACAGCATAAGCAGTGGGACAAAGGAATACGTTTTTGTAACAACTATCTATGACAGACGAAACATAAATGTATATTGCCTTTGGACTAATTAATAAACTCATGATGAGTTATGAAGAAACTGATTCAGTTAAAGAATCAGTTCATGCATATATCCTGTGAAGACAGTGGTCTGACCAGCTCCCAGAAGTGGTAGGATTTTTTCCAACCAGCCTTATAGAATTTAATACCAGATAATTTCCAGAATGTTCTTGGATCTGAGAAAAATCTCAGGTCAGTGCGTAAAAACTGTAGATATGGAGAATGCCTCAATGACAGGCTTTAAAATTAGTCTTTTAGTTTATAATCTTCTTCTTCTACTTCAGCATTCTGAGCCCTTAAGGTTCACTGCTGCAGATATTACCCGCCTCCATTTACCTCTCTGTTTGGCCTTCTCTTTCCAGCTAGTGACACCAAGTGTAAGTAGGTCTGCCTGTATATTATCTCTCCACTGTCTTTTTGGTCTACCTCATTCCCCTCCCATGTGTATAAAGTTTTTACCTCTCTGTCATTCTTTCAATATGCCTCAGCCGTTTAAATCTATTAGCCCTCAGTAATCAACTGTGATTTAATCAGATTATGAAGTTGCTTCTTCCTTACCATTTCCCTCTGTTTGTATCTTTGATGGGTCTAAAGATTCCTCATTTACAAAACTGATAATTTTTTCTATAAAAAAAAAATTAAAGCAAATAAAATAAATCTTCCTTTTTCTCCATCCAAATGCAAAATAGGACAGATATAACTAGTGTCACATATCACTCCTGTCGCGTGCCTAATGTAAGGATTTCTCCTTCAGAACCAACAGCACTCAGAGATAATTATGTTGAGTCGTTTGGCTCGTATTGGTCTAAGGGATTCCCCGTGGCCAATATACGCTCAACTTATCTCTGGAGTAGGGCAACTCAAGTATTGGCACTACAAAATATATCAGTATATGAATACAATATTTCTAGGCACACTTGGCTGGACACCCCCACTACTTACTAAAGAAAGCCCCCAGGTTATGATAAGTTCATTATCATAACCATGTTAACACATATAATGAAGATACATACACATACAACTGCTAAACACTTAAGAAGGTGACATAGAGAAACCTAAGTCAGCCATGAAAATGAATGCATGTATTTAGTATAATGTATGTACATATAATATTGAAGTGAATTCCAGCTATCAGTGAAAGAATCTCAGCAACCAATGTCTAGATCCCAAGGAAACTATACAGACAGCCGGTCCTGGAGGTGACTATATGTCATCATTGGAAACAAATGAGCTGTGAGGAAAAAAACAGCACATGAAGCATCAGACTTAGCTTCTATCCTTTCTGTCTATGATGCCTCCTTCAGCTCCGGATGATTCGACTGTCTTTGACTCTGGGAATTCTGCTCCACTGGATCAAATAGTCAGAGAGTACCTCACCATAGAGGACACAATACTGCACTGGTACTTAGCAAGTCTCTATCACCAAGTAGAATATACATTGTTTTTGAGCTACCCTAAGCTCTAGCACTGGTAGGCTGTTTGAGGTACCATCTCCCACATGTTGGAGATGTCAGGAACCTTCACAGGTGTTAGCTGGTGGGTACAGTTAGTTTAGGGTTGTTTGATTGATCGATGGGTTGATTGGTGGGTGTTGGTTGGACTGTGAAACTTCTGCCAGCTCCTCACAAAAGATACATCCTGTCAAGAAAATAACTCAAAATTAGTCATCACCAAGAGGGTAACATCTTGACAGGAAAGACAGAACAAGCATCAGTCATCAACCCCCATCTGCTGACTCCCCCCTGCTCTCCTGTTTCATTCCTCAGATTGCCTCTCCAGACCAAAAGACATAAGTCTCCTATATTTATCTGTCTGTTTAGTGCAAGAGAAGGCAAGTCAGATATACAGTGGAGATAGATAAAGTGTTCTAACACATATATCACTCTCTCTCTCCCCCTCCCTCTGCACACAGACACCAATATTTACTGTCAGTACCTGCATTCCCTAGATTTCCCAACGCTCGCCCTAGCATTCATTGATCTGGGTCAAACACACACATACTCTGGTTAACAAAGTCCTGACCTAATTCTGTCCCCATTAGGTATGCACAACTTCTATAGTTAGTTTGAAACGTACACACTTGTAAAGGTATTAAGTTTTACCAGTATGGGTGGTTTATTGAGGGCATAAGCTATTTAGTCTGTACAGGGGAAGGTCTACGTTCGAATCCGCTTCTCTAGCGATCAAGAACGGTCGAACTAAGTGTGATCACACAGCCGATACGGATCTCTCTACAGCAGTGACTACTTTACAGACATCATTTTAGGTACTCGTAAACTATTATTAACTTACCCAAGCATATGTAAAAACTGAGACATTCCAGATCGCCTTGAAAAATGAAATAATACAGGCATAGATTGACACGTCTGGACGCTAGGAAGCTGGCAAAGAGAATAGCGTCACTTAGACACTTCAGGCGTTGGTACAAAAAGAAGTCCCTAGTATACATGAGCAAGGAGTAAATCGGTTTCCACGAAACCTCAAATAACTCCCTTAATATATATTGAAGATATATACATTTAAAAGTGGAGTTTAGTTAAAGTAACCAGAAAAGGTAGACATAATAATGTTGTCCAATAAAGGCCTATATATATAGATATAAGGGACTATATATTTCTGGGTGAGTCCAAGTTTGAATTTTGTGCAGATCACAGGTAAGTCAGGTTATCAGCCTTACAGACCGATGCGTAATGGCTATCATTTCACGACAACTGGTATATATATAGTTGTGACTTTTTTTAAAGTCAGCCATAATATTTGCAATTATCGACCAATATATCAAATATCATTAAAAAAAATTTCTTGGTCAGGCTTGTCAGTGTAGCAAATCACAAATTAAATGTATTTATAAAAAAGGCAATAAAAGGTGGCTCACATTTTAATGCCTGCGACAAGTAGTGAGGCCCATGGCTGATGCATGCTCATACACATGCCCTCATCTGATATTTCCTGCAGCTCCTTGTCCTGAATCCGATGTGAACTAGAATTAACTGGATGGAAGCTACCGCTGCTTTCATCTGCCTGATTGGCACGACTGGGACCCCAGTGTACAGATTCAACAAACTGAAAGTACAGCAGCTAATTAGAATAACAATGCCACAATTCCTGTATATTAAGTTATGAACAATTTTACAGAAACATATTTCTTTATCTTTAGATGCCAAGCCCTTGAGGTTCATTGCTGCAGACATCCCCCGCCTTCCTTCATCTCTGTGACTGGCCATCTCTTTCTAGTTGGTGACTTCAAGTGTTTGTAGATCTGCCTGGGCATCTCTTTCTAGTGGGTGGCTACAAGTGTTTATAGATCTGCCTGGTCATCTCTTTCTAGTGGGTGGCTCCAAGTGTTTATAGATCTGCCTGGCCATCTCTTTCTACTGAGTGACTCCAGGTGTTTGTAGATTTGCCTGTACATGATCTTTCCACTGTTTTCTTGGTCTGCCTCATGGTCTCTCTGTTATTTGCCAGTCTTTGTATATGGAGAAACATATTTTTTTAAATACTATTTTACTGGCAAAATATAACACTCTAAACAAAGCAACAACAATAAAATAGAAGGATATAAGAGTGTTTAAAATAGGGGGTGGAGGGAGGGAGTTACGAAGATAATGTTCTTTCCCTGCCATGACAAATGGATGTCCAAAATTTTCTCTGATTGTTTTTTTATTTCTCTTTCTCCATATCTTTCCAGTCATCAGGCATGTGGTTTTACAGACAGTAAACCCTGGACAGATAAAAAACACAAGATAATGAAGATCTCTCAAAAGAAATTAACCAACAAAGAGAACTGATCAATTACATCTGATGAAATGCTAAAAATAACACAAAATGTGACTAGAAAGCTCAACGGAGGGAATGGAAAAGATGCACACAAAAACAACTGAATGTTTCGACCAAAGTCTTTATCAACAGAGTACAGCACAAACTGCAACTAGAAAACTCAACGGGCAAAACAAGAGAGGTAAAAAAACCAAGGTCAACATGACACCAAGAAGTATGTAATGCGGGAAAGGTATGAAGGCTATAATACCAAAAGAAATAAGTAAGAAAGTATACGTGAAAAGAGTGGAAGAAATATGAATGTTAATAAATGAACAAATAAATTAATTAAATTAAATTAAGTTGTGTTGAATATGTACTTTTTTTGTTTCATCTTGACCTGGTTTTTAATCAGCTCTGTTGTCTTGCCTGTTAAGTTTTCTAGTCACAGTTTGTGCTGTATTTAGTACTCCGTTGATAAAGACTATGGTTGAAACTTTCGACTGTGTTTGTGTGCGCCCCACTTCATTTGTTGTTCTTTGATGACCTGTAAGACTGGCTTTATTTCTAGCATTCATCTGATTTCGTATTCTGTCTTTCCTTGAAACTCCCGCAAGTAGTAAAAGAGGAAGTGAAGAATAAGAAGACTAACTATCATTACATAATAAGAGTTAATGTCTGAACAATTTACCTTTGGAGGTTCAAGCTGGATGGAGGGGTTAACAATATCCGCAGAATTTTTGACCGACTTTCCATAATGGACCTGCTGAATAACCTCATCATTCATGTCATACATCTTCTGTGCGCTGTCGTCCTCTGCATCAATGACTCGTCTTCCAGCAAAGTCAAATGTTATCTTTCTGTCTCTCCGAGAGCCATGGCGAGATTTTCTCAATTCTTCTTCTCGCTTGCGCAGCTTGTCCCGTTCTTCTGAACTCAGCCACTGGTTGGCGTCCGTGGCGTAGTAATCACATTCATCATCAATCACCTGAGTTCTCTTGACACTGTGTTCAAAGGTAACAAACAAACAAAACCCATTAATGCCTAGAAAATAAATGGCAGCTGTGTCTGCAAGACTTTTAAATAAGCGTACTATTATTATTATTATTATTGGAAAAATAATAGCAGAAGGTATGGTATCAGGAAGGAGAGGCAGGTTTCGACCAAAATGGGCACAGGATATAAGTGACTCTTTGAAAGTACATGAAAATGGAGAGCTGGCGAGAGACCGAGTTTATTTCAGGCCTACCGTGGTGATAACGATGTTCTGTAAAGGACCTACTACATGATAATTATTATTATGTTATAGAGTGGGTTATGTCTGCATTTAATTTTATATCTCCCTGTGTGAGTTCTGGAGACTTACTGCGGGGGAAAGGGGGGGGGGGGGACTGAACAGTCCCATCACCTACCTAAAGATAAAGAACTAACAGTCTGTATACAAAAAAGCCAGATCTGTAAAACAGATGTGCATGTAAAACTCAAATACTGAAACAAGACTAGAGTCCAAAGGTGGACGAACAACAGAACTTTCTGCCTGATTTTACAGCCGGTGAACACGAAGAAAGAAAAAGAGTTTTATATCTACATATCTTTCAGCAGTCAGGTAAAGTTACAACACAAATGTTTAGACAAGAGTACCTAACTGTTGCACTGTCAAGCATCTGCCCCCAACGTAACATAAACTTACCAAAACACAACTTGGTAACAAAGTATATTTTAGTTATCATATTTTAATGGATTTGATTGCGGCAACTCAGTTCCATAAATGTATATCCTTGCTTTAGACACAGAGACCTAAATCAGAACTCTCCTTAATTTGTGTGCCAGCAATTAGAGAGATTCTATTAAGAAATATAGTTCGTTAAAGATAAATAAATTTAAAATAAACTGTTTCTCAACTAAATAAACTGTCATCATTGAGCTACAAACTATGACAGGATTATAAGAACTTGAATCTTTCCTTTATCAACATATTAATGTGAACCGTAGACCATTTCAAAATGACTTTTTTGCACAGGAGCAGACTGACAGATCTGCTGCTGCTATCACCCTTCCTCTGGACAGTGAGCTACTTTATGATAGAAGGGATGTACTGAAGATTCTCTGGGATCAAGTAATTAGTGCATCACAACAGATAAAGCATCCATAATCTGGAGAAAATGATTTAACTGGGAGTCAGCAGTGGGTCTAGACAACTTTCTACCCATGGGGGACAATTTAAGTGCAATTTTAATCGGGCTGTGACTGACATCATCAATATGGGAAGTCAGGAAGGGAGCAGAGCTAGTATGAGATTCTCACCAGTGCAATGATGTCAATTCTTGATTCATTCAAAATTACAAAAGGAGAAAAATGTAGATATCTGAATTCAAATGTTAAAGAAAAGTACTTAGAATACAGAGGATCATAATTTTAAAAAGTTCTTAGAATACAGAGGATCATAATTTTTAAGTTGTTAATACTGACATTCTGAAACAGCATCTGAACATTAAAGAAATTTGACTTATTAACAGTAGCATATCTTTGAAGTTAAAACACTCTGTCACATAAAATCAAATGTCACAGAGTCTGAAAGAATATTAATGTAAGGTATGACAAATTACTGTGGACACAAAATATTAAAGACACAGTGGCATGACAATTCACAAGGAAGGGGAACTGACAATCACTTAGGAGTCTATCAATAAGCCGTGACAAGTGACATAACTTGATGACAGTCCATAGACAGACTGTAATAAGAGTGACATAACTTGTTGACGGTCCATAGACAGACTGTGATAAGAGTGACATAACTTGTTGCCGGTCCATAGACAGACTGTGATAAGAGTGACATAACTTGTTGACAGTCCATAGACAGACTGTGATAAGAGTGACATAACTTGTTGACGGTCCATAGACAGACTGCGATAAGAGTGACATAACTTGATGACAGTCCATAGACAGACTGTGATAAGAGTGACATAACTTGTTGACGGTCCATAGACAGACTGTGATAAGAGTGACATAACTTGTTGACAGTCCATAGACAGACTGTGATAAGAGTGACATAACTTGATGACAGTCCATAGACAGACTGCGATAAGAGTGACATAACTTGATGACAGTCCATAGACAGACTGTGGTAAGAGTGACATTCTGCAAAGGATTGTTGCTTGATGATAATGTTGGCAAAGCATAAACCATAAAGAATGTTTACCTGGTCCTGTCATATTCCAGAAGCTTGTCTCTGTGTTGGAGTGCTTGCTCAAACCCGTTCTTTGGTTTACTCTGGAAAGTTGATGTTGCCTGAAGACCAACTGAGTTCTCTGATGATCCAACCTGATGTCCCCCACCCTTCATCAGGAACTGGCGACGCTTCTCCCCCTTTTTTGATCCCCTGTCAATGATTTCTTGGTCTTCAGGAGTGCAAACCTGTTTAACATTACAAAGTTGAATCTTGTGACATACTTAAATGAACATTGTCACTTACTAAGAAAGAAAAAAATTACAAATTTTTTGTAATGAGATATTCAAAGTGTGCTGGGTGTGCAGTGTCTTGAACTGGTGCGGAGGCACAAATAGCTCATTATGGTCTGAGGAGAATGGCGTTGCTGGGAGTTACCAGAGGATCTGGTCCTCACTCAACACTCAAGGGAAGGGTGAGACAGAAAAAAAATAGACGGATTTACAATGAGACAGTTACTGGTACCATCAGAACTAGAAAACTTCGCTTGCTGCTGAAGATGGAGCGCTTTTGGGAGGGTCCTGAATGCTGATTCTTAATTCAACATGCCAAAGACCATATTCACCAAAGACCATATTTGCCAAAGACCATATTTGCCCAAGACCATATTTGCCCAAGACCATATTTGCCCAAGACCATATTTGCCCAAGACCATATTTACCCAAGACCATATTTACCCAAGACCATTTTTACCCAAGACCATATTTACCCAAGACCATATTTACCCAAGACCATATTTACCCAAGACCATATTTGCCAAAGACCATATCTGCCAAAGACCATATCTGCCAAAGACCATATCTGCCAAAGACCATATCTGCCAAACACCATATCTACCAAAGACCATATCTACCAAAGACCATATCTACCAAAGACCATATCTACCAAAGACCATATCTACCAAAGACCATATTTACCAAAGACCATATTTACCAAAGACCATATTTACCAAAGACCATATTTACCAAAGACCATATTTACCAAAGACCATATTTACCAAAGACCATATTTACCAAAGACCATATTTACCAAAGACCATATTTACCAAAGACCATATTCACTGCAGTGTCATGACCAATAATGAAAGCCCTAACTGGTGCATGCTTGCTAAAATGATCCCGTCTGCCACGAGCCATAATACAAATGTGCCCTTTTCCCAGGTGGGTTCCAGGACCCCATGTGGGGGGAAAATGAATGGACCCACTGCCTCTCTAACAAACAAGTCGTACAAGGTGACTAATCAGAGCTGTTTCCTTCAAAGTCACTACATGAGAACAGCAGTCTTCAAAGCAAGAGGCTGACCAAGAAAGATACAGATGAAGGGAATAAATGGGACACCACAGAAACATAATATGACATTTACACACGATAGGTAACTAGCAGAAGACATGAAATTTCATCTAACTCCTCGCTGTAGCGCTTTACGGCATAAACAGTAGGGCAAAGGAATATGTTCCTGTAACAACTACCTATGACAGAAGAAACATAAATGTATACTGTCTTTAGAATAACTAATGAACCTATGATGAGTTACAAAGTAAATGAAACATTTAAAAGTAACTCAACTTACCAGAGTCCCACAGAAGACACATGGACCGGCTCCCTCCTGCTCACACACAATTCGTCCACAGTTTATACAGTTATTGATGAGCTTGTGTTTTGCAGCCTGACACTCGCAGACATAACGGCCTACATTTAATGATTGAGAAAACAATCCAGGACTATAAAGTCATTCTCAGAACAAAGTAGCTACTAGCCATAAGATATAAACTCAGACATAAGTTTAAAAAATACAAATGTAAAGAATTCTTTTCACGCACCAGTGGGATATCATATGATGTTAGACTCATGTTTTTTTTAGGCCAATCAGCACTCAATATGTAATGTGGCCGACATCCCACAGCTCACCTTTACTTCCCAGGACTTTACCTGATACCCATCTAAGGCTAGTTCAATCAGGAAGCTAATGTAATTGTTTGTGTGTGGAAAAATCTGACTCAATGTGGAGTCGAACCAAAGACCTTCAGGTGAGCATCTAGCCTCTACATCACCATGACTTCCTGTTCAGAAATGGCAATTTTTGTAATGGATAAAAAACTTCAACAGTGCAATATGAAAGACATCCACACACCGCAAATTTAAACCCAATGTTCTATCAGCCTTCTATCTCCTAATGGAACATATGTCCTCAACCAACTTCTGCTATCTGTTGTAGACTCAGTCATGACTGAATGGATTTTGTGGCTGAAGTATTCTTCAGGATGAGGTAGCCATGCCAACCTTCTTTATCCATTACTTAGGGCATGCATGTAAAGTAGGCTGCAGTGTTGTTCACACAGATATTAGAAAAGGTTTTAACAAGCATATGCAGAGGCTTTATCGAAGTAGTTCATCACTGTGCCCATGTGGGCTGTGTGTGCAGCCTGCAGAACATATCCTAAAAGGCTGCACCTTGTAAAACCCACTTAGAGGAGAATACTGGTTCAGTGTTTCCAAACCATACTCAAAGTTGTATGGAACTAAAAGAGAGCTCCAAAACACAGTCAAATTTATCACAGGATCTCATCTGTCAGTGTAAATCAGAAAGCGATCACAAGAAGAAGAAAAAGAAAGGGTTTTCAATATGGAACTGGTAAGACAAGACACAGTATATCCAAGTTGGATGCAGACTTCTAAAAGACATCCTGTTGCCTATTTCTGACTGTCCCCATTTGGCCTCTATTCTGTTCTGTAATTATTTCAGCAAGGGTTATTTCTGACTCGATAATTCTAGCAACAGGAAATGCAACCTAAAATATTAATTTTTTGACAGGGCAGATCAGTCCCTTGATCTTGGTTGGCAGTCGAGGAGGGAAGCTCTGACAGGGAGAGCATCGCTATTCTCATCTGGCAGTGTCTACAGCAGGCTCTGTTTAACTGATATCGGTGTTACCTTTCCTTAAAAGTAAAGAAGGTAGGCAGAGACAGGGACCATGATGCATGAACAACATATGGTTTCTATAATATGTGCTTTAAAGTGGAGAAACTTCAATCGCCATAGGCTGTGAATCATTATAGCACAATATAAGACTACTATCTTGAAAAAATAAAAATAAGCCAACCAACCAATAATTCTGGTTCAGACTGTTTTCAATCCTCAGATAATTGTAGTTTTATTGTCATTGTGCCAAATATTTATCCTTTGTTTTACTTCAGACAGCACTTCTTTATTGCTTTGTATTTGTTTGTAAGAAATATAACTTCTTCTTCTATATATAAGCTAGTTGCATATCCTTCACTGTTGCAAAACCAACCACAGCAAAAAAAAAAGTTATTTTTTGTGTGTGTGGTGGTGGTGGTGGTGGTGGTGGTGGGGGGTCCCTCTAGGTAAATTTAAATTCAGCAGTTTGCCATTGCTTTCTAACCTTCGGCTATCGAACTACTATAAAAACCTCACAAGGCAGCCTCAGTGATGGGTGTCAGCAAGATTTCTGGTCGCTCCCTGCTGCATCATTCACTTCACACCATAACAATCTATTTGTATCTCTGCACTGTTCACTAGCTTCTAGAGGGAGATTAATCAAAAACTATACATGGAACTACACTATTACTCAATAACAGATCATATCTAAACAATATTGTAAACAACACTAATCTCTACCGCATACCTGGTAACTGAATTACAGATTTGGCCAGGCCTTCTTTACTGAAAAGAGGAACAAATTTAGTCTTCCTTTTGGCACCAATGCCTATTTCTTCAGTGAGGGATTCATCCGGGTTGTGGTTAAATGAAACATTGGTGTTCACAGCGGTCAGAGCTGAAGCCTGAGTGAAAGACAATATCAATAAATTAAACCCCCAAAAAATAATAATACAGTAATAATTTCTTCTTCTTCAGCATTCGCTCTTGAAATGATGGTTGGCATGTGGTTTGCGTCAAGCTGCGATATCTGTGCCTTTTAGCCCAACACATCTGATTTCAGTAAATCCCTAATCAGTCAAATTTTACAATCAGCAAGACTTAGGTGATGCAAGGTGCTGGGTTTGCAGGCCACTTCGCAGCAGACTGTGACACCGAGAGCTAGAGTTGGTTCAGCAACATCATGAAAAGGACATACAGCTAACTTTATTTTGCTGTTGTTTTGTTTGTTAGGAGAGTAGTAAGGTTATTCTCCCCCCAAGGCCAAAGAGGCCACAAAGGAAACAGTACCAATGAAATCTGCTCTTTCATTTGATAACCCAATAGAAGATTTCCACAAAACTGTAAGATCAGTAATTTCATATATTCAAAACAGTATTTTCTGTAGTAAATTTAAATAATACGGACACAAACAATATACTGCACAATTTACTGCTAGATATATTTCTCTGTGCTGGCGTCTGTGGCTTAGGCGTTGCGGACGTGCTTCGTAATGCCGGGTTTGATCCCAGCTGCAGACGGTTTGTCTTACGTTGGATTTGCCAGTGGTACTTAAAGCTGACCGCTCAGTAGCAATCGCAAACAACTGAACCTAAAATTTGCCTAGAACAACCACAACAGCCAAAAAATGCTGGGGTTGGTTCTGCGATGTCCTGTAAAGGATACGCAACTAACTTTATATTTCTCTGTATTTCATCAGGTGCATTACTAGAGACTTACGTCAACATTCAATGAAGCTTACAAACTGAAATAATTCAACTGAAATAAATAAATCATATGTCTTCTTTAGCATGCGCTGTTCGTCTGATAGTTAATGAAAGTCATGTGAGTTATCAGGGTCCTTTTAAACTGATAACACACTCCTTATGTTTACATTTTTACTTCCCATGACATTTCCTGGTACACAATTGAGGCCTGGTTAACATGTGAGTCAAGGCGATCCTAAACAGTATGCCAGTGTAAATGGAAAATGTGAATAAACAGGGCAGTAACTCACAATAAAATAATCTATTCTTCTTCACTTTCACTGGCTGTAAACTCTGGCAGAAAGAACTGGCTGTTCGTCCATTTCTAGACTTTTGTCTTGTTGCAGGGCTTGGGTGTTGCATGTGAACTGATTGTTACAGACCTTCCTTATTTGTGTGCAGACTCTTGGTGTGTTGCTACTCAGGCAAATGTACTCCAGCTTCAAAGAAACTCGTCAAACCTATTTATGTTGGTCAGGCTCCCGGCTGGGATCCTTTTCCTAGGATGACAACAGAGAGGTGTGGATAGATCTCGACAAGTTTGAGTCCTGCTCCTGGCGCAGCAACTGTTCATCCCACAACAGAACTCCCGGTCCTGGTGTAGCACACTCTGCATCCCACAACAGAACTCCTGGTCCTGGTGCAGCACCTCTGCATCCCACAACAGAACTCCCTGTCTTGGTGCAGCACACTCTGCATCCCTGAACAGAAAATCCCTAAACAGAACTCCCGGTCCTGGTGTAGCACACTCTGCATCCCTAAACAGAACTCCCAGTCCTGGTGGAGCACACTCTGCATCCCACTACAGAACTACCGGTTGTGGTGCAGCACCTCTGCATCCCACTACAAAACTACCGGTCCTGGTGCAGCACACTCTGCATTCCACTACAGAACTACCAGTCGTGGTGCCGCACCTCTGCATCCCACTATAGAACAAACAAACATATGAATATGAGTTGAACATTTAACCCTGACTTCCCACAAATTTCAAAATGTGCCTCTGCTGCAGTCTAACCTGACCCAGGTGTTTAACATTTAACCTTAATTCATATGTTCGTTTTCCAACCCTTCCGAGATTCGTAAGGTGCATACAAGTTCTGAGTTTATCTTTTTATCTGCAAAAGCTGGATATCCTGGTGACTGTATGAGCCACATTTCAAATATGAATCCAAGAGAAGCAGGTCAAGCTGATGAGGATACTATTAGGGATCAATCCTAGGAATTTGTTTTGATGAAACATGTGTTTCTTATCAATCTGTGAGTAGATACAATTGATGCATTACCATGTCACGAAATCCTCCATTTGAGAGTGGTTCATTTTGATGTTTGATTTTGTCATTTGAAGTTTCTGGCTCTTTATTCCTTTTCTTTTTTTGATTCTTCTGTTGGTTATCTTCTGGTAAACTCTTTCTGTATGCCTGTGAAAAAGAAAGTTTACAACAAAAATTTAATAAATAAAAAAGTAAGGATCCCTTTTCATTCAGTTTCTAGAAGAGGACTAGAGTCCAGAAGTGGATGAACAACCAGAACTTTCTGCCAGAGTTTAAAGCCGGTGAAGGCAAAGAAGAAGAACGAACGAACGAACAAACAAACTTTTTTTTCGAAGGGTTACAAATTGGGCATGCAGGCCCGTCTGATATTCGGCCCTTCTAGGCACTCATTTTTCAGAGTACCAATGCCTGTTATCAATAATGCATGTAATTCAGTCAGTGGAGCATAAGGCATTTGATGTTTTACTAAAAAATTGTAACAACAAACTTGTTTTTTTTCTTCTTAGCATTCACTGACTGTAAATTTCTGGTTGTTCGTCCACTTATGGACTTAGGGCTTTTTTTTCCAGATTTGTTTTTCATTTCACAGACAGCATCATTTAATTCATGTGTGAAATTTTTTTTTTTTTTTTTTGAATCCCTGAGACCATTGCAAGAGCTGCTGATTTTTTTACTTTCTGCTTTACACTCAGCGGTGAGATGGTCATTCTGTAGAGACAGACAAAGCCATACCGGACTGAACCCAGAGGCAATGAAGTCGATCCTCTCCACTCTAATTTTAAGTAATTTTTTTTTTCTGTTGTATGGCAATGAATTAGAGAATGTGAATAAACAAATAAGGAAGAGCATAGAGGTAGCAGAAATGTGGTTACATCTGACAGAAAAAAAGCTAAGGAAGTAAACAATTATAAGAAAGAGACATTATTATGGAAGAAGAGACACTGGATAACACCACAGAGACTGCACAAATAAGCAGTGGAAAAGGAAGATTCAGATTGAGAGAAATTAGTGTCATGGAGGTATATCATCAATAGAATTTACCCAGAACATCAAAAACTGAGACCTGTAGAAATATGCTCGTTTTTAAAGAATCCTGTCTGCATATCACAAAAAAAATAATAATACTATTATTACAGAGTGTAACAAGTAAATAAATAAAGGAGCATTTTCATGCCGTTGGTACAAAAAGCATATGGTGCTAGACCCACATTTTAATAGACCAGTTGGCACTGGATGGGAGATGTGCTTAACATCATACCGGCTGCCTTTACTTCCAATGACATCATCTGATACCCATTTTAGTCTGGGCTGACCAAGGAACCAAAGTCCATTCTGAAAAACTTCCCTAATGTGAATTTGAACCTTAGGCCTTCAAGCTGGCAGATGAGCACACAATTGTTCCACTGCCATGGCTCACTGAATTATTAGTTGAGTGACTGACTGAGTCATTTTCCAGTGTGGGTTCCGGGGCCCCATTATGCAAGAAAAAAAAAAGAACAGATTCAGTGCCCACAAACAAGTATATCATAAAATCAACTAATTAGGCATGCCTCCCTCAAAGTTCAAGTGCATCTGCCTGAGAGAAGCAATTAACAGTCTGCATACATATAAGCCATAAAACAGATGTGTATTTAAAACTTAAATTCTGGAACAAGTTAAAAGTTCAGAAATGGATAACATTTTATCCATTACCACAACTTTCCACTGGCTTTACAGTGGTGAACGGAAAGAAGAAGAAGACTGACTTAACTATTCTCAGTGTGACAGATCTACACCCATCAGAAGATTTCAGAAGCCTAGGAAAATTGACTGTTCTCATAGTGCATTGATTGTGAAAGGACATTCTTTTTCCTTCATTGCCAGCATATCTGACTGCTTCTCTTTCTCCTTCCAGCTCTAAACTTCCCACTTGATGAGGATTCTATGGATGTAGATGGTCATATTTTTTTTTTTTTTAAATGTGTCCCCCTGCTAACATCTCATGTGGGTGCCTGAATATAATTTTGGGAGGAACATGACTCCTATTACCAGACATGTCATAACTGGTAAAATAAATTTGGGTTTGCTGAAATCAGGTGTGTTGGGTCAAAAGGTATTGCAGCCTAGCTCTAAACCAGAACATAATGTGCCAACTACTCTTCTTACGCAGAAGAAGAAGAGAAGAAAGAAGATGAAGAAACAGAAGAAAGTAATCATTACCTTCACAGTGTTGTTACTCTGTGCCTCCTGACCACAGCGAACTTGTAGTTCCTGTAAGAACACCCTTACTTTAGGATCGGAAACATCAATTAGTTCTTGAATGTACTCCTCCAGTTCAGCATTGCTCATTGACAACATGTAGCTATACAGAAAGGTAAAAATCCAAATTGTAATCAATGATGAAATCTGTAGCTTTGGTTTATTGGTTGTGAATAGTCTCGACAAGTGGTTCTCAATCTGTTAAAAGATTTGCAGACTGCTATTACTTTCAAAGGTCTGCTAGCTACTGACCCCATAAGTGTCAATAGTTATACTGAAAACTTATTTATAAATTATATAAACATACAAGAACTGTAAAAAAAAAGACTGCATTCCAATGTTGGGGATTTTCTGTAAATAATAAATCTGTTCTGCAGACCACCAAACCGGAACCACTGTTATATATGAATAACTTCACTGATGACAGTCATAACTCCATCGTTGACCATGGGTTCGCCGGTAGACGACTTCGTGGGTCAGGACAGTATTTGAGTGTGTTTCCTTTGATGGCATAAACACTGCAGGAGTCCTTTTCAGGACTCTTGGTGGCGTGCAATGCTAAGCTATTTTTTATGGCGCACATAACCTAGTCATAATTATAACGAAAAGCGTCTATCCTCAGACTGACGGTCGGCAAAGATGGCAGCCGCAAAATATCCAGTCGAGCCACAGTCACGTGTCTATTGCACACTTGCGGTCACGAGCACATCGCGGCAAAACTAGGATTAGTGTCTGTTGACAATTTCGAGAAACGGAACAAACCGCAGAGTTAAACTCGCCGCCGAGAGTCTCCCCCGCGCCGCTAAGCGCGGCGTGGATAGGGCTAAACTAGATGGCTGGGACCCATGAGCAGCAGCTTCCGCATCTCCCACAGCTTTGCTCGTGAGTCCTAGCCATCTAGTTTAGCCCCAATCCACGCCACATGAGCGGCATGGGGGGGTACTCTCGGCGGTGGCAGTAGTCGCCTGAAAACCGCAAATTAAGTCGCTGGAAGTTCACAATTGACACGTGAGTGAGGCCCTGTTTTTGATAGACACCTTTTGTGCCCGTTATTCGGAGGATAGCCGGTCTGTGGATGCTACTAAAAAGAAACGTGCGATACCAATGCGGTACGAGCTGCGCCTTGTTCCGATCGTATTTAGCCGAGTTTCAATAGTGTAACAGCCACATTCAGCAGATTTTCTAGCACTATTTAGAAGGTCTATGCCATAATGTCCAGTTATAAAGGCATACAATTAATAAGTAGTCGATTTGATATAACATTTTTGTCGCTCCTTATTAGTTTTTGTTCCTTATTAGTTTGCACTTCAATTTTTGACTGTTTACAACACATGACACGTGACTGTAGCTGACTGGATATTTTGCGGCTGCCATCTTTGCCAACCGTTAGTCGGAGGATAGCCCGAAAAGCTCCCTCTCTGAAGTTGCTGGTTGAACGTAACGACGGTAACGACTTTTAGTAACGACGGTAACGATTTTTTGTTTTGTTTCAGCCAAGCACCCACCTTCGACAGTAGCGACTACGGTGTTCAGAAATTTGTGATCTTTTGGCAACTTCGTTACCACGGAAACCGTTCGAAACTTGTTTCGGAAATGTCGGCTGGGGTTTCGGGATGGGGTTTCATGAAATTTTGCGATTGGTGTGATTTTCACCAGCTATAAATAGCTGAAAACGGCGGGAACGAACCCGATAAACAGCGCGTGTCTACTTCTTGTTTCTGGGAGAAGTTTTTAGCAGCTGTTTTTTACATCTCATCTCCACAAAAACCTACATATCTCAGAAATGACATACAAGCCTAAATGAGGTACCATTGGAAAGAAATTGTTTACAGCTATCTAACTGTGCTGGTTTTATTGGTGTAGAGGGCATTTTAAAAATTTTACTGAAGTAGCTATTGTAGGTCCTATTGCGTTTGCATACTACGCAATACTATTTCAGGATTATAAAATAAGAATTATTTATAACTGAAACTGCATACTTAATAAAAAAAATAGTAGTCTTGGTCCATCGTTTCACTTTCATTTTCTTTCCTGAGATCAATTGATTGCACAACAAGTTGGAATCGACGATCACGACCACAGTGACAGGCTTCCAACCGGCTATGATACATAAAAACAAATTAACAGTTGTCATAACCACACAAAAAATTAACATTAAAATATAATTAAAACTGTTAAAGCCACTAGTAAGCATTATAACTACCATACCTTGCTACATCTTCTGTGATGTCTAGCCCAAACTTTGTTAACTCACGGCAAAACCAGTCGACGTCTGCTGCCATTGCTGACATTTTATAACTTCTTATCTTCAGACTTTGAAGAGCTGTAGATACGACCGTCGTGTGTAGCAGATATCGAAATTATATATATACATACATATATATATATATATATATATATATATATCCCATGGCGATGGCGAGTGTGACTAGCAAGACCAGCCCGTGTCAAGAAAAGTCTTCCATAATGATAGCATGGGATTTCAGGACCATTGTTGTCAACATTTGTGTTTAATCCGTTTCTTTTCAGACGCCCAGCTCTCATTCTTTCTGCAATCATTTCTTCCTTCAGTCTCATGCCCTTCCTGATATGCCCTTTCCACTCAACACGGCATTTTATTCCCATGAGTCCACCTCAATACCTGTATCATTCATGTCCCGCTTGCAAACATCTTTTTATCGTAGTAGAGGTCGGCCTCGACATCTTCTTCCTGTCTTTAATTCACCATAAAGGATGTCCTGTTAATCAAACAGGTTTTTGACTTTTACCTCCAGTATGGGGGTTTTTTTTTTTTTGTTGGCTTTAAATATGTCCCGAATATTCCACTTGTCTCCTTTCTAAAATTTCATTCAGTCTCCATGAAATACGACATAAGCACTCTTATGTCCATATCTTAAAAGACTCAATTCCACCATTAAATATGCCTTGGCCATCGTGACACTCAGCACCATACAGATGAACAGACTGTAAAAAAATTGAAAACGAAGCAATGCGCATTATTCTTGGGTGCACTAGAGACACCTCCTGTAAATTCATGCGATACCTCTTGGATTTCCCCACAATGGAAAACAGAATCAAGCTATCCAGGGCTGTTGCTTTTCTCAAAGTGAAATCAGACCATCGACACCCACTTTATGAGGTGTTCTATTCAAGCAAAACAAAGAATAGACTCAAACGAGGCAAATCCTGGATGGGCCGGGCTGAGGATGCCATCGAACATGTTTGCCGCCTTACTGACATTAATTATGGAAATGAATAGATTATTATGCCTCCCTCTCCAAACATTAATATTACAGTCCATATCACACTTGATGGAAGCTGCAGAGAGCAAATTCCTGGCATTGTTGACACTTTAGTCAGAACACTGATTGACGAAAACACAGATGGAGGTGATGCTGTAGTTACACAGATGGGTTACTCATTAGGGGCATGAGAAGTGCATGGGCCTTCACAGTAAGCTCAAGGAAGATGAATGGCGTCTTTGCTGTTACAACTAGTAGCCTTACAATGGAAACTATGGCTGTAGCAAGAGCTTTAGCATGGCTTGGTACTCAAAAGTTCACACACGTATGCTTTCTTAGTGTCTCGATGAATATGCTTAAAAATGCAAGCTGGATTTATCAGGCAAGAATGCATTGAAACACTAAGCACTTCACGAATATCTGCCCTAACCCTCATCTTTGTGCCAGGTTATACGGGTGTTGGAGGGAACGAGCGTGCAGACTATCTTGCTGGCCCAGTACTGGACAGAAGTGATGTTATCAATGCTATGCGCTGCACTTACCGTACCTAGGAGAACGCCAAAGGACATGACTCCATATCCCTGTCTAGACTGATGGACATGGGGGTGCAGCCTGAAGCTGCAAGAAATGAACATTTCACTAAGAGGACAAGACGTTTCATTAACCAACGCGTCATCGGTCGTTTTACACTTGTGGAGCTTTAGAGGAGGAGATCGGAGCACCTATGGATCTGTCCGGAGTGCTGTGATGATAATCCTTTCTAATCACTAATCACTCAATTCGATTCTTTAGCTGTATGTTAGTTGTTCTGGTTTCTTTGCCATACAGCTATTTTTTTGTGTAAATAAAACAGACTCAATAATCGAAATACAGACACAATGCTGCGTCAAGACGCACCTGGTTTGAATGCAGACGCGCCTTTAAATAAATACACACACAAATTGACATGTTGCTTAGTCCAAAAGACATGCTGGACACAGGAGAACAGAATGAGACCTGTGAACGTCCACTAGAAATGCTCTAGGTGCAATGGCTTGCACACAACGTCAATGAATAGGTTTCGGTGAAACAAGCTGGATGCTGTCCCAGTCAACTTTTTCTCTCGGGTATGGATGGTTTATGTATGTGTTAGACTCGAAGAGTTTCTGTTTAAATCTTGACATAAAAAGGGGATGGGGAAAAGGGGGGGGGGGGGGGGCTTTTTGTTAGAGACATCACAACCTGTATCATAAGAATAAATCCCCCGTGTGGGTTCCGGGGCCCCACTGTGGGGAAAACAAAAATAGACCCACTGCCTCCCCAAAAGCATGACGTAAGAGTCGACTAATTGGGGAGCTTCTTTTGAAGTCGTAGTTCATCTGCAGGAGAGGCAAAGAACCAACAGTCTGTATTCAAGAGAATGAGATCTGTAAAACTGATGCACACGCAACACTCAGGTTCTGGAGCAGGACTGCAGTTCAGTAGTGGACGAGCAACCAGAACTTTCCGACTGAGTGTACAGTTGGTGAACGCGAAGAAGAAAGAAGATGAGAATAAATTTACCATATAATTATCATAATCATTTGAAAAGTACAGTTGAAATATTTTAAACTTAACAATAAACTCTCCTACAGTTTGTTACAATTAATACATGATCTATTGAGCATTGCATAACCAACAATCATTAACAAGCATAAATATCAAGTATTAAACAAAATAATAATAACTCGATATATCACATTTATAAAGCAGATAGCTTGACCAGGATATCTTTGTTTAAACTGCTAATAATACATCACAAGTACTCAATGTTAGTGTAATTACGTCCTTCTTAGGACGTTATTTTTTGTTATTTGAAGCCCCACTCTGGCTTTTGCCAGGGGCCGCAATATAGGCAGGTCATCATTATGGCCAAATGTCTGAACGCGGTTTCTGGGACCTCTCCACGGTGATCCTCATCCGCATGGTGGCACCTTGTGTCATCGGGTGTTTATCGCTTGTGTGATGTCCTGGTGGGGTAAAAAGCCAAGCCAATCACAAGTACTGATCGGTCCTCATAGAAGTGGAGTGAATAAATTGAGAGCTCATCCTTTGGAGACAGTCTGAATTACCCAGTTATGTCGCATGAGGTTTGCAGTTATCATTCGTCTCTGTTGTATAGCTTGGATGTGCTCAGATAATATCTGGTGACTAAAAGTCAGTATCACTTTTCTAACTTTCCAGACGATGATTTGAGGTTTGAACAACAGATCAATATCATGGCACACGGGTAGTAACCCATAAGTGCTCCGTTCTTTTTCTAACTCAAGTTTAAGTCCGAATAAATCCAGCACAGTGTGCAGGCTCTGTAGCACCGGCGAGGATCCTGAAATACTTTGGGTAGATTTTTAACTCCAAATTTTGCCCGGACAGCGCCGCTAGACTACTTTTTTTTTTTTTTTTTTCCTTCTGCCAAGAAATTTTTTACGACCGCAACAATGCACACGGGCGTCCGATCTCACTATCCAGAAACCAGGGGGGAATTACTACAAGTTCAAGTCCACGTGAAAAAATCGCAGCCCTTCCCGGGGATTGAACCCAGAACCTCTAGCACTCGAGGCGGACACCATGCCTTGAGACTACACAGCCCTCCTCCAGACGATGGTATATCAAGGCACTCAAATCTCTGATAACCGTGATGGTATCAGTTAAGACCGTGAATAAACGTTCTGCTCCACAATACAAAGTCTGTTAACCTCGCCCTAATATGACACGCAATTTTTCGTTTTTGTAAAGTTCTACCCGGCTGTATTCAGGGGCTTTAATATAACCTAATGGCTGAACAGGGTTTCTGGTAATTATACCAGGGTGATTCTCATTCGAATAACGGCACTTTGCGTCATCGGGTGTGTATCACGGTCCTGGTGGGGACGAATGTCACTCGCTCAATGCAAAGCCTGGGTGGTATTGAAGAGGTCATATGTTGCGCAGGCAGCATGACCCATCCCACGTCCTGCTTTATTAAAGAAAAAGAAAAGGTAACACCAATAAGTTTGGAACAAAGCATGGCGCAGAAGCTGTCGGACCAGAAGATAGTGAAAAATTGAGAAGGAAGAGGTTTTTTTGGGGGGTCTACATTGCCCATTCCATTCCATTTTTGTTCGGTAAGGGGGCGGGCTGTGGTTAAATGTGTATGAACCCCCCCCCCCCTTTCCCCCCCCCCCCCCCCCCTCACAGGTTCAGATGCCCATGTTTCTGATGTGGTTATTCATGATGGTAAAGTAAAGCTCATGAACAAGCTACTCGACACCTGCCGTCTTATATGTAGCATAAAACCGAACATGCAAAATAAAATCTTCTAATGCGAAATAAAATCTTATATTAAAAAAAAAATTGAAACCAGTGATACCCATTCATCATCATCATAATCATCAAACGCCTCGTCGAATGGCGTTAGCAATTATGCTTCTCCTATTCTTTGCAATCTCCAAAATCATGTATCAATCTTCATCAACGCAATTCCTGGCTGATGAGCTGTTTCAGTGCACAGTCAAAATGTTGATAGCTATATACACGTTAACTCTTTGAGTTCATACGTTCATATGTTACTGCCTAGAAGCCCAATCAACGCATAATGCGCCGATTTTACTTCTCTCTTGACTACGCCTTGGGCCTGTGATGCAACCCTCTGGGACTCAAAGAGTTAAAGCATATATCCACGTGTCTCTCTCTCTCTCTCTCTCTCTCTCTCTCTCTCTCTCTCTCTCTCTCTCTCTGTGTGTGTGTGTGTCTCTCTCTGGACGCGCGCACGTGTGTGTGCGTGCGTGCCTGCGTATGCAGGTATTATAAATTAATGACTTTCTCCAACAGAGATGGTATGATTTGGACGAGGTCATCCCCACTCAGTTTCCAGGTTGGACATTTTTCGAAACACAAGATGCTTATTACAGAATCAGTTCACGAATTTTGGCATCCACGGGAGACTATCGACAAGTGAGAATTATTATGCGTATATTCTTGCCACTTTAAGCTAACGTCATTACCAAAGGCAACTACAAACATACTTATCATTATCATATTCATCAAATTAATACCATACGAGTTGCATAACGCCAAAAAAGATCACAACAAGTTGGACCTTACTACCCTTATCCAGGCTGGTGGATATAGTAGTGCAGCCTGGAGCACCCAGATATCAACATTTCACTATGGGCACAAGACATCCGTGTAATCAACATAGAACTTGCGTGATCGGTCGTTTTACGCTTGTGGGGGGGGGGGGGGATATTGCAGAGGACATCGGTCGTTTTACTCTTGGTGGGGGATATTGCGGAGGAGATCAGTCGTTTTACTCTTGTGGGGGATATTGCGGAGGAGATCGGTCGTTTTACTCTTGTCGGGGATATTGCGGAGGAGATCGGTCATCAACGGATCTGTTCGGAGGGTTGTGATGATGGTAATCGCTAAGCACTAATCATTCAAAATATCTTTTTTTTTTTTTTAAATCATGTATCAACAATATAAAGAGAGTGCTAAAATGTTACAGAGAACCTGTTCTGCTGTACGGTAGCGAATCTTGGAATGTCAGTGAAAACATTAAGAAGAATTTGGAAGCAACAGAGATTTGGTTTCTGAAACGAAAGTTACGAATATCTTGAGCGGCCAAAGTAACTAACAACGATTGTTTGAAAGAAGCTTTTGAAAGTAGATCTCTATATGCAACATTAAGAAGGAGACAAACACTGTTCTTTGGCCACGTAATGAAAAGAGAGGCATTGGAAAACATTATGACAACTGGAAAGATTAGTGGAAAGAGGGGTAAAGGCAGAACAAGAGAGATGATGCCGGATGGGCTGAAACGATGGCATGGAGGGATATCATTAAGAGAGCTGTTCCAGTTAACCAGGGATCGTGATCTGTGAAGAATCATGAGAACCAACTCCACCTAGCAGGGCATTTGCTGCTGCTGCTGCTGATGATGATGATGATGATGATGATGATCAATTATATAAAAAGGGGGCCGGAGGAGATGGTGGGTCTTGCTATCGAGCCTGTAAAAGATGAAAATGTGGGTAATTGATATTTATTTAATAACACAGAAATAAAAAATAATAATAATTTGCTGTGTCTCGTAAGGTACACACTAAAGTAACAATTACATTATTGAAGCAGATCAGTGACTTCTGAATAACACCTGACGAGATACAGCGAAATACGCCAGGCAAAAAAAAAAATTGTGTAATTTGTTGTTTGTGTCTTCTTTGTTTAAATAATAATTATTATTATTATTAAGTAACCAAACCACAGACTTCGACTAGAAAGACAAACACTTCTGGTTATGTTTATTGGTGTGTGTCCGCTTTCGTGTTGGTTGACTTATGTCTCAGGAACCAGGGTTTGCTGATACAAAGAAAATATTGGTGATTCTCTTCGAGGGGGAGAGGGAATTAGGGTCTTTCTACCTCCATTCCAATTTTCATAGAGGAAGCTCTTGGGGAAGGGGGGGGGGGGTATATTAGTAATAATAATAATAATAGTAGTAATAATAATAACAATAATACTAATAATAATAATAATAATAATAATAATAACAATCTACTGAATGGCAAAGCAATCTAATAACAAATATATATTTATAAATAATAATACGAAATGTTCCCAGTCTGGGTGTCAACCCCCAGTTGGCGGGAAAGGGAAAGAACAGACCCAATTTCCCTAAACAAGTATGTCGTAAAAATTGAACTAAATAAGTGTGTCACCTTCAAAGTGGGAGTGCATCTGCATGAGATGAAAAGCCAACAGTCTGCATACAAAAATTCAAATGTGTAAAACAGATATGCATGCAAAACTCAAGTTCTGGCTCAAGGCCAAAGTCCAGGAGAGAACAAACAACTATAACTTTTCCTCAAGTTTGCAGGTGGTGAAGAAGAAGTTGGGATTTTGTTTTCCATTTACAGAAAAGTAATTGGGGGGGGGGGGGGGTGGGTATTTCTTTGACCTTGTTTAGGTTGATTATTTTCTTTATTATCCGGATTATTGAGGTTCACCTGGTTGTCACTGACGCTAAAGTTATCTTTGGGAGCAGTCTTTCACAGGTATTTTCATTTTATTATTTAGTAAAATATTTTGACGCAGTGCCACTGTTACTGTTATACAGAAACTGAACATACCTTTCTGTTACTACACGATTACAATGTGGAACTTTAAATCATAGTCGGTACAGAACGAAACAGAACGTTTAGTAAAAAAGGTTTCTCTTTTGAGCAGGCGCACAGACACAAACAAACCCTTTTAAGAAAAAGTGGCAAGGCTGGGCGATTCACTCATCTCTTTACCCATTTTCTAAGAATAAAATATGAAGTTAGAAAAGGGAAGAGGGGGAAAGGGGGGAGGATTCAAGGGGCATAATTGTCTACACTCACTGATGCTACAAACTCCGTTCCAAAAGTGGTGGCTTATTGCTCCTAGCTGTGTGATGTTGTCGCTCTGAATATGTGGGTACCCTCCATTGTCCCTCATGAGTGTTCCACTTTTCATGTCTATTTTTCTATCCTCTGGATTCAGTTGTGTTGAGTGCAATTGTGACTGTACTTTTTGTGGTTCAAGTGGTGTTAATTTTTTTTTTCTCCAGTGGTCATTGTGTGCAGTTTTCTAGCTCTGAGATCGCGTTCTCATTCCTTTTTCATAAAGAAAGAGAATGGAGTAATTGAGAGGAGATATCAGTGGGAAATTAAAGTGATACTTACCAAAGCCAGACAAAGCCGAGGGAAGTGTTACGATGCATAATAGTTGGATGAGCCACTTTACTACTAATGAAATCTGACCACCTACAGCAGTCGGCAAGATACTTAATGACATGATGGTGATGATCAAATGTTTGCATGTAGTTTAAAAAGACACCCGATCAAGTACCTACGCAGAAGAAGTTACTGCTTATTCTTACGTTTGCTGCACTGCTGCAACCACGTTTCATGTCTGTATCGGTCTTAAGTCGGCATACAAGGTTTGAAATTTAAAACTGCGAACGTTCTTCGTAATTCTGAGATGCCAGGTTGGATCAAAGCTGTGGGTGATTTAGCAACATACCGCCTTGCTTTGGTTTCGACAATGGTATTCAGAGTTGACAGTTTAGAACGCAATGGAAAATTACTGAACCCAAGATTAAATAGTGAAATCACATACAGCTACACACACACACGCGCACACACACACACACACTCTAGAGCTGGTTCTGCAACGTCCTGTAAAGAAAACGCAGCTAACCTTCTTTTCCATTGTTTTAGATTGTTTTGTAATTATCTTGTTCGCCCAATGTGTTGCAGACATCACAAGGAAAATACGAGTATGTAATGGACCTCATGGATTGCAAGGTTTTCCTGTACCCTCTGTTCCTGAAGCTTATGTTCAAAGACAAGAGGAGAAGCTACACCGTTGTGGTAGGTCATCAGTCTCCCAGCAGTCGTTTGTGGGATGGTGTTGTAATATTAATAATAATAAAGTCAGTTGCGAATTCTTTGCATGATTATGCAAAACCAACCGAATACATTTTTGGCTGTTTATGATTTTTAAAAGCAAATTTACGTTGATTAAAATGCTTAGCTGTATTTACTATTGTGGAAATAAACACCAAGTTTTGATGTCAAATATCCCGCAGCTGGTATCTTGGAATTATAAACCGCGTTTGCAACTGCGAAGCCACGCCGTCCACGATGATGATGTACAACTGCATAGGAGAAGATGAAAGATCCTATTCCAATGCCACATGGGGTATTCGCATCATGGGACTTAAGAATTGTCCACGGACACAACATGCTAGCCTTTATTTTAATAGGGCGATCGGCACTCGATATGTACAATTGTAAATATAGCGCCTTTACTTACTGTAGAATTCCTAGTACCCATGTTATGCTGGGTTGACCTGGTAGCCTGGACTGGATCAGTATTTGTGTAATCCCATCTAGATGGGGTTTTAAACACACGATTACCGAATCGTCAGACAAGTATACTAGCTAGCTGAAAACATCTGCGTCCAAATGAGTGGCTGGGCTAGGGATATTAGCCGGTGCTTGATTAATATCCTACCCCAAACAGGGGAAATCTACAGGTCATGGGACATTATAACATTTCAGGTGGTGATTGATAGGCTGCATGCAGACGTGGGACCTAGGGCTGCACTCTTTCGTGGGACGTAGGTGGGTTGGGTTAGGGCCAGTTCTATATGTTTTTGGGTCGTTAAAAGCATTAGAAAGCCGGGAAACCCAATCTTACCACTTTTTTAAAATGTTGGACTGTCCTGTGACGTCATCTGGGGGGCGGATATTGATAAAGAACCTAATAGCCTTATATGGTAAAATACTAGCTATGAAGGTTGGGGAACATAAAAACAAAATGGATTTATGCGGGAAAAGGTCAACAGGTCAAAACAAGAAAAAGCCAAATCATTAAAGTATTGGCTGTGTAGAGAAAAATCTAGAGTAATTTTCGATAATTTTAGATCATTAACACTATTCTCAACATAAGTTAGTGAGTTGGCAGATTCATCCTCATTGCATATCGAACAATGCAGTTCATAAATGACCAGATCCCCTCCTCAGTAAATCCCACAGCATGTAGTGGCTAATCACACCTGGGTAGGTACATTCTTCTTCTTTGGTTGCTTGCATAGTGCTCTTATCTGGCCACACCCATTTTAACTTCCCGTTCTTGCAGTCTGGTCATGGTTACAAATATAGTCATCATTCGGCTCTTGTAAACCCCTCAACTCGCGTATACATCAGCCCGGGCTATGGTTCGCTCGCCCCACACAGCAGCTTTACCTGCAAGCCTATTATTCTTAGTAACTACAGTGCCACAGACTCCATTTTCATCATTTAATCGGGGTCCAAATGGAGCAATGATGCGCAATACAAGACTCTTAATGTCTATTAGCCTCTCTTGCTCAAGCCTACCTCACCTTCACGTGGTGGACCCTGTTCTTTCCAGCAATCCAGTTGAAGGTTGGGGTCTCAACGCCCAGCGGGAAACTGGATGGGACAACAAACGAGGTAAAGGCGAAGGGATGAAAGTCGGAAATACTGGGCCAGAAGGCGGATCAAAAACCACAGTACTACGCAACCCCACTCTATATATATATGATTACACCGTCAGACAAATTTAATGTTGGTGCTCGCCCTGTGGAGCTCCACCAGGCAGGTGCAGTGCCGGGTTCTGAGCCTCGACAGAATCCACCCCCAGCTACTGGAGGACCTCCTAGACCGTCTTGTGGAGTCAGGAGACGGCGGAGGATAGCTACTGACCAAAACCAGTAAGACAAAAAAGATCCCAATTTGCCTTTTGTCATAATGCACTGGAATGCATAGGGGGCCAGCAGTAAGCAGGCTGGCTACAGCAGAAAGTTGGAGCTGGAAAACATCCTCTATGAAAAGCATGTCAGTGTATGCTGCATCCAAGAGACCCATTTGCAGGCAGATCAGATATTTAAAGTGAGAGGCTACCAGTGCTTCAGATCTGACAGACAAGGCAGGCGAAAAGGAGGAGTACTTACCCTTGTAAAAAATAGTATCAATCCATGTGAGAAAATGTCTTATATGGATGGAGCTGAGTACCAACTCCTGCAGCTTAAGACAGACAAAGTGGAATTAGTCCTCCTTAATTACTACTGTCCCAATGACAAATCGCTAAACCTCAGCTCTGTGCCAGTACCAAATACCAACTTTATTGCAGTTGGAGACTTCAACAGTAATTCACAGAGCTGGGGCTATAACCATCTCGACAACAGGGGTGAAGAGGTGGAAACATGGCAAGATGACCACTCTCTCATCCTGATCAATGCCCCCTCAGATACTCCTACCTTCTACTCCAGAAGGTGGCAGACAACGTCAACCCCAGATCTTGCCTTCTCTACCCCAGATATATCTGGAATGATAAGTAGAGAGGTGGGAGACCAGCTGGGGGGCAGTGACCATTGCCCGATTTTTCTTACTGTCCAGAATGTACCAGTTAATACAGGCCCAGTCATCACAAGATGGAACTACAATAAAGCCAACTGGGGCCTGTACAGACACAGGACAAGCACATTGTTGTCTGCTCTCAAGGTACAAAATAGGGATATCAATGCTATAGTGCACGATTTCAATAGAAGTATTCTCCAAGCTGCAAAAGAAACAATCCCCAGAGGTGGTCGACACAACTACAGACTGTACTAGTCCAGCACACTCCAGGAATGTTAAGAAACAATGAATCAGGCTAGAAAGGATGCAAAATCCTAACCTTCACCTGACAACCACACCAAATGGAAAAAGGCTGTAGCAGTGTTCCAGAGAACTAAACTTGAAGAAAAACAGAAAAGCTGGAGAAAAAAAAAACCACCAGCTCTAAACCTTGAGAAAGATGGCAAGAAACTCTGGAGATTAGCCAAATCACTCAATGAAGAGAGTTTCTCTCCTAGACAAACAATCACGCTAAGTGATGGTGACAAAATCTTCAGAGGAAAACAAGCTGCAGATTTGTTTGCCAGAACATACAGTGTTGAAAGCAACCTGACCCTTAAGGAGGACCATCAAAGAGAAATAGGGAAAGCAATTCAAACAAATAAGAGACAGACAGATACTTCTGCCTCTATGAGAGAGAAGCCATCACAATACCCATTTTAAAAAAAAGGAAAAATTAAGACACAGGCTTCGAGCTATCGCCCAATTGGTCTCACAAGCTGTGTAGGAAAGACATTGGAAAGAATTGTAAATTCAAGACTGAAATGGCACTTAGAATCTGAGCAGATCTTGGTGCCAGAGCAGGCTGGGTTTAGGGAATGTCACAGCATAGAAGACCAAGTCACCTACCTGTCACAAGCTGTAGAGGATGCCTTCCAAGAGAAGAAAAAGGTCCTGGCGGTATGGGTTGACTTCAACCAAGCTTTTGACAAAGTCTGGAAAGATGGTCTCATTGCAAAACTGAAGAGAAATGGAATCCAAGGAAACATGCTAAAATGGATCCAATCCTTCTTACACAGCAGGAGAACTAGAGTCAGTCTTGATGACCAGCAGAGTAGAAAAGTGTTACTTCGGCAAGGAGTACAACAGGGAGGAGTTATCTCTCCAAATCTCTTTCTTGTGTAAATAAATGATATGGTGAAAGACCTCCCTACAGGAGTAAAAGCTGCCCTGTATGCAGATGATCTGGCACTGTGGTGTACCGATGAACACACCACAGTGGCAAATATAAGAATGCAGCCAGCAGCAGATCTCTTGATGACATGGGCAGAAAATGGCATGTTGCCATCAACACAGACAAAACATCCACAACGCTTTTCTCTCTTTCCCCCAGGGACAAAGCTGCTTGTATTCACCTAGGAACATCTTTGCTAAAGGAAGAAAGCTTCCCCGCTTATCTTGGAGTAACATTTGATAAAAGGCTCACATGGAGCAAACATATAGAAAATGTAGAAGGGAAGGCCAGGAGACGACTAGGCCTACTTAGAAAACTGGCAGGTACAGGATGGGGAGCGAATGGAACAACCCTAAAGAAAGTTTATAATGGAGCGATAAAACCCCACTTGGAGTTTGGTGCAACAGCATGGCCAACAGCTGCTAATTCCCATCTACAATCGTTAGACAGAGTGCAAAATCAAGCTCTTAGACTCATGACAGGATCCATGAAAACTGCACCAATCCTGAAGATGCAGAAAATAACTGCAATGCAGACGCTGTCCTATAGAAGAGACACTAAAACTATGATCCAGATGGAAAAGTTTAATAGTATGCAGTCACACCCAATGAATAAAAGGTTAGATGATCTGGCATTAGGGCGTCTCAAACGTAGCAGCTTTGTCCATCGGGGGAAAAGACTTAGAAGACAGTATCAAGCTGATCTACCTATTAGAACAACACCGCTGAAACCTACCCTATACCCTGTACCTTGGGAGCAAGTCAGTGATACAATACAGATAATGACTTCAGTCAATGGATTCACAACTGGAGATTAGTCCAATGATCTTCAAAAACGAACAGCTGCTCTTAGCATGATTCATGAAAACTATCCCGAACAGTCATGGATACATGTTTACACAGATGGATCAGCAACCAGTGCGGTTAAAAATGGGGGTGCTGGAGTCTTTATTACATACCCAGGCAACCACCGCCACACAAAGTGGATACCCACTGGTAAATTCTGTTCCAACTACACAGCAGAGATTGTAGCACTAGAGCAGGCTGCCGAAATGTTACACCAGTTCTGACTGCCACCAAGTGGTCATATTCACAGATGCGCTATCAGTGCTTCAAGCCTTCAAGAGTGGCAAACTCCCTCACTTGAGATCTGAACTTGGCAAGGTGGCTGCCCAAAAGTGTACTGTACTCCAGTGGGTACCATCCCACTGTGGTATATCAGGAAACGAAACCGCAGATAAACTTGCTAAAAAGGGGCAGAATGTGACCAGGAAGAGAATACAGTAACATACTATGAGAAGAAAAGGGCCATCCAGGCTATTAGAAGTGAACAGAGTCTGGCCAGAGATGACTACCACTTACTTGACCGGCATGGGCAGGTCATTGTCCTACGTCTCAGGACAGGACATAACAAACTTAACCAGCATATGCACAGGCTTCGTCTAAGTAGTTCACCTTTTTGCCCTTGTGGGCTATGTGTGCAGACTACAGAACGTGTCCTGCAAGACTGTCCCTTGTTCAGCCCATTAAGAAAGGAATACTGGCCCAGTGAATCACCACTGTACACAAAGTTGTATGGGACTAAAAATTAACTCATAAAAACAGTCAAGTTTATCACAAGAACCTGTCTGTCGGTGTAAATCAGAAAGCGAACAGAAGAAGAAGAAGAAGATCATTTAATCTCATCGCCTCCTTCGCAGAAATTAGACCCCTGAACAGTGGCTGAGAAGATTGACGAAAAAGAGGGTTGGGGGGGGGGGGGGCAAAACAAGAAAAAGTCGGACGTTCTGGCCAGACCCTTTCTCTACATAAAGCGACAAAGGTTAAAGTTTCATGGCCACTTGTCCCTCCACCCCCCCCCCCACAGGGGGTGGAGAGAGGGGAAGGGGTGTCACAAGAACAACTATAAAACACATGAAAAGATAAGTGCGACGTGGAGCGCATAAAATAAATAAAGGAGCGAAAATATTAATAAAATAAGAAAACATGAGTAATATGAATTATAATCGTACGAGTTGTGGAAAAATAGTAACAATAACGTTTATGGTGATAATAATATTAATATGAATAAAAATACCAATGATCCATAAATAGTAACAATACAATTAAAATAAAAAATAAAAAGATAAAATGAAATGAAAGAAAGAATACAATTATTTAGATGAGAGTATGCTGAACCTAATGAGCTCAGAACTCAGAACACCTAAATTATGAATGAGGCCATTTTCCAAAAGAAAATCCCTTTCCTCTGTCGCTTCGCCCTGATAGGTACGCAGACATTCGAACTTGTCTACGACCATACCACGTTGAAAACACCGATTCTCGTCCGATCACCGAAGTTAGGCGCCGTAGGTGCTCGCTGTGGATCGGAAGGTCATAGGTTCGCTCCCTGGCGGAGCCGGACTTTTATTAAAAAATTACCTTGGCTCCCAGGTCGACCCAGCCTCGAGTGGGTACCGGGGGCAGTCCCGGGAAGTAGAGGCGGCCGGCGTGATGCTGATCACATCCCCTATCTTGTGCCGTTGGTCTATAAAACAAAGGTCTAGCCCTATATGCCCTTTACGCGTAAAGGCGTGGAAAGGGTCCTTTACTTTTATTTTACTTGACTTACTTACATTCGAACCTGCCATATCCAAATGATGAGAGCTTAGCTGGAGGAGCACGGGTGTTCTGACATACCATTAACTAGGAACATTTAAAGAAAAGCCCCTTCCATTCACATAAACTCATATCTTGAAATTACGGACATAGTTCTTAGCCAGCCACTTTGTTGGTGTCAAGAATTGTTAAAACTTCACAAATCTTGTGTTGAGTCCGTTTGAGTTAGAAACCAATATCACAGTACGGGGGACATTGACATAGGCACTCCAGTCCTATATTCAGCAACCAATTCTTGTTTGGAGCAAAACTGATGAGGAAAGCTAATTTTTGCACTATTGAGGACTGAACGCCGGATTACCGCTGGCGAGAAGTAAGTGCTCTAGGTAGAGCTTTATCCCCACCCCCACCCCCACCCCAGAAAAAAAGGGGCCTGAAATCACCACATGGGGTCTAAAAATGTGCCGGTGCTCCTCCTGGTCTGTTCCATAGTTCTGAAAGAAACGACGCCTCAAAGTTAGGCGGCGGTTACTACGTACTACCAGAAATAAGAGCTCCGGCTGGTAAACAAGTCGAAGAAAGTTTCCTGTCCTAAATTGTCAAAACACAAGCCACGCTAATCCCTTCCAGAATCGGTGCTTGCAACTGTACTGAAAAGTAAAGACGGGCAGTCTGGCATTTACCACATCACCCATCGTTGTTCTGCTGATGAAGGTTAATGTCCCAAACTTTTGTTTATTGCAAGTGATTTTGTCAAGAAGATATGTACTTTATCTTTTTTCTGATAATTTTCAATTTTCATGTACTAGGCCGGAGAGGCCCTTAGTAACAAGAAAAAAATAAATAAAGAGAGAGAGTTCGTTTTGGTGGGGGAGAGATCAGAATATCTCACCCAGACAAGAAATCTTCTGTGTAGAGTCTAGATAGCCAAAAAACGAATAAAATAAACTAGGCACACTAACTACTAGTCCTAAACTGAAGGAAACAACTGTAACTATGAATACAACGTTGAACATAATTTTATTTAACTACACATCAGCATGGCCAACAAATAACGACATTAAGGACAACAAACTGCTGGAAAAAAATCTAAAATGCCTATCGTCAAACCAAAAGAACGTACCACCGTCTGGAATCAGTCAGACCACGGACGTTACCTGTGGTCGCCATACCCATCGACCAGCCCATTGTGCAAAGCATCGGTAGCTAGGTTAGGCTCCCACAGGTTGGTCCGGAAGTCAAAAAGGCTGAAACTTGGTCATGGTCATGGTCGTCGTAAAAAAAAAAAATTCCCGCCAATTTCAGTCAGCTCCTATACTGAGAATCGACTCTATCTTGGCGTCTTTTTTTTGGTTTCCAATTATCTTTCTTTGACTGCAGCGTTTGTCGCTTTATCCGATTTCTTGATGAATAGGGTGGGGATCTCGGTCTGCCCTAAAAAGGGCAGGCCATATCTTGGGACGGCCTCGTTCGGGTAGGGTGGGGGTGAATTTGGTGGTGGATATCATGCCTGGCTGGTTGCGAGCTGTGAGGTTTCTCCGGGTTGGTGGGCGGGCTTGTTCAGCTGTCATGGCGGCTTGGGCGGTTTTTATTGGTCGCTGGTTTCCAAAGGCTTATCAAGGTTTTCGATGGTCCTCTGTTTGTAGTAGGGCTGGCTCACTCCCTGTTTGGGTGCGGCTCTCGTGTTGACGATTTGGTGGGCTCTTGACATTTCTTTAAGTAGTTTGTTTTCGTACTCCTGGTGTCTTACGTAGAGGTGCGGGTATGTCACATTTGTGGCGTTGAAGTCATTCTTCGGGTCGTAGTGAATCAACTTCCATCCGGCAGGGCCGGCCCACTCTCCTCTGCTTGGTGCAAGCAGATCATTCATACATTTCACCAACTCATCGATGTATGCCTGTGACAGTTCATCGTGAGGTACGAAGGCTGGCATTTCAAGGATTCAGTTTGCGTATTCTTCCTATTCTGCATCTCCTCCAAAATAGTCCGGTTCAGAGTCTGGTTCAGTTTCCACCTCTGTCGGGTCTTGCTGGGCTTCAATTAGTTTTTTTATGTCGCTCACTGCTTCTTTCAGGATCTCTCGCATGCTTGACTCCTGTTCCGCCTTCTCTTTCTGCCGGATTTTCTCCATATTGAGTGCTATCATTGCAGCAACTGCTTCAGCTTTCACCTCAAGCAGCCGGGTGATTTTTCGGTACGTTGTTTCGCTGGCTTCTTTGAGAGCGGCCATCTCTCTCTGGTGTTCCTCTCGTTCTGCTTGACACCGAGCTACCTCCTGGACTTGTGCTGTTTTTAGCTGCGCTAATAGGTCTTGCAATTTTATAGTCGCCTCTGTTGTTTCAGCCAGTAGTCTGGTGTTCTGGGTCGCTTCTGCTTGTTTGCCTGTTCTCTGTGCTTTTAGTTCGTCCAATGTTTGGGAGATGAGGCCTAGCATCTCAATTCTGACCGAGGTAGCTTCATCTCTGTTTACTTTCTGCTTGTTGATCGTACAGATTTCGTTCCGGATTTCGGCTGAGCTAGCTCTGTGGTTTGGTCTCGCTGTGCTCGGCTAAGTGGGTCGCCTTTTACAGTCCTTCAGGTAGGGGCAGCCCTGGAATCCGGCGCTATGTGGTCCTGAACAATTGGAGCATCTTCTGTTTTTATTAGGTCTCCTAAAGTCCTGGTCGGTCTTGGCTAGGGGGCACTCTTTAAAGTCGTGCGTCCCTGCACAGTAACGACAATTGGGCCCGCTACGACAGGTCGCTGCAGTGTGCCAGTAGCTAGTACTGCGCACTGCAAAACAAAGTCCAGCGCATAGCACCATATGCACATAATGAAGAATTTCTACTGTTTCAGTGACTTCGTGGTTAATCCGTCGCCTCGTTTCCACATGGTTGTGGGTTCGTTTCAAGGACGGCATCGTTCGGTTCACCGATGTGCAATTTACAGCGATCCCTTGGATCGTGTCTTTGTGCGACGATATACAACAGTTTAGAAGGTTAGTTGCGTATCCTTTACAGGATGTTGCAGAACCAACCCCAACAGCCCCTGGCTGGTGTGTGGTTTTTCTAGGCAAATTTACGTCCAGTAGTTTGCTATTTTTTTCTAGACTGTCGGTTTTCTTGATACCACTGTCGAAACCAACGCAAGGACCATGGTCTGCAGCTGGAATCGAGCCCGACATCCCGACACTACGAAGCGTTCGCATCGACTTGGTGACAGAGCCGACAACAGCTCAGAAACTAACTGAAAAAAAGTTTGCTCTAAAATGGCTGTAGTAAATCCTGTAATAAAGTTTTCTGCTCTGTTTTAGTTCAAGTATGTAGGGGACTACAAGTTCGTGATCAGAACATTGAAGAATCAAATAAAGCAGAAAATTATTGAGAGGGAAGAATATCTCAGACTGACAAGTAAGTTTCTTTTAAAAAAAAGTTATTAAGTAAAGTAAAGGACCTTTTCCCACCCCGTCAGGCGGTGTTGGGCATATAGGGCTAGACCTATATTTTATAGACCAATCGGCACTGGCTGGGCGATGTGTTCAGCATCACGTTGGCCGCCTTTACTTCTACCTAGTACCCACTCAAGGCTGGGTTGAACTGACAGCCAAGGTCATTTTGAAAAAAAAAGTTCCGGCTCCGTCTGAACCCGAACCCACAAGCTTCCGATTCGCAGGCTTTCTAGCCACTACACCACGGCGGCCCTAGGTGTGAAAAAACACACACGAAAACAGGAAATACACAAAACTTAAGACTCACATACTTGTTGATTGTGGCTGCTGTTTGTGTGCTTGTATATGTATCGGGCTGTCTGTCTGCCCGGCTGCCAGTCTGTCTGCCTGCCTGCCAGTCTGTCTACCTATCTCCATTTGTCTGTCTGTCTTTCGTGTGTTTTTCGTAAAGATTTCACACTAAATATACATGTCCCTTCCCGAAACCTCTTTCCGTCTATCGTTGTCTGTCTGTCTACCTATCTCTGTCTGTCTATCTGTCTGTCTGTCCGTCCGTCTGTCTGTCTGTCTGTCTGTCTTTCGTATGTTTTGTTTCCCCCGTCAAAATTTCAATAAAATCTACCTGTCCCTTCCCGCAACTTTTTTCCGTCTATCGTTGTCTATCTATGTGCTTCTCCCCTTCTCTCTCTCTCACATAAACACACCACTCACAAACTTCCCCTTTTCTTCATAAAAACACACATGCACATAAGCCAGTTCACAAACACTGGATACGTAAATAAAGATAAATAGCAGAGATTCTGCAATCACGACTGACTGGTTTTTGTTCCAATAATGAAGACACTGCTGTCCTGCTGAACTAATGCATCAGGGATTCCGGATTATTATGTCTCGCCCAGCAGTCTCAAAGCTCTCCCAGCAGTCTCAAAGCTCTCCCAGCAGTCTCAAAGCTCTCCCAGTAGTCTCAAAGCTCTCCCAGCAGTCTCAAAGCTCTCCCAGTAGTCTAAAAGCTCTCCCAGCAGTCTCAAAGCTCTCCCAGTAGTCTAAAAGCTCTCCCAGCAGTCTCAAAGCTCTCCCAGCAGTTTCAAAGCTCTCCCAGTAGTCTCAAAGCTCTCCCAGCAGTCTCAAAGCTCTCCCAGCAGTCTCAAAGCTCTCCCAGCAGTCTCAAAGCTCTCCCAGCAGTCTCAAAGCTCTCCCAGCAGTCTCAAAGCTCTCCCAGTAGTCTAAAAGCTCTCCCAGCAGTCTCAAAGCTCTCCCAGCAGTCTCAAAGCTCTCCCAGTAGTCTAAAACCTCTCCCAGCAGTCTCAAAGCTCTCCCAGCAGTCTTAAAGCTCTCCCAGCAGTCTTAAAGCTCTCCCAGCAGTCTCAAAGCTCTCCCATGAGTAGCCTCACTCAACAGGTTAATGTCTCTGTTGTCTGAATATGCAGTGAGCTAGATTTATCTCTGATCAAGGGTCTCGTGGCCATGTGGGCAAGCCGTTTGCCCTGTGCCCTAAAGGTGGTGAGCTCGTTTCACGGAAGTGTCGTTCAAGTAAAACGACGTTTTTGATGAGATTCCTTGGAAATTGACACTAGAGCTTCGGAATTCGTGCTTTGTTTGAATCTCCGGACACGCGTTATCCGGAGGGATACTTTAACATAGGGGATATCACTCGTTGCAGTTAATTTGGTGCTGTCGACTTCAACTCTCTGTCAGTGATCACTAATGTTTTTAATTAATGTGTAAAAGATAAAAAATTTAAAAAAAAAGACTATGATTTCTTCTGTCAACAGTCAACCACCTCCATAGGCAGAACGCGTTGTTTGTAGCACATGAGAAGGGAGTATCCTGTGACGAGATATCCAAGATTATTCTAGAAGAAACCAACAAAAAGAGAGAGCCAAGGGTGAGAGTTCACCAGTCAGTTTACAACCTCTGTTGTCTTGCCAGAAAAAGAGCACGTTTAAAATTGTTGCCCTGTTTTTGGTGCTAAATCAAGAAGTGATTTTCAGTGCCTTTTGGTGTTAATGATAATATATATTAGGAATCTTTGAATACCCACTTTTTACAGCATACTTCTGAAAATGCAATTTCTATGTGATGTGTTTATTGCGTAATCCACTTGGAGATATTTGTATTTTCTTTTAAAAGAATGACACAAAACGGACCATAAATTAACATATTAAACAATGTATTATTTTACATGTGTGTAGCTATTGTTTGTGTTTGATAATTATCACTTTTGTGGAATCCTTGTGTGGATTTGGTGGGACTCATTTGGGGAAAAAAAAGTGGGGGACAGGGAGCTGAGGGGGGGGGGATGTGAAAAGGAGGTTGGAATGGGGGGGGGGGGGAGACAGACCCTCTGCTGTTTAAAAAATGATGTCGTAAAAGTCGACTAATTAAAGAATTGCTAAAATTGAAACTATTGCGCTGAAATAGGAAGATGTCGCAGCCTTGCTGTAGACAGCAACACAACCTAATAAAAGTATTTTTTTTCTCCAGAAGAATTCAGATGATCTATCTAACTATATGTCTGTCTATCTACTTTTTTTAAATCCACAAACCATGAATTGAAACCCTTCTGCCTCGATTCCATGATAGATACCGTAAATCTGGGAATTATGTAGCTTTCCAGCCTAACCCGAATGTGAACTCGGACCAAAAGGAGTTTGTCACCCGGTCGCCGAGCAGCATATATCTGTCTGTCGGTCTGCATGTCAGTCTGCATGCCTGCATGTTTGTCTGTATGCCTGTCTGCCTGTCTGTCTGTCTTAAACAAGTTACAGAAAGGGTCTATAATGTGCTGCAAATGATTGATTTATAGCCATATTGGGAATCAGCACTGCTTATTTTCGTTCTGCGAGGGGACTACTGTATTTATTGCGTTACCTAAAAGACCAGGAGCAATTAAATGTGAAGAATTTCGTACAATCAACTAAATAAATCATGTCACTAAATTACTCATCATCATCATGTAGCAGGTCCTTCGCAGAACGTCGCTCTCATCACGGTCTGCCTGAAAGAAACTCTGTCTCTCGCCAGTTCCCCCGCCTCATGTACTTTCATACTCAAGGAGTCACTCATATTCTATGCCCATCTTCGTGTCGGTCGGCCCCTGCCCCTCCTTTCTGGTACCATGCCTTCTGCTATAATTGTTTCCAATCCGTCTAAATTACTAAATTACTACTTAGAATTATAATGAAAAAAAAATGGAATTGAGTGAAGAGCACTATGGATTTATCGAATGTAAAGATACAAATAATGAAATATACATATTACGAACACTGACAGAAGGACCAATGGACACACAAAAGGACTTATATTTGTGCTTTATAGATAATACCAAAGCATTTGACAAAGTTAAACATGATAAGATAATAAAAATGTTGGAAGACATCAATGTAGACGGGTAAGATCTCAAAATAATAAAACACATTTACTGGAACCAAGTAGCAGCAATTAAAGTGGGGAAACAGATTGGTTAGTTGTAAACTGATAAAGCAAGGAGTAAAATAGGGCCGTGTCTTATCCCCAGACATTTGATCTCTTTACAGTGTAATAATTTTGAGGGAAATCAAAGAGAAAGCTGGAAAAAGGGTTGGGGGAGACAATAAAAGCAATTTGCGTTATGCAGACGATACAGTTTTGATAGTTGAAAATGCAACTGATTTACAACTGTTCGATTTTGTATGGATGGAGAGTGCCAAGAAAGTATTTTTATTTAATTTTAAGAAAACGGAAGTAATGGTTATATCAAAGAAGAAGATAACTCCACATTGTGATGTCTCAATTGAAGGAAAAAGATCTAACCACGTCAATCAGTTAAAATATCTGGGAACAGTCATATCAGCTTATGGAAATCGTGTGACAGAGACTAAAAGGTTACATAGAGCATGTTCTTCTGTATTGCAGCGAATCTTGGAATGTCAGTGAACAAATTAAGAAGAATTAGGAAGCAATTAAAATGAAGCAAATAGCTGAATCCTAGAAACTGAAACACAAATTCGAGTATAGGATTCAGCTATTTGCTTCATTTTAATTAATTGTTACTGTAGTATGCACCTGGTGAGATACAGCGAAATATGCCAGGCAAAAAATTGTGCAGTCTTTTGTTTGTGTCTTCTTTGTTCTAATTACAAATACGCGAAAACTTGATACAACTGATTGTGTTTACTACTGACTGTGCTTGTTTTTCAAACCAAGTAGTTTCCCCTTCAACCGGTTTTCCCATATATTTCTGTATATCAGGTCAATTACAGTCACATTTTTTCCGTCTGGGTTTCATAGTCTTACTGGGGTTGTGGTGAGGTGGGGAGGGGGAGGGCAAGAATAGAGCCAGTGTCTCCCAACAAGCATGTCGTAGGAGTCGACTAATTGAGGACTTCCTTTTAAGTTGGAGTGCATCTGCCCAAGCAGCAAGGAACAACTAACTGCACAGAAATAAGCCAGGAAAACTGATTTACATGCACAACGCAGGCCCTGGCCCAAAGGTAAAGTCCACATGGACAAACAACCACGATTTTCCGCTGAAATTTATATCCGGTGAACAAGGAAGAAAAAAGACGAAGAAGAAATAGCTCCCCGGCAGTGACGTAATAGGACATCAGCTGGTCTGTTTGTCGGCCACGCCCTTAGAATGGATAAATCAAGACTTCCTTACCAAGCCCTCATTTGGACACCACATGGGGAAAAGATCTCGTGGAAGACCAAGGGAAACCCTACGTAGAACTATCATCAGGGAAGGCTCGCTCATGGGCCACTCAAACATCCAAGACCTACAACGGATTGCAACGGACCGCCGTGCATGGAGAGTCACGACCTCTGCCCTATGTACCGCACTCGACACAAGAGGAAAGACTAACTAACTAACTAACTCCTCCCACCCCAAAGGTCTCTCTCTCTCTCTCTCTCTCTCGCTCTCTGTGTCTGTGTGTGTATGTGTTTACGTGCGTGTATGTATATGTGTGTGTCTATAATAGCTAAGATTTCACGCCCGCGTTGTTGAAATTACGTTAACATATTCACAAATACAAATAACATCAGTAAATTTCCTCCTGTTAAAGATTTTGAGAAGGGCTGTGGGAGTGACCATAAGAGATAAGATCAGGAATGAGATCATAAGAGAAAAAGTCGGCACAGAACCAATTCTAAATTACATACGAAGACAGCAAGTGAAATGGTTTGCCCACTTAGAGAGAATGCCTTGTGACACCATACCATACAAAGTATACATGGAAAGAGAAGAAGGACGTAGAGCACGAGGTAGACCAAGAACAATATGGAATGATAACATCAGAGAAACTCTACAACAGCACGATGTGCCTATGGTCGAGGCGGCCAAAAGAGCTAGAAACAGAACCTTATATCTCCCTCGACACACACAGCGGTAAAAGAGGAAGTGAAAAGAAGAAGAAGAAAGATTCAGCTCAAAGATGGATAGCACAGTGTTATTATTTTAAAAATTATATAGTTACTACTTATAATCTATAATAGTTAAGACTTACTATAGACACCCACTACATTACACTTAGCACATGCAATCTATAAACTTTTAATCTATCGTTTATTACTTATTAGGGCTGTACCGAATAGTGATTTTCAGTATTCCGAATACGAATAGTGGGTCCAACTATTCGGCCGAATACGAATACGAATAGTGTATCATCATCATCAGGTGCCTTGCCGACTGGCGTTGGCGATTTTACCTCGCCACAATCTGCGATCTCCTGCAGCATGTATTAGTTCGTGTGCTGACACCCCTCCATGCTATGCAACAAGACTGTCAAGAATCTTCTCTCGTTGTCTTTCTTTATCTCTCCATCCACAGATTTTCCCAGTGGTCACCACATGTTCCATTTTCCCTCTTCTCATAACATTGCCGAAAAATTATGACTTTCTTCTTCTGATGTCTGTGATAAGTTGTCTTCGGGCTCCCGCCTCTTTCAAAACCTCTTGTGTGTGTGTGTGTGTGTGTGTGTGTGTGTGTGTGTGTGTGTGTGTGTGTGTGTGTGTGCTGTCCAAGTTATTTTAAGCATTGTTCTGTAAAAACACATTTCTGAGGCCTCAAGAAATTGTTTGGCTTGCCTGCCGATTGTCCAGGACACAACCATATGTTAAAATTTGATGTATGCAGCAAGCAAGAATTCTTTTTCTAACATTCAATGACAAAGACACATTGCATAAGATGTTCTTCATTTTATAAAATGCAATTTTTGCCTGTCCTTTTTTGTCTCTTATTTCAGTAATGCATCTTCCATCGGATGTTATCCATATGCCAAAATCATCGTTCGCTCGGCCGTTTGTTTGACGTAATTTAAACGCACCTTCAAATTCTTATTAGGAATATCTTCAAATTTGATTTGGTCAAAGACACTCTGAAAGAACGAAAAAATACATGATCTCTCTCTCTCTCTCTCTCTCTCTCTCTCTCTCTCTCTCTCTCTCTCTCTCTCTCTCTCTTTTCACACACACACAGACACACATTCACACAAGAAAAAGAAAATCGCATTACCTTTAAATAAATGTGCTTTCTTATCTGCTACACCTTCAGGAATACAGATGGAGAATCGGTCGCATGTCGAGATAAATACAAAGACAATGGTTAGCACGCTGTGGTTGGCATTTTATGCAGTATAATACACTTTAAATGTGAAACATGAGAGAAAAAGAATTTTTTTTTTTTACAATGGCGAGGAAAGACAATTTTAATTTCAACTTTTAAGTATCTTCTTGCCTTCTTTAATAATGTCACAATTTATAGCTGACTTTTCTTGATTTTCGCCGCGGCACCCCTGGCTTACGCATCCAGTTTGAGAACCTCTGCTGTAATGCCTAAAACGAGTCAGCAGGCAAAGACAACGGCCGACTCAGTCTGGAGAAAGCGGTGGACAAACTTTGGCAACGGCCACTATTGTGTTAATGAGAGAGTTATTTCAGTCCATTGCAGTTAATGCAGAAATCACTATTCGTATTCGGCCCGACCACCACTATTCGGCCGAATACCGAATAGCCATTAGGTCCACTATTCGGCCCCGAAGCGAATACGAAGCGAATATTCGGTACAGCCCTATTACTTATATTCTACTACACTTTATACTTGTAAACTTTAACCATAGCTTTTCTTTAAATGCATACGCAAATATTTCTCTATGATTTTATTGATCTAGGCAATAACAACTTTTGACTTGGTCAGATCTATTTAAATTTTCAATCAATGTAATATTTAACATGGGCTTAGTAATGCGGGATGTAACAGACAGCCTCCAACCCGTGGATCTGAAGGCCATGAGTCCAAAACCACAAGGTGCCGATCTTTGTACTACTTTACTATACTGATACTACTTCCACTAACTACAGTCTGGGGCGTAGACCTATTACTGCAGTCTCTACATAGGAGAACCTTTTCTTCTCATTTATCCTTCATCTGTTATTCTTCTTGTCTATCTATCTCTACTTATTTATCCCCTTTTCTTGCTATCCTTCCTTTAAATGCAAACCCTACCCGGTTTGATAGGTCACATACTTGCTGGTTTAGATTTTCTGCCTCAGCAATCCAATATTATAGTACAGCTAAACACCTATTATAGCTGCGTCTTTCCAGGTGATAGAATTCATTTGTTCTATAGAAAAGTATGTACTCCCTTTGGGTTATGGGACCACACTATGGGAAAAACAAGAATAAGCCATTGTGCCACCCCCCCCCCCACCCACACGCAACAAGCATTTTTGTAAAAGACCACTGTCTAGGGTCGTTTCCTTTGAGGTCAGAGTACATCTGCCTGAGAGATGATGAACCAACTGTCAGTATACAAAATAGCTAGATCTGTTAAACGCATGTACACCCAAAGCTCTCCGGAACACGACCAAAGTCCAGAAGTGGACGAATAACCAGAACTTTCTGCCCTAGTTTACAGCCGGCGAACTCTAAAAGAAGAAGAAGAAGGGCATTTTTGCCAGTTGCCATCACATCTATTTGACATATTTCTTCCATGGGCAGGGCTTTTTTTTTCTGTGTGTAGGCAGTACCTGAACGTTTGTTTAAAGGCATAATTGTTTTAAGCGCTACTGTCACTTTGTGATGAGTACCGGCACCTTTATATTTTCTAGACATCCCGAAGTGACTACCGGCAACTTTCTTTCTGCGAAAAAAATCCAAAAACAACCCTGGAAATGGCTATCAATTCTACACGGAACGGACTATTCAACTAAGTAAGAATAAACTCACAGGGAGCAAGTACAGCGGGGATCTACAGTCATCAGTAGAAATTATCCTCTTTCGACACACGTTTCGGCCCACGATTCCTAAACGTATTCGGAGGTGGGCCCACCTGAGTTCATGAAGCTCAGGGCTGCTTCCCCGCCGCACAGAATTACTCAGGGCTCAAAATGTTAAAAATGGGGATCGCTGCGGGCCAGAGCCCCAGCATAAAAAGATGATTAATAATATACAGCTGGCGGTGGTCCGCTGACCACTTGCTACGCCTCCGCGGGCCGCCAGTTGAATAGCTTTGGACTATAAGAAGAAGAAGAAATTGCTGACTATGGTGTGACTGGAGTCAGTCCCAAAGTTCGCTCCGCCTAGAAACCAATCTCCCGTCTTGCGCACTCAGCTTTTCATCGCTTCCTGCACTTCCGGTCATATCTCTACGCGAAAAACAAATAGTTCAGCAAAAATATTTAATATTAAATAATTTCAGCAATTAAACACAATTTTTTTACCATAATATCCAAGAAAAACTATAATTCTGTTTATTATTCTGATATGGCGAGATATAATAATAGGTTAAACCATTTAGCGCATTGAAAGTGTCCGGCTTTTGTGTGAGTTATGAGGCGTTTGATATTGATGGACAAAAGGCTGAAAAAACAAGAAATCGGTCTATGAAAACTGAAGATCCTGACGCTGGACTGGGCGAAATAAAGTCAACATGTGATATTTTTAGTGGCAGGTTTATACTTTGTTCATCAACTAGATATTTTGATGGATGGGCCCGTCCATCATATATCTGTGAAAAGAATATTTAGATACGGCTGTGCCATCAAGCTTATGATTTGACGCTGGGAACCATTTGTTCTTCCATTCTGCCTAGTGTCCAGACTTCCTCGGTCTTGGACACCTTTGTGGAGTTTGGGGGCCTTTCGGCGACGTGGCCCGAGTTTCTAATTAAGAGTTATGATCTAATCAGTTACTCGAGGATTACGTTCATTTTAACGTTTCTTAAATGACTACACCTAAAAACGACAAACAAGACGAATCAACTCGAAGAAAGCCAAGCAGTGCCAGAAGCATGCATAGTGGCCAGCGCCAGGGTTCCTCAGGGAACACAGGGGTTTTAATGGTGGGACCAAACTTCAGAGTGGGCAAAAAGATCGGATGTGGCAATTTTGGAGAGCTGAGAGTCGGTGAGTACCATCCTGTCCAAACAGCTAACGAAAGTGAGAGATTAGTGAGTGAGGGACTTGTGATGACAGTGACACCAGTCTCAGATAGAGTTGACTTGACTCACTAGTGACAGTAATATTGCTAGAATTAGCAACGATCACATTATTCAATGAATGTAGTTTGTATATTTATTTGTATTTCATAATGTGAATGTTTGGCTCTTTGTTAACTAATATCCAACCCTAGATAATGTCACAGCACAGTCCAACATTTTAGAGGATGGTAAGACTGGGTTTCCCGGCTTTCTGATGCTTTTAAACACCCCAAAACATCTAGAACTGGCCCTAACTCCAACTCACCTACATCCCACGAGAGAGTGCAGCCTAGGTATCACGACTGCATGCAGCCTAGGTCCCACTACTGCATGCAGCCTACCAACCGCCCCCTGAAATATATGTGACCTGTAGATTTCCCCTGTTTGGGGTAGGATTTTAATAAAGCACCAAATGTTTTATCTTCCTTGTGAAATTGATCATAAGAATGACAATTGTGATATTAGATTGGTACTTTAGTCTGTATTGGTGGTCATATTCATATTGTACCCCTCCCTCCATGATTGTTATTTGTAGGATTATCACCTCAGGGATGAGAATCAGGCAGGAGCAAATCATAGAAACCCCTTTTGGCTATATAACAGAGTTACATTAGGGCATCTCTACAGTTACAAAGTAACCTGCAGCCCAGTGTGGGGATAGGAAACAATGCTTGTTGCATTTGAGTACTTCTAGACACTGTTGGTTTGTCCCCTCTGGTATACTGCCCAACAGTTTACCACCTGAAATAAAAATAATCATAATCTGAATTGCATACCAACAGGCCAGTTTAAGGCACCCCGTTCAGCCTCTCTAGAGATCTTATAGTTAGGGCACCCATAATGCCTACACCAGTCCAGAGTAACCCGAGTTGGTAGGGAAAAGCTTCTGCAAGTGTTGTTGGATCTTATATACTTATAAGACCATTACAGCTTGATAAGTCTTAGTCCAGTTGTACAGTACCTCAGTAAAAACCTGTTTGCCAGCTCTGGCCTATATCACATCTCAGTGTCTAGTTTGAGAATGGAGGTGGAAGAAGACACTGTTGCCTTCCGCAGGATTGAGAATCAGCTGTACACACATGTCATAATTGTAACTGACTCACAGAATATGTTGACAAAGGTGGAGACAGGCAGGCTCCATGCAGAGTGGCAAGCATCGCTTCAGAGGTTCTGGGTAGTTAGTGTCCTTTGGATATTTTCTTCAGGGTATGCTGGTGTGTTGGAAAACAGACACAGATAGACTGGCCAGTTCTGCAACCCTTGTTGAGGAATTATTGTGTGACAAGTTAGATGTAGTGAGGGCTCTTTGGGAGCGACTGAAAAGTGGGAAAGCTCAAATAGATCATTACAGTCTGAGCAGAATGGCGCTGCGAGAAGTTACCAGGGGACCTGGCTGATGCTTAGCCCTCACAGGAAAGGTGAGATGGATGTTCTATAAGACGGTTACTGGTAATATCGGAACTCATTGCTGAAGATGGGGACAGAGTGTTTATGGGAGTGTCCCGAATGCTGTGATGTTGATTCTTAATTCAGCATTTAACGTTGCCAACTCTAATCACAGATATTCACATTTTAGTATTGGAATTTCCCATAGGCAGATATAATGTAAGATGGCATTCAGCCTAGTAATGTTTAAAGCTGAAATGACTAATACATGACCATCTTGGACTAACTGATGCTGTTTAATAAAATTTATGACACAAATGTGTAAGCAGAACATCATATTTATTGTTGTAATGTGATTGTTCTGTTAGTTTCGGGGTTATATGACTCAGAGAGTCGCAGTGGTGCAGCGGCTAGACGCTCACTGCAGATTGGAAGGTCATGGGTTTGCTTCCTGGTGGAGCCGGACTTTTTCAAAAAATGACCTTGGCTTCCAGGTCAACCTAGCCTTGAGTGGGTATGGGTTGCAGTCCCGTGAATTATAGGCGGCCGCCGTGATGCTGACTACAGCACCCATCCTGTGCCGATTGGTCTATAAAATATAGGTCTAGCACTAAAGGCGTGGAAAAGAGTCCTTTCCTTTTTTTTTTTTTTTTTTAAATGACTCAGCGAATAATCATAATATATTGAATGATTAACTTTAATAATCACCATAAATAAGGAATATTAGTCATCTGCAAAGACATACTGTAGAGTTTCATTCTCCTTCAGGAAAGACAATCAGTGGAACAATGTATATCCCAATTACGACTTGAGGATTGACCAGGATATTATGTAAAAATTACCTCCGTATCAGAACAATGACAGAAATATGATTTTAAAATAATTACATTATGGGTACAGGGACATAGATCAGACATGTCCAGAATCATTGTATTTTCTTATTTCTGTGATTTTTGCGTATCCTATTCTTCATGTCGTAACATTAAAAAAGGTAACTAAGCACAGAGGTGTGCCAAAGGTAAAGTTATTATTCTTTAAAAAAAAATGTGTATCCTCAACTCTTTTATTACTAAACAATTCACCATACATTTCTTAGTATTCCCAAAACGAGTACAATGTTCTTGCTGTCTTCTTTCACAAATAACTGCAATATTAACCTTTTAAATCTGAATTATTAATTAAACTTCTGCTGTCCTATGAAGTTTGTGTTTAACTCCTTCAAACCTGAGTGATCATTGCCTTTTAAGCTGAACTATCTGGGATGAAAAGGTTGTGGGTTCAGGGAATCAGACTTTTTCAAAAACAAAAAATGACCTTGGCCCTTCCCCACCACCCACCCCCTCCCCCCAGGTTAAACTAGCCTTAAATGGGTACCATGTAATGTTCTGGGAGATAGAAATGGCCGGCGATGCTGACTACATCACCCACCAAGTCCCGATTGGTTTTTAAAATATAGGTCTAGCCCTGTATGCCCAACACCCCTTAAGGTGTAGTAAAGGGTCCTTTACTTTACTTACTTATTTGTGATAAAAGGAGTTAAAGTAACAACAACTTGGGACTGAAAGCGTTAATACCAAGACCTTTACATTTGTCAGATTGCAGTTTAATGAAAGTGAATTGATTGTTTATCAGATGTAATTTTTATTTAGATAAAACGATATAAACATGGCTTGACTATTTATAAGGTTGAGGTAACTAAACCCACTGACTACTCAGCCCGTTAACCGCTGCACTTTCCTAGACATCATTTATTTTAGTATGTACTAAAAATGCCATAGCTTCACAGTTATTTACCATATACTTATATTGTATTTTGCATCAAAATAGAATGAGTAAAAATTTAAAGGAAAATGTGTGTTTCATATTATCAGAATGTAGCTGTCGATTGGTGCAAAAAGGCAAGAGAAAAATCTTTTATCTGACAGCAGTATGACTTACAAAAATGTCATAGCTTCTAAAAATGAAGAACACATTAAGAGCAAAAATTTATAGATATGGTGTAGAAAAGGTAATAGAAAGTCTCTTATCTGACAGTAATATATAGACTAAATTTCATGATATATAAAACACAATCTTGGGTTGTTTTATCAATTTAGAAAGAAGTGTGCAATTCAATATCAATGCAACAAACAATAAACATATATACTACTCACATTTATCAAATTTTATGGTCAAAATTTGTCAGTGATATGGTACAGTTCATAGCACTGTTTAGTACAAAGTGGCACATGACATTCCCTACACCAGTAGCTTGTCGTGGTCCCTTTGTGGCCTTTTTTATTTTCTGGATTTCAACATTTATCTTTTCACACCTGTTCTTCAGCATTGGAGATCACACATCAACAGTTTTCTTGTGTGTGTGGAAACTTATGGAACAGCCTGTAAAAAGATATTCTATACTTTTCACATCCAGACATATATTCACTATTGCTTTACAATCTGCGATGGCTATTCTGATTCATTTATCAAGCAGCTTACTTCACTTCAGAGGTGTGTCATATGCTTAGAAGTAATCATCACAAAGCAGTTCAGAAACATATAACGGTCTTATGCTATTACCATTTTGCAAATGTATACTAAAGTATTATCCTAAAAGGCTTCAGGTGACCTGTGGCCATTGTTTAAATATAATGGAAGGCATATCAAAATTACACATCCCTAATTTTTTCCTGTGTTGGCTCTGGGTCCAATAGACCTATTGCATTTCTAACTAGCATGCTGGGAAAGGTGACAAATTTAAGGTTTGCTTAAGTCAAGTATGCCAGGCAGAAAGCTGCAGATATCAAAGCCTAGCTGTAAACCACAGTGCAGTGTGCCAATCCCCCTTTTAAGAGCAAAGGAGTAAATGGAATTTAGCTTCAGCTGCACGATTACATATTGGAGATAGACTACCCATTTTGGCACAGCCTCAGAAAATGGAACATACCCTCAGTTTGTGGACTTAAAAAAGAAGAAATAAAAAAAAAAATAACAGAAATGGCATATGTAAGCTTGGGCTGCATGTTGAAGAAGTCTACCTATCATTTCAATGGATTGTGACAAACTTAAAAGAAAGGAATTTGGTAATAGGGGATTCCGGATGTTACGTGAATGAAAAAAGCAGCCTAGTGAGGATGTTTGTGAGCCCTAACCTGGAAGATGAAAGAAGTGGGAAAATATGTGAAGATGTCCTTGAAAGTTGCAGGCTACACTGATGGCATCCTTGCACTCCTTGTCTTGCATCCCTGGGCTGCTAGACTTTTATTGCTGCATAGCAGGCAAGACAGCGTTTTTCGTGTGCTATGCAGATTCAGCCTGATGTGGAACAATTGCCAGAGCTTGATTTTGATAAACCATTGCCAGAGACATTCCACTGTTTGTGTATTTAGATAATGTTGTTAATGTTAACTAGTAACTGTTAACAGAGGTGTGAATGAAAGAAGAGAGATTAGAGGAATGGAATGATGGATGGACCTGCATGCTTAGTTCCTATCTCTTTGAAAATTAAGTTTACTTCCTTTGTTCAGCCATTGTCTCGACTCAAATTTTGTGATCACCATCTTCATGCACATAATGTTTCTGTTTATGCTGAAGTTTTATTCCTGTTTTTCCCCCCAGGTAAAAACCTCTACAACAATGAACATGTTGCCATTAAACTAGTAAGTATTCAGTTTATTTCATCTCTGTGTGGGTTCAGGGGCACCATTGTGGGGGGGGGGGGGGGGTGGAATAGACCTTTGGCTCCCTAACAAGCATGTCGAATCAGCGACTAATTAGGGATGCTTCCGTCAAAGTCAGAATGCATCTGCCTGAGAGGCTAGGAACTAGCAGTCTGCATACATATAAGTCAGATCTGTAAAATAGATGTGCACGCAAAACTCCGGTACTGGAACAAGGCCAATGTCCAGAAGCAAATGAACAACCAGAACTTTTCGTTTACAACCAGTGAACGTGAAGAAGAAGAAGAAGAATGTTAGTTTCTGTCAGAAAACTTAGAGAGGTTTTATTTTCAAAATAATTAGTAGAACACTCTCGGGAAAACTCTGCCTCAGATGGGTACCAGGAAATGTCCTGGGAGGTGAAGATGGCTGGCATGATGTTGACAACATCACCCATTTATGGCCATTTGTCTGTAAAACAGTATGTGCTTTGCACCATATATCTGAAGTGCTAGTGGTGTGAAAAATTCCTTTTCTTTGTAATTTCCTTGGAACTGTTTTTATAAAATGATGAGTACATTAAAAATGTGTGTGTGTATATATATATATATATATATATATAAAACATGGACTGTCAAGATGTTTTTGGCAATCTTATAGGGAGATACTGAGATATATATACTGAGAGATACAAGAAAGCTTGGTGGTTCGTAGCGAAAGCCAATGGAAAATCTTTAGTGCAGGACAACCTAGCATACGATACCACTACGTCTAGCATAAGAATGGAGGTGGAGGCGGTAACTGCAGATTTCTGGTGGCTGGAGAACAAGATGTCGGCTCTGTGGCTAAGTCGATGCCTACGCTTCATAATGCCGGGTACGATCCCAGATGTGGGCCATGTGCCTTGCGTTGGTTTCGACAGTGGTATCAAGAGAGCCGACCGTCCAGAAAGCAGTGGCAAACTAGTGGATGTAAATTTGCCTAGAAAAACCACACAACAGCCAGGGGCTGTTAAGGTTGGTTCAACGTCTTGGAAAGGATACAACTAACCTTTGCAGAGAACAAGATTCATACACATGTCATTATTGCAACAGACTCTGAAAGCATGCTGAGAAAGGTGAAAACAGGAATGCTTCGAGCAGAGTGGCAAGTTTCACTGGGAAGGTCACAGGTAGTGAGCATACTTTGGATCTTTTCTCCAGGCCATGCCGGCGTGGTGGGAAATAAACAGGCAGACAGATTGGCTGCATCCGCACCACTGGGTGGTGAATTGATACATGACAAGGCAGATGTGGTCAGGGCCCTTTGGTCACATGCAGCTGAGTCAGACAGAAGTGAAACAAGATTTTTATGACCTGGAGAGAAGAGGCACCTGGGTGTAACCAGGTGGTCTGGCCGGGTCACTACCCACAGGGAAAAGGCAAGACAGACATATAACCTGATTACGACGGGTACCATTAGAATTGGAACTCTGCACTGGCTGCTGAGAATGAGGATAGAGCACACGTGGGAATGCCCTGAGTGCTGTGATGTCAATTCTTGATTCAACTCAACTCAAACTTAGAAATTACCTGACAGCAGGCAGAGTTAATTTGGAAAATGGCAACAGGAGGATGAGGTGTTGAACACCCTTACCAAAATGGTATATGTAGATGATACTATTCATGCCATTGATGTTTTACACATATGGCTTTAGCCCTGTATTTCTATAGACCAGTCAGCACTTCATGAATGATGTTGTCACCATCACACCAGCTGCCTATACTTCCGACGAAATTTTCTGATACCATTTGTGACTTGTACCAGGTGTCACATGAGATATCTAAATAAAAAATTATGAATGCTTTACATTCAAAGTGGCAGTGTACATGTTTGTAGTGACCAGTGGGGAAAGCCAGATTTGTCTAGCAGGATGTGACAAAATGGTCACATAAGAGACGCATTATGCCATAGAGAGGAATCAAGCGTTAAATTCATTCACACACCGGGCGTTGTTTTGGGAGTAAAAGTGTTAAGCTGGGTTGACCTGGGAGCCCTAGGCCAATCATTTTAAAAAAAAAAAAACACTGCCCTGATGTGGACTTGAACTCCAGACCTTCAGGCCAATAGCTAGCTCCTGCATTATCACAGTTCCTTTGATAGATTGCAATGATTAAGTTAATTAAGTTAAAGTGCCCCACTTGTGGGGGGGGGGGGGGGGGCAGACCCACTGCCCCTCTCACGACAAGCATGTCCAAAAAGTCAACTATTTAGGGATGTTTCACCTAAATTTCTTTTCCTGAGAGGCAAGGAACCAACAGTCTGCATGTAAAAAAACTTGCTTTCCTGAGAGGTGGGTGTGGTAAGCTAGTTTGGCGGAATTTATCCTCGCCTGGAGATCCCCTATTCTCCTTCCTCAATATTTACAGGGCTCGAATTAAGAAAGTCTAGGGGAATTCTATGGGTCCCTGAGTTCAGAAAGAAAGGAAGGGAAATACATAATCAAACCAATAGGGTGAATCCCCGGAATAGAACTGAATACATAATTATTCTTGTAACTGAACTTCAGAATAAACAAAGTTCAACACCTAGCGGATTGAACTCAAATAAATCACAACGTACAATACTTTGACTACACAAGGAATTAAAATCGATGCTAATTGATGTAATCTGAATGAGTTTTCTAAATCAACAATTGTATTGACATAACACAGTCCAGCAATCCCAACAAATTATTCAACTAAAAAGGAAATTAACTCATCATTCCACATTAAAAAAAACCATTTCAATGTATCTAAACGTCCCTCATCTCAAGGATCGTTCGAGTGGAATACGGCATTCGATGTTATGGACAATACACTGGCGGTAACAATTGTAGTGATTGGCTATCTGCATAAGTCGTCAGTTAATTTAGGATTTTCCTTCTACGGTGTTGTTAACAATTCATGGTGTTTTAGGGAACCTGAATTCGTATTATTAATATTGTTTCTTTTGGTGTTAGGCCGATGGAAAGGCTGGGGCTGTCGTTGATGTAGTGACGAAGGATTAGCTCTAAGGTTTTTTCCTAGTAACACTAAGCTAAGGTCATTGGTTATGTGCACCTTCGTACATTTTCTACTCTTCTCGCATCTATATTCAACTATATTTATTTTAAGTGCGCAATTCTTTTAACCAAAAGATGCAATTAACTCTTGCCGGACTGACATATTCCATTGGTTTGTCAAAGTGAGGAACCAACAGTTTACATGTAAAAAGAACAAAAGCCAAATATGCAAAACAGATTTGCAGGCAAAACTAAAGTTCTGGACTTCTTTAGATTCACCGGCTGTATCTCTGGCGAAAAGTTCTGGTTGTTCGTCCGCCTCTGGATGTTAGTCTTGTTCCAGAACCTGCGTGTTGCATGCATGCACATCCATTTTACCAGTCTGCCCTATTTGTACGTAGATTACTGGTTCCTTGCCTCTAAGGCAGATGCACTACCACTTCGAAGGAAGCTTCCAATTAGTGCTTAGTGGTAAGACAGTTGGTCTTTTCTTGTTTTCCCTCACAACGGAGCCCCGGAATCCACACAGGAAGTTCCAGACTATGACCAGAGTCCTAAGTGGACAAACAACCAGAACATTCTGCCTGAGTTTACAGATAGTGATCGCTGAGAAATAGAGAGAATGAAACAAGCTATGAAATGTAATGATTGATACGGTTAGCCGTAATTTTGCCCTCCTGTAACTGGTGAACGCCTTGTGTTGTCCAGGAACCTATGAAGTCAAGAGCCCCTCAGTTACACCTGGAGTATCGTTTTTACAAGCAGCTAGGACAAGCAGGTAGAGTATTCGTTTTCTTCTCCAAGTCTTCTTGCTCTGTTTCTTGCTGTCTTTTTTTAAATTCAGATTTAAACTTATTGATTGCTGTTAAATCTCTGTGCAGGGTTCCTTCTTTCTGCCTTTCCCCTGCAGGCTGCTGCCACATCATTTGACCACCCTACGGTTACAAAATCTCAACCTGGCTGGTAAGCCAACATGGCAGTTCCCGGATAACCGGGCCTTCAGATTAAAACTTCAAAGTGATGGAAATTACAATAACCGTGCCATTGTTTTGTAACCTGTCAGTATTGTTGTTAAGGATGTCAAGAATGTTAAGTGTTTGACATCTCGATGCAGACAACCATGGTGATGTCATATTGAAGTTTAAAAATATCCGCCCAACTTTTGACATGACCAAAGAGGAGCAGCATTCTGTTATCTATTTTCTTTTTAATCAGTGAAGGGGTGAAACCTATATATATGTATCAGTGAAGGGGTGAAACCTATATATTTATCAGTGAAGGGGTGAAACCTATATATATTTATCAGTGAAGGGGTGAAACCTATATATATTTATCAGTGAAGGGGTGAAACCTATATATATTTATCAGTGAAGGGGTGAAACCTATATATATTTATCAGTGAAGGGGTGAAACCTATAGATATTTATCAGTGAAGGGGTGAAACCTATATATATTTATCAGTGAAGGGGTGAAACCTATAGATATTTATCAGTGAACGAAGGTACATTATGGTGATGTGTGCCTGTCAGTCTAGTGAGCGTATGAGTGGATTAGAATGTTTCACAGTAACTGCAATCAACTCTAGGGTCACTACTTGGTGTGTCTAATCTGGTCGTGAACAGTCTGTCACAGAAGTCACGTTGAAGAACTAACAACTATCTTTAATTGAAGACTTACTTTTGAGCTTGGCTGATTTTGTATTTCATTTGAACGGATTCATTTGTGCTTCATTTTGTTCAATTGTTGCTATAGTATGCACCTGATTAGATGTAGTGGAATATGCCAGGCCATAAACTGTGCAGTCTGTGTCTTATTTTTTCATATTTTGCAATTGGGAAGCTTTGCTTTGAGGAGTAAATTATTTTTGACTGCACATAAATATTTTGAGTTTAATTTAAATCCGGTTGGTTAGATGACTAAAGGGATTAAAGTAACAACGGGAACAAGCCCATGAAGAGTAAGAACTAGTAATCATCAGTCAGTGGGTCCTGTATAGAACAACACTATTATCAAGGCATGCCTGATTCTCTCTCTTTCTCTAGGGGATTCTCCAACCATTTGTGCTTTCATAGCCAATGCATCTTTAACATCTTCTATCCACTTTCTTGGAGGTCTGCCTCTGCATTATTTTCTATAACCTGTACCCTCCATCACCGCTCTCTCCAGGCCGCTATGAGGTTTAACATTGCCAGAATGCCTCAGCTTTCAGAATAGAATGCTGTTTATGAGCCAATTCTTCTCCATGCTCAGATCAGGCAGGATGTTGGTGTTTTGTCTTCTTCTTAGTGCATAGTATTCTAAAAAATTTTCTGTGAACTGGTGCTCACTGAGTTAAATAAGAAATTAAGTCTGAGGGAATTAAATTAGTTGTTACAGAGACATGACAGGTAAAAGTAAGGACAGATTAAGTAAAAGTAATACCTGTCTGAATCAGAAGGAGTTAAAGTAACACTAAGATATAAATGTGACAAGTAAGAATAAGGACATCATCATTATCATCATCAAGTGCTTTGTCAACTGGCATGAGTTTATTGTTATTGTTATTTGCATTCACTGGCAGTAAACACTGGCAGAAAAACCTGGTTGTTCATCCATTTCTGGTCTTTAGGTTTGTTCCAGGACCTGAGTTTTGTTTGTGGATTCATTTTACAGATCTTACTTATTTGTATGCAGCCTGTTGGTTCCATGCCTGTTAGGAAGATGCACTCTGATTTTAAAGGCTCTTACAACATGTTTCTTGTGGAGGCAGTGGGTCTGTTCTTGTTTTCCCCACAATAGAACTGGCATGAGTGATCATACCTCTGCACAGTGTGCAGTTTCAGCAGCATGAGTCAGTTTGTGTGCTGATACCCCGCCATGCCATGACAGAAGGCTGTCTAGAGTTTTTTTGGTCTTCCTGTGTCTCTTTCTCCACAGTTGCTTCCAGTGATCACAATATACAATTTTCCTTCTTCTCGTAACTTGACCAAAAAATTATGACTCATTGACTGTCTCTTCCTGGTATTTGTGATAAGTTATCTTTGAGCCCTCACCTCTTTCAAAATATCTAGGTTGTTCTTTGTAACATGACAATAAAGAGTAATAATACTTGACTGGGTCTGATGGGGTTAAGTGACTACTAAAATAGGGCACATGACAAGTAAGGGCATATTAAGTAAAAGACAGTCTTAATAAGAAAAGATGGAGTAAAAGTGATATGTATCTGGGACTGAAAGGGTTAAAGTGATATCTAAGACAGGGAGATGTCATGTAAGAATTAAAGTAGATTATTTAGAAAAAGTAATACTTGTTAGAACTAACACAGGGGCATGGTAAGTCAGTCTAGGAATAGACTGAGTAAAAGTAATATTTGGGTTATAAAACAAAGTAACAGCTAAGACAGGATATAGGACAAGTGAGAATACATGTCAAGGTGTCCATATCACAGAGTTTGTGGTATTGTATGGAATTAGCTGTCCCATCAACCAATTCGCCTCCTCTCAACAACCACAGCTTGTGTTGTTCCATGGCCGCTCATTTAGTATATCCACTGCTAACCTTTAGATCTAGAGGCCATGCCCTCATTCACCACCCAGTGGATGCACCTAGTAATAGGACAGGCTTTTACCCTGAGATAAAATTTAGGGGTACAGAAAAGTCCTTTAATTTTCTGAAAAGTATTTGCGAGGGAAGGATATTAAGGAAGTAAGCTGGTGAGTCAGCCTGTGTTGTGTTGTGCCCTAATAAATATCCTAACACCTCACGTCCTTGTGGTGGTGTCTGCCTTATCTTGCCTGAGACAAATATTTCAGTCTAAAGATAAGGTCTCTAAACAGTTATCACTGCATTCCTGGCATTCACAGCTCACATGCAGTTTTCTTGCAACACTTTGTAATTCAGCCCTCCAATGACAAATGTAGAAACAGTGTGAGCCAAGTATTGATTATCCAGCGTTATGTTTTAGTACTGGTATTAATTTGGACCAGTGGTTAAATACTATGAAGAGCAAATAGCACAACATCAGCAAACAGCTAAAGTCTTTCCATCGCAGAAGGTCATAGTTGATGCCCCAGTGAGTCAGTTGTGAAATCAACACAGTCATGGGTATACTACATCCACAGGGCCCAAATACACATCCCTTGTGGGAGACAGATGTGTTGGTGAGTGTTTTAGCATGCCCCAATTAAAACCTAAAATGTAGAAGCTTAATATGTTTACTGATGCATATGAGTGTGTCCAGTCACACATGGTGCATTCTTTGCGACTGCAAGAATTATAGTAACAATCCTGAGAACATTTCTCTTTCCAGTTGTAGCATGCAGATGTGAGTTGTGAAATATTTGTCAGTAACTAAAAAAAACTTAGTGCATTTGAACTTAAATATATTACTGGAAGAGGAAGCGTACTGATATTCTTCATTTTCTGAATATTGATGGAAGCTGCCTCATAAACAGCATAGTTTCCCAGAAACTGAAATACTTGGGCCATTTCAAACACCCTTTTGGTTTGGAGAATATAGTATTGAGGGTATAGTTCCTGGGGGAGGCAGGGGAGGACCAGCATAATGACGGGCAAGGATATCTAGGAAACACAGGTCATGTAAGTTAACAAAGCGAGCGACCACTTGGGGCTTCCTGACATTCATGATGAGAGCTAAGCACCTGCTGCATGATAGTATATCACATGATAGCATTATTATTTGGATATTTTAGCTTCTTCTTTCTTTTGTGAATATCTAGGCATTGCAGTTCATCAGACGATCGGCAGCCGAGCCAGGGCGCGCTCAGTCGCTTGATATGCTGTAATGTTATGCAGTATCAGGGTGACTCCTTCAATCCATCTTCTTCTCTGTCTTCCCCTGCCTTTTGACATTTCGATTTTCAGGTTGTATGCTCTTGCTGCTGGCATTGTTGGTTTCCTTCTCATTAGATGGCCAAACCGTTTCATTCTTTGTTTCTCAATAAATTTGACAATGGGTGTTGTTCCAACAGTTCTTGTGATCACGTTGTTTCTCACTCAGTCTATTCTGGTTTTAATCACAGCCATTCTCAAACATCTCATCTCACAGGTGGTTAGTTTTCTTTCTTGTTTTTTTTTTTGGGTCAGCGTCCAAGTCTGACACTGGTAACCTAAAGTTGGTATAAATATTGTATTTATAATTTTTGTGTGTGTCTCTATTGGGATAGCTGGATGTTTTAAAATTAGAGTAAGTTGGTACTTGACATTGTTGGCTTGCTGGATTCTCATTCCTGTCTCTCTATTTTACAATTGTGTGTAAAGATGCTTCCCAAGCATTTGAATTCTTGCATTTGTTTCAGGCTTTGATCTTTTATATTTTTACTTCTTACCATTATTCATGGCAACTATAGTGGCTCAGTGGTATGCCTGTTGGTCACAGATTTGAATCCCTATCGCTACAGATTTGGTAAAATACTAAACCTCTTAGATTGATCCATCTTAGAAATGGCTACAGTGTTTCTAATTACCTTTTCTAAAACTATTTCTTAGAGTTGTGTGGGTCCGGGAGGTCTTGAAACTAGGTTTAAGCCACTTGGCTAGTGTAGTCACTGTGACCTGTGCACATTAAAATTCTATTTTTGTCCTATCAGGAAAAATATCCATCACCCTAATGAGAATTTTAACTTGGCTCCAGAAGGAGAGCCCACTGTTTTAATAATTTGATCAGCTGCTCTTCTGGCGTGAGGAGTATAGACATGATATTGCCCACACCACCAAGTGCTGTTTATTGTATAAATAAATGGGGTAAACGCCACGTGTCTGATATATCTCAAGGTTTGGGAACACGTCCTTTACTTGTCATATCAGAGATTCCTTTTAGTTGTGGAGTGTGTGAGCAGTTAACAGAGATCCTCTGTGGGTTGTGTGAGCAGTTAACAGAGATCCTCTGTGGGTTGTGTGAGCAGTTAACAGAGATCCTCTGTGGGTTGTGTGAGCAGTTAACAGAGATCCTCTGTGGGTTGTGTGAGCAGTTAACAGAGATCCTCTGTGGGTTGTGTGAGCAGTTAACAGAGATCCTCTGTGGGTTGTGTGAGCAGTTAACAGAGATCCTCTGTGGGTTGTGTGAGCAGTTAACAGAGATCCTCTGTGGGTTGTGTGAGCAGTTAACAGAGATCCTCTGTAGGTTGTGTGAGCAGTTAACAGAGATCCTCTATGGGTTGTGTGAGCAGTTAACAGAGATCCTCTGTAGGTTGTGTGAGCAGTTAACAGAGATCCTCTATGGGTTGTGTGAGCAGTTAACAGAGATCCTCTGTGGGTTGTGTGAGCAGTTAACAGAGATCCTCTGTGGGTTGTGTGAGCAGTTAACAGAGATCCTCTGTAGTTTGTGTGAGCAGTTAACAGAGATCCTCTGTAGTTTGTGTGAGCAGTTAACAGAGATCCTCTGTGGGGTGTGTGAGCAGTTAACAGAGATCCTCTGTGGGGTGTGTGAGCAGTTAACAGAGATCCTCTGTGGGGTGTGTGAGCAGTTAATAGACATCCTTTGTGGTGTGTGTGCAGTTAACAAGGATCCCTGTCTGTTATAGCAGGATTGCAGGTTTTAAACTAAAAATCTGTCACAGTTAATTTAGAGCTTTTTTCACATTTAAGGTTGCGTAGTGATTCTAACACCCTCCACTCTGTGTGCCTTTATTGTTTATTCGTGTAATTACCTTTCAATCCATTGCTTACTGTTGTCTTGCTGTAAACCATAACACAACATGCCAGCTGTCCTTTAAGAGTGGACACCGGAGAAGTAGAACCTGGACCACTGAGGTGGCAGACAGGTGCATTAACCTCTGTGCCACTGCAGCTGTTTTTGGAGCACATGAATAATAGCTAACACATGGTGGGTTCTTTGGCATTCCAAGAGTTAAACATGGAGAAGAAGACAAGTTTAATGTATGGATTGTTTTCTTGATTACTTACACTGTCTTCTTCTTCTTGTTACTCGGCATTTGCCCTTTAATGCTGTTTAGCATATTGTGTTGTGGTTTTAGTCCAAATGCAGTTGTGTGCCTTTCGGCCTAACATAACTGATTTCACCAAATCCCCAATAAGTCACTTTTCATTACATGCTTTGGAGGAGAAGGGGGGGGGCATAAGGGGCTGTTTCCCATCCCCCCTTCTACCACTAATATAGGACCACCAGAACTCACACAAGGAACAAAGACTATTGTTTGATTGTGTAGGACTAGTGTGTGTGTTCACTGATTTGTAAACTTTTGTTAAAATGAAGGGGGGGGGGGAAGTCAGTTGGTATGAGTAAAGTAGATTAGTGAATAAGAAACAGGGAGGGTTGAGATGTATGTGAGGGTATGTGGGTAGTTAGAGTGCAGTAGGATATATATAAGGAAAATTAGGGATGGGAAAGGAGAAGTTTGAATGAGTAAAGTTGAGTTGTGGGAAGGGTTAATGGTTTGAGACAAATGATGGTGGAGAGGAAGAGAAATATAGCATGAGGGAAGTAGGGAGGAGTCAGTTGGAGTGGTGAAGGTTTAAAAAAACAAACAAGCGAAGGACCCTTTTCCACACCTTGAGGCAAATAGGGCTAGACCTATATTTTGTAAACCAATCCGCACTTGTGGGTGATGTAGTCAACATCAAGTTGCCTGCCCCCCACCCCCAGGACTTAACCTGGTACCCATTTAATACTGTGTCGACCTGGTAGTCAAGGTCATTGTTTTTAAGTGTCAAACTGCTACACCATGGTAGATCCCAGTTATGTAGTGGCAAAGCAGAACTATAGAAGACCTTGACTATCAAAGTAGAATAGTTTATGAACTGTATGAGTAAGGAATAAAGTATGTGTAAAGTGCTGTACCTGGGACAAACAAAGGGATGGACATGACTGCTGTGTCCTGTTGATTACTGCAGCAAGCTTTGGTTACAGAAAACAACCCCCTACACAGTAAGAGAGTGGCTTTTGAATTATTGATCCAGTGTCTGCCAGGTTGAACTTTTGCTGGGGGAAGGCCCTGAGTCAGGCATATTGCCTGCATCAATCAAATCAAGCAGCTTACATGCAGGCTTTAGAGTTCACATTTTGTTGTCCATTATGAAGGCACTGAGCCAGCTAATAAGTTGAACTAAGCTCTGACTGGCGGCTCATTACTGGTATCTATTAGGACATTGGTGGAATAACATGGCTCAGATTTATGAAGTACAGGCATTTTTGGGGGATTATGTGAAAAAAAGGGAGGGGGGGAGGTGGGCTGGGGTAAGGCACTGCACAGAACACTTTCTGATTGTGTCATCTTGTTCCTAATAGGGGACTGAGTAGCTTTTGGGCTGTGGCGCCTGCATTTAAATCAAGAAGTGCTGGGTGTGAGGGGAGCCGCAGTAGCCTAGCTGCTTGATGCTTGCCTGCTGGTTCGCGAAGTCTAGGGTTCACATCTGCACTAGGGCTGATATATTTTTACTCCAGAATGGACCTTGGCTCCCAGGTTGACGCAGCCTGAAATGAGGAACAAGTAGTGTCCTGGAAAGTAGACAGCCCGGCATAATGTTGACCCTAGCACCCCTCGAGTGCACATGCTGAAGATGGTAGACTACCTGCTGATCCTTGGGTAGTGGACGTTATGTTTAATATTCCCAGATAACCATTAAAAAAAAAATAGACTGGCATAAGAAGTGCCCTTTAAAGAGTCTCAACATCTTGACTATTTCACTACATTAACAAATCCATCAACAGCAGAGATTCATAAAGAATATGCTTCTGCATATACAATTTGAATTATGTCTGCAACTGTGCTTGGCTTGTGTGTGTGGCTCTTCCACAGTGATTGTTGGCTGGAGTGCATCCAATGTTGTCTTTGGGAATAACAAGTGGTGACGCCCAGTCTCTTCATTGTCATGCCACTGTATGACAGCCTAGAGAACAGTTTTCGCCTAATGTGATTGGTTTTCATGACTAGGCTTAGTTTAGTACATATTTGTGACCCTTCCCTGCTCACTTCTCCATAACACACAGTATACTCTGGGATAGAGGTGTGGGCCGAGATGAAGGAGTAAGATATTTTGAACACATTTTGTCACAAGGGTTGGTAAGGAGGTATCTTTCTCCCCCTCTTCTTTCCACTCTCTGTTCCCTTTCATATTTTGCTAGTAGAAACGCTGTTTAATACAGAAGAGGAAAATAGGTGATAACCGACATCATAGTACTATCAGGTCATTTCCATAACTACTCTTAACTCAGCTTCAGCAGTCAGCACAGAGTTCTGATATTTATGGTACCAATAACAGCTTGATTATATGTCTTTCCTCTGAGTGTAGAGTGCCGGTCAGATCCTGTGGTCACTTCTAATGGTATCATTCTCTCCAGACAATAATCTATTCTGCTTTTGCATTGTTCACATGCTCCCAAAAGACCTTGACTATAACTAGCTTGGCATGCGTCATTTCACCAGCTGTTGGTGCAGTCTATCTCTCTGTTCTTTTCCCAACACACCTGCATTTCCTTAAAAAATTAACCCAAGGATTCTACTACCTGGGACCTCTAATGCGATTCTTGCCACTCTGTCTGGAGCATGCCTGTCTCCGCTCAGGTAGTTAAGAGTATTTTTTGTTTTGTTAATCTGCATAGTTAAATGTCCCTTTTTGTTTTCTCCACAGAGGGTGTTCCAAATGTGTTCTACTTTGGTCCTGTGGGGAAATACAATGCCCTGGTGTTAGAACTTCTAGGACCTAGTCTAGAAGATCTATTTGATCTCTGTGATAGAAAGTTCACCCTAAAAACTGTGCTGATGATCGCTATTCAGTTGGTAAGTTGTACATTGTAGTAGTGTGTTATTTTCTCTCTTCACAAGCTAGCATTTTATCTTGTTTGTTCTTATGTTACCATCCTCCTCATTCTCATTTCACCATCTTATTAGTTCTCGTGAAATTAAACTTGTTTACTGTTATATTTTATGTGATTTTGTTGTTGATTTTTGGTTTGTTTGTTTGCCTCTTCAGTGTTTTTCATTCCCCGTGTGGATTCCGGGGCCCCATCGTGGGGAAAACAAGAATAGACCCGCTGCCTACCCAAAAGCATGTCGTAAGAGTCGACTAATTGGGGAGCTTCCTTTGAAGTCGGAGTGCATCTGCCTGAGAGGCGAGAAAACAACAGTCTGCATTCAAGTGAATCAGATCTGTAAAACTGATGCACACGCAACACTCAGGTTCTGGAGCAGGACTGCAGTTCACAAGTGGACGAACAACCAGAACTTTCCACCAGAGTGTACAGCTGGTGAACGCGAAGAAGAAGAAGAAGTTTTTATCATCATCGTCATCATCTGTTAACACTTCATGTTCAGTAGATCACCAGTTACCTTTTACTGTCTGGTCAGCTCCCTCCACCTTTGATGGTCAGATGTGATGGACTTCATGGTTGCATGCCTAAGGCCTGTCCAGTCAGTCAAGTTCTGTACCCAGGTCTTTCTTGGTCTGCCTCTTCTAATTTTCCACTCTACTGAGTCCTGTAGTATTGTTTTTGAGATTTCATTAGATCTTATTACATGTCTGTACCATTGCATGTTCCACCTTTTCACTGTGGCTAAAAAGGAGGTTCATGGTTGCCAAACTTATTGTGCTATTAGTTCCTTATTTTTTCCTTTTATATGTTTACTTTATAGCATGCTTGTGTGATTTCTGGGGCCCCATTCATGTCACTGTCTGGGAAATACAAATGAGGAAAGGAACTGGCTGTGCCATATTTGTATGCCATTGCTTTCCTATGTTGGTTTTGTGATCCCATTTTTGTGGGAAAAGAATAGACCCTCTGTCTCTCTTACAAGCATGTCTTAAAAGGCAACTAATTAGTGGTTTGGTGAAATGGGATATGTGGGGCAGAAAGGTGCAGGTATCTTGCCTAACTGAAAATTGCAGCACAATATGCCAACCATTATTTTGAGGATGAATGTAGAAGAGACCTTTTAGGTGGCATAGTTTATTTTTAAATTAATATTCTGTCAGTTGTAATTTTACCTTATCAATTATTGACTTGACTTTAGATCTGCTTATTTATTCTGATCGTTCTTTTGTAGTGTAATTCACTACAATTCTCACTTCATCCTGGAGGTTGTAAGTTTTCTTCACTGATTTCTGGTTCTGCTGCCACACACAGTGGACTGAGATAAGAATGTAGTTTCCAGTGTATTAGTCTCTTACACACAAGTCGTTTTATCAGCACATTTGTATCAGCTGGTTAACACAAAAGAAATGGACCTCTAGATCCTGCTCTTAAGTTATGTCCTGGTTTCTATTTATTACCGCCATTGTATCATTTGTCGTTACTGTTTTTTTTTAATGCGCTCTTTAACTGTCACTTTTTTTTACCCAGTCATTATATCAGCTGAGTTTCTATGTGGTCTCCAGTTGTGAATTATAATAGCCACTCTTATCAGTTAGTTAGCAGACGTCACTTAAAATGCAGGTGTAATCTTGAATGAAGTATCACCCATCCACTTTTGTGGGTTAGCTTAATTTTGCACTATTTTATTAATTTTAGCTTCAAAAGTGTTTTCTATGTGTTATTAATTACTAAATAAATATTGATGCAGTTAGGGATATCCGTAGCAGCGGATACCTATCCGTAACAGCTGATACCTTTCCAGTGGTCTAAATAAAAGTAGTTCATCACCATCATGTGCTGTGCTGGTGGCAGCCCTCTTCGGACTATCTGCGCTTCTTGTGTTCTTGTGAAGTTTTATTACCACTTGTCATCTGTGCTACTCTGACACCGAGCATTTCCTTCTTGTGCCCAATCTCTGTCTCCGATCCCTTCAGTTTATTTGTCATCACATTCTGCAGACGTTCTCATTTTCTCACTTTCTTCGTACAGGCCTGAAGATCCATTGGTGGCAGTCAGTCATTGTGAGTCAGTACTGAATTAATCCATTGCATCATAGCTGTAGTCTAGACAAGATGTTTACCTTTTAAAAAAAATGTACAAAAAAGATATCTGCCTTACCAAAGCCAAGAACCTTGTCTCAGATTGAAGAGACCAGTACTCTGAACAACAGCAACATTTTAGGAATGTTGTTATACAACTCTTAGTGTTGCCAAATAACTGTTTGAATTACACATAAACTAGAGACTTTTCAGTATAATAGTGTAAGAAAAATCCAATGAATATTTTAGCCAAACAGGTTCATAGATGAAAAAAAATGGTCATCGCTGGCAACCATTTCAAAAGGAAGAAGATGTAGATGGCTTGGGCATGTTTGCAGAATGCCTTATGATACTTTGGCAAGGACAGTTGGTGGTAAGGACAGTTGGTGGCAAGGACAGTTGGTGGCAAGGACAGTTGGTGGCAAGGACAGTTGGTGGTAAGGGCAGTTGGTGGTAAGGGCAGTTGGTGGTAAGGGCAGTTGGTGGTAAGGACAGTTGGTGGCAATTGCAGGTGGTGGCAAGGGCAGTTGGTGGTAAGGACACTTGGTGGCAAGAACAGTTGGATGGCAGATGGGGAAAAAAATCAGTCATGGGCGACCTGAGGACACCTGGAAAAGAACAGTAGACAGGAAAATTAAAAAATTTAAAATGGCGTGGGATACAGTGGGCAGAAAAGCTGCGGAGAGACAGCAGGGGAGATCACTTGTGAATGCCTTGTTTGTCAGCTGCAACATGATGAGGGCACAGATAGATGGAATATTCTAAGCACTTAGCTCTTTACTGACAACTAGAAGTATGTAAACAAATCACTTCTATGAGTTAATTTTGGAGGCAGACTTTTATAGTCCGCCAGATAATAGAAAGCAGCTCATTCAGAATTGTGTGTAGGTGATTAGACATGGATGTTTAAAGTGTTGCCTGCTTCATTTCTTTCTTCTTCTCCTCCTCTTGCATCCGCCCTTAAACATGTTGTTGCCATGTTGTGTTGGGGCTTACAGCTAGGCTGTGATATATGTGCCTTTCGACCCTACACATCTGAGTTTCACCAAGGTCCTAATTAGTCTTTTCTAACAGCATGCAATAGGGGGCAGAATGTCTTCCCCCTCCCCCAAACCTTTTATGAAATGAGACCCTGGTACCCACCTGGAGAATGATTTTAATGTTCATAATGCCTGCAAAGAATATTCTGAATTAATATGATCAATGGCAAACAAATGATGTGGAGCTAACTTTTTTCTCCAGTTATCACGTATGGAGTATGTCCACTCCAAACATTTGATATACAGGGACGTGAAGCCAGAGAACTTCCTCATAGGCAGACAGTCGACCAAAAAGCAGCACATCATTCACATCATAGACTTTGGCTTGGCCAAGGAGTACATCGACCCAGAAACTCACAAACATATTCCATACCGAGAGCACAAGAGCTTGACGGGTACTGCACGGTACATGAGCATTAATACACATCTGGGAAAAGGTTAGTACTGTGGTTTTTTTTGTACTTTCTCTCTTGTTATCTTTTACTTTGTGCTTGGGGACTGTCTATTTTCTGTCTTTATGCCTGTTGATGCATCCATTCATGCCACCATGGCAAAACACTGTTGAGTGCCAGTCCACGTGCACTGGATCTCAAATTATTCCTCCCCACAAAGCTTAATGTTGGAAATGGTTTATGATGATGGTGAAAATGATGCACCCATTACCGTCATATTTAATCATGCAATTAATAAAGTTAGTTGACTATCCTGTACAGGGCGTTGCAGAACCAAACCCATCATATTTGGCTCTTGTTGTTTTGTTTCTATAAAATTGTTACATTCAGTAGTTTGCCATCGTTACATGAACAATCGGCTCTTGGTACAACCTTTGAAACCAACATATGACAGTCTGGTGCCAAATTGCTGCTAGCCGTGTTAAAAACCAGCATTACAAAGTACACTAGCAACGCCCGAACCACAGACACTTACAGAATTAAAAAGCTTGGGGTTAAGTTTCAGGATTTTCCCAAGACTGCTAGTTCTCAAATAGGACAGTGAAGGGCATTTTGTGTGATTTTTTACCTGCATTAGAAGGGAGCATTTATGGGGCAACCTGTTTGTAGTGAAGCTGGCAGTTTGACCTGCTACGATTATGACTACGCTTGACTGAAAGAGCTGATCAGGATCTTTTAGCTCTGAAAGTACACTGTAATTTAGACACTACTTTCTGAGTGGGCTTCATAGACTTTGCCATCTGTCACGGTGGAGCGCTCATGCAAACATTGATGCATAACACGCGAAAATATTCCAAGTGGCACTGGTGACAAGGGGAATCCTGGTCCATGGAAGCATCACTAAAGGATAAAACTATGACTGAAGGCCTCCATCTTATTCATGAGATGTGCCAGAACAGATGCTTGTCAAGAGTTGAATTCTATTGAGGAAGACCATGGGATCTGCTGTGTTGTTGTTTCTTACTTATGATGTGCTAGCTTTTCACTCTTATTCCATTTTTTTTTTACCTATAGCCATGGCCGGTTGGTTTGAAGATCAAGGGTTCAGATCCACAATGAGGTGTTTTTAATGTGTGTGCACAGATACTGTCTGTGGTTGTAACAAAAAGCACTACTGGCTTCCTTAGCAGTTTGTGACATGTTTGTTAAACAAAATCCCTGGCACACATGTGATACAGCATAACCAGTCAATCTGTTTGTTTCTTCATTGTCACATTTGTCTTCAATGAAGACCTTGACCTCTGCTTCAATGTCTTAGTATTTCACCCCTTCATCACTTTGAGAGGAAAGAAAAGATGCCTGTAAAGGTTAGAGGGCATTACTGTCCACTCTTGTCCAAAATTAGAAGTTGTGTGCTCGCAAATTAATTTGACAGTGTCCTCCGACCCATCTAGCTGTAAATAACTCAATGTTCTTCTCACTCTAATAGGCTGGCTTTGTGTCATTGGTAGTCATGTTTATCCACAGCCTTCTGTCTTGTGTACTTTCCATCAGTTCTGACAGAGGATTTTCCAGGCCATGATGTCAGACTGTCCAGCATATTCTCTCTTGGTCTCTCTCTGCCTCTTTCCCCCTCCAACCTTTCCACCTTCGTGATGTACTCCAGTTTTCTTCTTCTTATGACATGATCTTCTGATATGGGCAATCATCTATCTTTGTGAGTAAATTTCTTGCAAGGATCTTTATTATTGTTTTTAAAAAAAAAATCTGTCCAGAACATTCTCATCGTTCATCTATAAAACCACATCCCTGCCACTTCCAGATAATTCAGTAATCATCCAGCTGTCCATGATTCACTTCCGTATATCAGGACATGTTTTATATAGTTCTTGATAATTCTCTTTCTCGTCTCAGTTGACAAGGAAAGATTGTGTAGAATATTCTTCATGTTGTGCTGCCTTAGCTTGAACTGTTCTATATTTAACTTCTATAATACATCTTCTATCTGCTGACGGAAGATGTATTCAACATACACCTTCAAATTAGCCCATTTAATTTTATTTTGTTGAGGACTAACAGCAGTGGGTATTGAACATCTTCATGCAATGTTTAAACAAAAATTATTATCGTGTGTACCAAAACAAAAATTGTGGAATATGTGAAATTATATTTACTATCTTTTTTGGCGGTGATGGCGTAGAAGTAATAATGAATTGAACTATTCTTCCTCCCACCAATAAGCACTGTAAAACCCTCTTTTTTCTGTTTCACAGAACAAAGTAGGAGAGATGACTTGGAAGCTCTGGGGCATATGTTCATGTACTTTCTACGTGGTAGCTTGCCCTGGCAGGGTTTGAAAGCTGACACGCTGAAAGAAAGATATCAGAAGATAGGTGATACTAAACGTGCCACGCCCATTGAGGTGCTTTGTGAGAACTTCCCAGGTGAGGGGACACTTTCATAAGGCCCGTCTTGAGTATACCTGTAAATGTTCATCTATAAATGTTCATGTTACAGAGATTATAACTTTTTTTGTTTGTTAAGGGAATTATGGAGTAATAGTAACATTGTAATCAGTAGCTTTTGAAGAAGAGTGTGTAGGACCACAGCACTTGTCAAATGCCAACACTTTACTGCCAGTGCCAGACTTGGAATGCAGCCAGAACAGCTACCAGTGCAGGTGCAACACATGAAAAGATCTGATGTAAAAGCTAGAGATCGCCCTAGAAGATGATGGATTGATGACATTAAAGAACTTCTACATCAACACAGGATGACAGTGAAAATTGCGACCTATCAAGCAATGGATTGCACACTGTTCCTCCCGACGCCACTTAACAGCAGAAGTAGAAATTGATAATTATGATAATGACAAAATGACTAATGGTTTAAAAAGAATCCTTTGTTAAAACTAACATCAGCATCATGTTGCATGTGTTCATTCCTTATTTTATGTGCCTACTGAATGAACGTTAAACAGAGAAGGATACTTTTTATGACAGTATCTCTAATGTGGAGCTCATAAAGGACATTGGACACGTTCCAATTAAGGTGAAGTGAGGCAGCCAACATTAAATTGTATCCTGTTGAATTTCTATATTTGGATATGATAAAGGGTTTTATACTGAAGACCACTGAACAGTAAAATACTGTCAATTTGACTGCACTTAGTGGTTGCTGTGGAAACCAAGATAAACAGCAGACACCTAGCAGACGCCAGCAAGTGGCCCCGGATCATATAATTGCGAGTTGTATTAATGATCTTTCTATGCTGGGGCTTGGGTCTCTGGCTCCTGATGATCCCTATTTTCAGAATTGTGGTCCTTGAGTTAGCTTAGTTGAATAGTCTTGATCCAACAAGTGCTGATTAAGATTGAAGACCCTTTTCCATATATTACATCACCTTCCAAGTGCAGATTGAAGACCCTTTTCCATATATTACATCACCTGCCAAGTGCAGATTGAAGACCCTTTTCCATATATTACATCACCTGCCAAGTGCAGATTGAAGACCCTTTTCCATATATTACATCACCTGCCAGGTGCAGATTAAAGACCCTTTTCCAAATATTACATTACCTGCCAAGTGCAGATTGAAGACCCTTTTCCATATATTACTCACCTGTCAAGTGCAGATTGAAGACCCTTTTCCATATATTACATCACCTGCCAAGTGCAGATTGAAGACCCTTTTCCATATATTACATCACCTGCCAAGTGCAGATTGAAGACCCTTTTTCATATAATACATCACCTGACAAGTGCAGATTGAAGACCCTTTTTCATATATTACATCACCTGCCAAGTGCAGATTGAAGACCCTTTTTCATATATTACATCACCTGCCAAGTGCAGATTGAAGACCCTTTTTCATATATTACATCACCTGCCAAGTGCAGATTGAAGACCCTTTTTCATATATTACATCACCTGCCAAGTGCAGATTGAAGACCCTTTTTCATATATTACATCACCCACCAAGTGCCGATTGAAGACCCTTTTCCATATATTACATCACCTGCCAAGTGCAGATTGAAGACCCTTTTCCATATATTACATCACCTGCCAAGTGCAGATTGAAGACCCTTTTTCATATATTACATCACCTGCCAAGTGCAGATTGAAGACCCTTTTTTATATATTACATCACACACCAAGTGCAGATTGAAGACCCTTTTTCATATATTACATCACCTGCCAAGTGCAGATTGAAGACCCTTTTTCATATATTACATCACCTGCCAAGTGCAGATTGAAGACCCTTTACATATATTACATCACCTGCCAAGTGCAGATTGAAGACCCTTTTTCATATATTACATCACCTGCCAAGTGCAGATTGAAGACCCTTTTTCATATATTACATCACCTGCCAAGTGCAGATTGAAGACCCTTTTCCATATATTACATCATCTGCCAAGTGCAGATTGAAGACCCTTTTCCATATATTACATCATCTGTCAAGTGCAGATTGAAGACCCTTTTCCATATATTACATCACCTGCCAAGTGCAGATTGAAGACCCTTTTTTCATATATTACATCACCTGCCAAGTGCAGATTGAAGACCCTTTTCCATATATTACATCACCTGCCAAGTGCAGATTGAAGACCCTTTTCCATATATTACATCATCTGCCAAGTGCAGATTGAAGACCCTTTTCCATATATTACATCACCTGCCAAGTGCAGATTGAAGACCCTTTTTCATATATTACATCACCTGCCAAGTGCAGATTGAAAACCCTTTTCCATATATTACATCACCTGCCAAGTGCAGATTGAAAACCCTTTTTCATATATTACATCACCTGCCAAGTGCAGATTGAAGACCCTTTTCCATATATTACATCACCTGCCAAGTGCAGATTGAAGACCCTTTTCCATATATTACATCACCTGCCAGGTGCAGATTAAAGACCCTTTTCCAAATATTACATTACCTGCCAAGTGCAGATTGAAGACCCTTTTCCATACATTACTCACCTGCCAAGTGCAGATTGAAGACCCTTTTCCATATATTACATCACTTGCCAAGTGCAGATTGAAGACCCTTTTCCATATATTACATCACCCACCAAGCGCCGATTGGTCTATAAAAATAAAGGTCTAGTCCTATATGACCAATACGCCTAAAGGCATGGAAAAGAGACCTTTTCTTTTCTATATGTTGGGCATATAGTTCTAGATCTATATTTGATAAACTAAACAGCAGTTGGTGGGTAATGGTGTCGACATCATATCGCCACTTTTACTTCCCATGACTTTACCTGATACCTGTTTAGTCAAGGTAGAAATGAGAGCCAAGGTAATTTTTTTTTAAAATATGGCTCCCTGCAGATTGGAACCCACAACCTCCGTCCCTAAGGCTTCTAACCACTACACCACTGCGGCTCCCCCAAATATTTTATTACTGATTTATAAATTGACTTTGAGGTGTTATTTACTTGGCTAATTAATTAATATTTTTATTATCCTTTTTCTCCTTCAGAAGAACTAGCAACATACTTGCGCTACGTTCGAAAGTTGGACTTTTTCGAAACACCCGATTATGACTATCTGCGTAGACTTTTTACAGATCTCATGGAAAAAATGTCTTATGAATGTGACTGGCAATTTGACTGGGTCGGAAGACAGGTGGTTAGTATTTCTTGGTTAATCTTTCATACATTTCAGTTTTTATTTTAGTGTTGATACATTGTTATTTGCTGTTTTGTTTGAATTTATTTGTTCACAGTTATAATCTAAAATCTTAGCAAAATGGAAGTCATCTTTACATAGGTAATAACACATTACTTAATTACACATTCTTTGTTGTCTAATTTTTGCAGTGAATCACTCGCCTTACCAGCTTTTTTTTTTTTTTTTTGGAATAAAACTTTGATAATGTGATTACAATGTGTGGGTGAGAGATAAAATGTTGCAAGTCATATGAAGCATTAAATAAAGCGAAAGAATTCAGCTCATTAAGTTATGGAACTTTTCTATTCAGTGTTGAATAGATGATATCGTTGGCACTATGCAAAAGCGACCAAACTGACAAATTCTTGTTTTGAGAAAATCATGTTTAGCATTAAGTTCTGAAAAATCAAGTGAAGATTGTGTAGTTTGCATGTTAAGTAATGCAGTGTCTCTTCAACTTATGACACGAGTTCCGTTTCGACTTGCAGGTCAAACTAGTTGTAAGTCAAACAGGTACGCAAAATACAAAAATTCCTATTTATGGATGTATAATTATTGTACATAATCGGAAAAATAATGCAATGTTCTCTATTGCATCAGTTTGGGAAATTTTTTGGACCCTACCAATGTAATTATCTTTCTTTATTTACTATTTTGTTGTTGTTTATTTTTGGTGGTCATAAGTCGGGATGGTTGTAAGGCATAGGTCGTGAGTCGGGGAGAAGGTACTTTATTTTGACCTGTTTGAGGTAGAATTTACAAAGACACCTTTGATATTTTCTTAAGTGATAAATAATAACCGTGAAAATGTGTTTAGGCGAAATTACACCCCCTTCCCCCCTCCCACACAATTGCATTAAGGTGACTTTGGCATAGTGCCAGTGATAGGATCCTGCCAGTGTTGGACTGATGGTATTGTCTACTCAATGTTGCATTTATGACTTGGTGAATCATATGCCTTCTGCAAGAAAGCACACTAGTCGAGTGCAGACATAAAACGGATTCTTTAATATTTTTACCTTCACTTGCACAGTCCACCCCGCAGAGCGTAGTTGAAAGTGTATATCCACAGCGAGATGGTACAGCCAGCAGGGATCGGCCACCAACCCAGAAGGTAACTGATATTTTTTTTTCTTTGCACTTGCTAGTTTAACTTTTCAGTATGCCAGCTGTTCCTTTAACATCTCTTCTTTCTGTATCTTTTAGACTAGTCACCTCACATTGGTTTTCGTTCACAGAGAGATACTGGGATAATTTTGTTACCGTGGTTAATTTTATATTTTTTTGTTAAGTGTTATTCGATATATGAAGCGTTATTTGACTAGTAGAGCTTGGTAAAATAGAAAGTAAACGACCCTTTTCTACACTTTCAGGGGTATTGGGTAAACAGAACTAGAGATGTTAGTTTAGAATTTACATCACAGCTCTTGGAACATCTTTTAAGTGCTCTGTCTCCCTCTTCAGTTGCAAGCGCAGAGTTCTGATTTCTGGTCACTTCTCGCAGTACCATTCTCCTCAGACCGTAGTGATCCATCTGTGCCTCCTCGTTGTTGACTTGCCCCCGAAAGGGCTCTTACAACATCTAGCTTCACATGCATTCATTCATCACCAGAATATAAATTGATTGAATATCTAAGTAAATTAAATGGGAAGTAAAGGAAGGATGGCACAGAAAAGAACAAAATAGAGGACTTGACTATGAGCCCTATCTGACATATAACTGTTCAACAGGATGATGATTATGATGATGAAATTCCCTTATTACACCACTGACACATTGGGTATGTTAGGTTAGACACGTTGTTTGACATAATTAGATCAGTAATATTGTAGCCAAACTTTAGGGACATTAAGTGGTTTGACATATCAGATTACTGATATTGTTTTCTAAGTGTAGGAACTATCAGGTGTTTGACATATGAGATTAATGATATTGTAGTCTAACCCTGGGAACTATCAGTTGTTTGATACATCAGAATAATGATATTGTAGTCTAACCCTGGGAACTATCAGTTGTTTGATACATCAGATTAATGATATTGTAGTCTAACCCTGGCAGCTTTCGGTAGTTTGATATATCAGATTAATGATATTGTAGTCTACCTGGAGGAACTTAAGTGGTTTGACATGTCAGAATAATGATGTTGCAGTCTAAGTCTGGGAACTTTAAGTGGTTTGGCATGTCAGAATAATGATGATGCAGTCTAAGTCTGGGAACTTTAACCCTTTCGCTGCTACGTTCCCGGAAATAGTTGTCTGCCCTGTGCTAAGCAATGTGAAAAAAAAAGTCTCTGCTGTGCGCAATACTTTTCAATCCTCCAAACGCAAAAGATACGTCGGCGGTGAGGGCTATATTTTGTACACCTAAAAATGTTTACCCTGGGGAGTTGTGTGGTTGGTCCGAGTGGTGACAAGTCAGAGGCACGATAGTGCCCCACAAACTTGACTAACGGAGCTATCACCCTTCTAGGGGGTGGGGGGGGGGGGATTAATGGGAAGAACTGTTCCCAGTCCGTATTCCAAAATTTGATTGACGAACCTACCACGGCTGACACTTTAATCATAGTTATTTGTAGTCACCATGTTATTACATACCAAAATAATAAAAAAATAATAATAATGCTTGAGTCATCCGTTGCTGAAAAGTAGCAGGAACTGAAAGGAAAATTTACAGTTAATAAAAAAAAATAAAAAAACTTCGGGGGTTGAACACACGACCCTCCGATTCTAAGGCGAACGTGATACCAACTACACTATGCTACCGCTTGACGCATTGCGCTGTGTGAATGATGATAATGAATGATGTGCGCAGACTATCAATAACGTGTCTAAGCTTGTAGTATATCGCCGCCTGCATGAGCACTGTTGTCTGAGAAATGTTTGAGATTCTCAACAATAGTAAAAAGATGTCCCTCGACATTATTTTACGGGAGTTTTTAGCAAACAGTCTTTGCTCAAGTACTCTATTTTGAGTTTCTTTGTTCTAAGCATTAGCAGACAGCAAAAAAAAAAAAAAGTTCGTCCGAATCTGTGTCTGTCCAACGGGAAAGACGAGAATTTTTAGTGACTTAACTGTTTGAATTTACAGTAGCAGAAATACAGATAGAGCTGGAGTCATCAAAGTTATGCACTACTGGTTTCAAATCATCGGTTCATCAAGACAACTGATCAATTTATTGCCGTTTTGATGGCGCTTCATTGACGCTGCTCTCTGATTTTGACGATGAGGACGTCGGACAGGCAAACAGCTTTTTTTTTGGACACGCCGGTTTAAGCAGTCGATACTGATGGCCTAGTCAAATCTTCTTGTTCACTGTCAGAAGTACACATTTCAAAGTCATCTTCTCTATCACTTCTTGACAGAAACTCCATCAATTCTTCATCAACTTTAACAAGTTTTCTTGCCATTTTGTACTAAGTGTAGAATAATCCAAAAGCACAAATATATATCAGGGCACAAAATACACAGATCACCGACCACGCTGTCACGGTAAACAAAGCAACGGGATAAAGCAGAATGCAGCAAACACACCTTAAACACCTAAAAGCACGTGCCAGTGCTTTTAATCATATGTAAATGGGTCAGTTTAATCTAAATATAGCTAATGTATATTGCCCTTCAGCCAATAGAATACGGGGTAACAGAAATCTGTAAGAAAAGTCCAAAAACGGCTTGGCACGTCCATAGCACTGTGGGTCAAGAAAAAAAATAACGCCCAAAGACGGGCGTAGCAGCGTACGGGAAATCGGGAAAAGACGTCCATAGCTGCGAAAGGGTTAAGTGGTTTGACCTGTCAGAATAATGATGTTGCAGTCTAAGTCTGGGAACTTTAAGTGGTTTGACATGTCAGAATAATGATGTTGCAGTCTAAGTCTGGGAACTTTAAGTGGTTTGACATGTCAGAATAATGATGTTGCAGTCTAAGTCTGGGAACTTTAAGTGGTTTGACATGTCAGAATAATGATGATGCAGTCCAAGTCTGGGAACTTTAAGTGGTTTGACATTATCAACTGAATTATAATTCTAACTTAGGAACTATCAGTGTTTCTTCATCATCAAATTATTCTAGTCTAATGTTATGAAGTCGCATGTTCTTCTTATCAGATTACTTCTATAGTCTAATGTTAGAAAGTATAAGAGTTTGACTTATCAGATTAATGATATTGTAGTCTAACTGTAGGAACTATAAGTGGTTTAATCTGTCAGATTATTGATGTTGTAGTCTCACTCTGGGAACTATAAGTGGTTTGACATCATAAACTAAATTATAATTCTAACTTAGTGAGTTTCGCTGGTTTTTCATCATAAGATTACTTTTATAGTCTAGTGCTAGAAATTGGTGGTTTCACATATCAGATAGGTTATATTGTTGTCTAACTAGGAACTAGAAATGGTTATACATAACATTATCAGATTAGTTATATTGTTGTCTAACTAGGAACTAGAAATGGTTATACATAACATAATCAGATCAGTAATATTGTAGTTTTTTGTGTGTGGAAAGTATAAGTTGTTAGACATAATAAAATCAATGTTATATTCTGTTATTGTGAATTATAAGTGGTTGTAGACGCATCATGAAATGGATAGTATTCTCATGTTAGAAAGTATAAGTGAGTGGACGTAAGAAATAAGTATATTATTGAAAGTGTATTTGGAAGTATAAATGGTTTGACATCATGTTAATAATTTTCTAATATTACATACAAAGTATATGAAGGGCATAGTGCAATCAGTTTGTTAGAAAGTATCAGTGCTTTGACGTCATCAAGTCAGTTATAATATATTCTAACATTAAATACAAGTGGTTTGACATAATAAAGAATCATTGATTCTGTAGCCTTAATGTAGGAAGTATAAACTGTAAGAAGTACAAGTCAGTTGACATAATTAAGTCATTATTGGTATATTTTTGCTCTAGAAACTATAAATGGTTTGATATTATAGTCGGCTCTCCTGTCAACCTAGGCCGTTAGCTGGACTGCCGCCGATCGCTTAGTGGGAGTTCTCTCCCTTGGCTGCATTGCGAACACGGAGCGGAAAAGTCACAAATAAAAAAAGGCAGTGAGGTTGACAACAGGGCTGCCAATGCTTGGGTGTTTCCCCCCAGATCTGGCTGTTCATTTGATGCTTCGGGGAAATCTGGGTTTAAAGTAAATATATCCTTATATAACAGTGGTATTAGTTGCCACGGATGTGACTCCTGCAGATCTGTATGACTTAATGACCACCGATAAATTTGCGTGGTTAGGGATAGGGGTAGGGTTAGGGTTAGATGTGACAATTTTGACGCAGGAGTTCCAAATAATCGCGCACAGTCACATACACACCCAAACAATCGAAGGACTGTGGATGCTACTCAAACAAACAATTCGCCACCGATTGGGCACCAGCCGCGCGCTATTGGCGTCATATTTGGGAGAATTCCAGTCGCGCCACTCCCACAAGCATCAGATTGTCGGCCAGTATTTGGAACTCCTACATCAAAATTGTCACATCTAACCCTACCCCTAACCCTAATCCTAATCCTAACCCCAACACTAACCCTAACCTAAACCCTAACGGTAACCCAACCCTTAACGCCGCTAACCCTATCCCTAACCCAAACCCTATGATGACCGTATGATGACTACGCAACCGCACACGCAACCGTATGATGATAGGTAACCGTAACCATATGATGACCACGCAACCGTATGATGATAGGTAAGTATGTCATTTGATTCGTGACTTTTCCGCTCCGTGTTCGCAATGCAGCCAAGGGAGAGAACTCCCACTAAGCGATCGGCGGCAGTCCAGCTAACGGCCTAAGTTGATAGGAGAGCCTTATAGTCTAATTTTAGGAGAGATATATATTCTTGCTTTTGTGATAAAATAGTTTGCCTTTAAGAAAAAAAGGACGAGCAGTTTGATAGATTGTTCTAATCTATTTATTCTTTATGTTCACCATCCGTAAACTGCGGCAGAAAGTTCTGGTCGTTCGTCCACTTCTGGACTTTAATCTTGTCCCAGAACTTGAATTTTCTGTGCCATCCATTTATCAAATCTGACTTTCCTTTATCAAATCTGACTTCCGTTTATCAGATCTGATTTAATTGTATGCAGACTTGATCCCTTGCCTCACATGCAGGAGTACTTCAACTTTGAAGGAGACCCCTAATTATTTCACTCTTACAACATTCTTGTTGGGGAAGCAGAAGGTCTTTTCTTTTCCCCCCCAGAATGGGACGCCTGAACCCACACTAGGAATGATAAATCTCAGAATAAAAGATAAGCTGTTTAATGTGCTTATTTGGAGAGATGTCTACATTGAGAACTCATTTGAAAGCTTGTCTGCTAGGCTTGGCATCTTGCTGTCACCATAAATAAAATTACTTCTGTTTGTTAATGACAAAGTAGTTTTTTTTTTTGTTTTTAAAACTCACCTTGATATCTTTCTTTTACTACCGTCATATTGTACCACAATTTCCTCATACGTCATTACTTTTTAACAATCTTGTTCTCAAAGACCTTTATATGTGTGCATCTTTGTAACATAGTATTAATGTTATGGTTATTGGGGGCTGTCAGTCTTTGACATTGAAAGTTTATAATTAATAGTTGATATGTAATGTCTTCACACTGGAAACCACAGGGTCATAGAAATAAAGACGGGAGAGAGGGGGGGGGGGGGGGGGAACTCTTGTAGAAGGGAACTAAAGAGTGAAATTTAAAAAGATGGAGGAGGACATGAGGTGAGCTGCATGCTATAAGAAAGGACAACTTGGCGCGGGTGGGTTGAGAGCCTGTGCTCCATAGGAATATTAAGTTCTGAGGTCCCAGTCTCTTCCTTGGTGCGATTATCATACAACTGAACAAAAAGAAAACACTTAAAAAAATTAAATAAAAAATAACGCTGTCTGCTATGTGAATTGACCACCCTCCTCTTCCACACCCCCCTCCCCCCCCAAGTACTTGTGGATCATTACATAGTTAAACACAGTAACTGACCTCCAAGTCCCAGAGCTGCACATCTCTTAACAGTGAGGATACTCATAATTATGATCCTTATGATGTCTCTTACAGTGAGGATACTCATAATTATGATCCTTATGATGTCTCTTACAGTGAGGATACTCATAATTATGATCTTATGATGTCTCTTACAGTGAGGATACTCATAATTATGATCCTTGTGATGTCTCTTACAGTGAGGATACTCATAATTATGATCTTTATGATGTCTCTTACAGTGAGATACTTATAATTATGATCCTTATGATGTCTCTTACAGTGGGGATACTTATAATTATGATCCTTATGATGTTTTTTAAAGTATTTTTATTTTATAAATTTGATTTTTTTTTAAATTTGGTTTAAAAAAAAAATTTTTTGAATGTGTTTGTTATAATTATGCACAGCTTCTATAGTTTTATTAGTTATTATTTGTGTGTGTGGAGATTTCTGTCAGGAAGATGGTGCTTGTTTTGTATGTTGTAGGATTAGCAAGTCTGAGAGGGGTAACTGCATGATGAAAATGGTCTAAAATTTGTGTGACACTTACCTGTGGGAGATTAATTGATGCATTTTAAATATTATTGCTACTTAACAGGTGGACATTTTGTGCTCTGTTGGTGTCAGACTTTAACAAGGCCCTCCCTAATTTAGCTGCATAATACCAACACCCTTTACATGTTATTTTAGAGCATACACCAGAGCTGGGTGTCAACAGTTTAGTTTATCTCTTGCATTTGCTTAACAGCTCGCAGCATGGATCGCTAGTATTTAGTGCCTGGCCGATGTATAACCCCACCTTAATTACAGGAGGGACTTTAATGTCTGGCTGCTGTTCTTCTTTCTCTCCTGCGTCTTGTCTCTGTGGCTGTCCTGGTGTCTTGTGTGTGTGTTACCTAATCATGCTGATTTGCCTTTTCAGGCAAGTTCAAACCAAAGGGGTCACCCTGCCTGGGGCGAGCAGCCTCGTCACACATATCTGGGCGACAACCTGGCCTCAAACAGGCACGGGGGCTCTGTACAGGTAGGCTGGATTCTCTCTGTCCTGGGTCTTAAGACCCTAGGGAAGAGAAGTATTTTTTTTTAAACTCTTTTTCTGAAATCTGTTTGGGCTTCCTGTCACTACTAGGAGCTGGTTAGCTTTCATAGAGTGGTCAGATTGGTCCCTCCTACGTTCTGTAGCAAACTGCATGCTAATTGTTTAGAACCCGCTGTAACACATTGTTTTACTGGCTGTTTTATTTACTTATTGAACTCCAAAGTTCTATATTAGGTAGGTGTGGTAGTTGGACAATCCCAGTGACTCACTTTGTCCTAAACTGCATGTGATGTTTTACCACTGCCAGTCCATAAATGTTTTGTTGTCTGTCCCCACTAACTTTGATATATAGATGATTTTACTTAACAGTAGAATTATTTTGTCTGAAATCTTTCTTTATCAAGTGAATATATATTTTATTTTGCATACATACAATTAATGACATTTTTGTTTGTTTTGTTTTTCAACTTAACATAAGAAGAAAGAGTGTATTTTACTGGGTGATTATTTGATATATTTTTTTTATTTCATTGAACAAATGGGAAATTCTATTGCAGTCATTGCTTTGCTGAAATTTCAGTACCAAATTTTACATTTTCAGTATTATTTATACACACTGAATTTTTATTTTATTTTGTTATTTGATTACTGCCAAAGTCAAAATCTAATTATTTTCGATGCTCTTAAACATTTAGCTTAATTCCTTTTTTTGTCCATTTAAAAAAAATTTTTTTTTTAAGAACAAATATACTAGAAATAATGATATTGTTGCACATTTTCATCAGTTGCATCTAATCAGTGTTTTAGCCTACTTTCTCCTCACGTTTCTGTTGTACTCACTTCATCATGATATTGCTTCACAGTTTATCCCTATATTCATATCCTCCCCCTCCATCTGTTTCTCTTCAGATTTTACTCACCTACTAAATCTTTATGATGTTGTTTCTCTCCATATTTCTGTTACATATAATCTGTTTTTATTCACTTTCTCTATATTTCAGTTATGTAACCTAATGAATATTGTATACCAGTTTTGTTCGCCGAATCCCTATGTTTAGCATTTATTTCTCTCCTCTCAATGTTTCTGTTACATTCAGCTGAGTAATTTGAGCCAATGCATTTCCTCACATTTCTATTTCGCTTGCATTATCACGTTATTGTTTCCTACTTACTGCCTATATTTCTACCAAATTCACCTGACACTTTGTCATACCACTGTTTCTCCCAGTGCATTATCCCAACTACATGTTTTGGTACTATTTCTGTCACTCCATTTTTTTGCTTTACTCTACCAGTGTATTTTTCTTGCAAGTTTTGCCTCACATCTCTCTTTTGTTACACTATATTTTTATTTCAGACGAGGCTTCTGTTATCTTCATCTGACTTTTATTTGTTTAATTCTTTCAACATTTCAATCATGTTCACACCGCTTATTTTGTTTTTGCTACTAATTCTCCTCCACATTCTTATCATGCTTACTTTTTTTTGTTTCACTGCTTCTGCCTACATTTTTATCATGTTCTCCTGCTTACTTTTGTCCCTACTTTTTCCACCTCTACATTTTTTTTGGTAGCGTTCACCTGCTTACTTTTTTGTTTTGTTTCACTAATTCTCCTCACATTTTTTAATCACATTAATTTTGCTTAACATTTGTATTGCTAATCTCCCCCACATTACTGTCATGTTCATTCTGCTTACATTTGTGGACAAATTTTCTCCTTCTAGCCACATTTCTTGTTAAAAATTATATTTTGCACTATTTCCCCTGTCTTTATTATCTCATTATAATTCGTACCTACTATTTCTAGCTAATTAATTTTTATTTTCTATCAAATATTTATTATTAATTTTTGAGCTTAATGGCACTTAAAAACCATAAATTGTAACCATTGAATTTGCTGTTTCTTGTACAGCCTGGTTTGTTTATTGATTTCTTTAAGAATTACAGCCTTCATTCTGCCCTTCTTCATTATATCTATCTGTAGGATATAACCTAACTTGTGTGCTTTTATTATATCTTTGTACAATTACAACCCAGCCGTTGTGCCTTCATTATATCTGTGTACGATAACAGCCTAGACTGTGTTCCTCGAATATATCTTGACAGTTATAGCCTAGACTTCATGCCTTCATTATATCTGTGTATGATTACAGCCTAGACTGTCTGCCTTCATTATATCTGTGTATGATTACAGCCTAGACTGTGTGCCTTCATTAAATCTGTGTACAATTACAGCCTAGCCTCTGTGCCTTCATTATATCTGTGTACGATTACAGCCTAGACTGTCTGCCTTCATTATATCTGTGTACGATTACAGCCTAGCCTCTGTGCCTTTATTATATCTGTGTACGATTACAACCTAGTCTGTGTGCCTTCACTATATCTGTGTACGATTACAACCTAGTCTGTGTGCCTTCATTATATCTTTACGATTATAGCCTAGAGTACGTGCCTTCACTATATCTGTGTACGATTACAGCCTAGACTGTTCCTTCATTATATCTTTACGATTATAGCCTAGAGTATGTGCCTTCATTATATCTGTGTACGATTACAGCCTAGTCTGTGTTCCTTCATTATATCTGTGTACGATTACAACCTAGTCTGTGTGCCTTCACTATATCTGTGTACGATTACAGCCTAGTCTGTCTGCCTTCATTATATCTGTGTACGATTATAGCCTAGTCTGTCTGCCTTTATTATTTCTGTGTACGATTATAGCCTAGAGTACGTGCCTTCATATCTGTGTACGGTTATAGCCTAGAGTACGTGCCTTCATTATATCTGTGTACGATCATCTGCTTGCCCTCCTAATGTCATAGGCAACTGTCAGTCCCTAGGAACTATATAGCTGTGCTGCTGATTTTGGAAACAGCATCTGCTGTGAACGTAGTGTCCATTGTGGGAGAGGCAGTCTTTGGGACATAGTCTACATTAAAATTTTCTGTTATACTGAGTCTGGTTTTCTCTTAGACGTCTTCTCTCTTATATCTTGCTGCATTTGGCCTCTTGTAAACTGCGACAGTCCATCTTCAACTGTCCTTCACAGTAGTCGGTCTGCAGCAGTGCTTGAGTAATCTCTCCAAGACAAAGGCCTGTGCATGTTGAATTAATATATCTGTAAGAATATAGGATGATAACATAGCTTTCCCAGCACCTGTAAAGATGTTATGACATTGTATTGTTAAATAAAGTGCCATTAAACTCATGTGTACATGCATGACTTTCAGATAATGATTTTAAGTGCACTTTTTCTCAGATGCAACCCTGTTATCAATTTCATTTCTTTCTTGTTTTGCATGCTTTAGGTGCAAGGGATATCAGGAATGAATGTAAGAAGGGCATTGGTTTGAAGCAGTTTGTGTTAAAGTATTTTTTGTTGTGCATGGTGAATGAGGTTATATTTGATGTCAGCTCAGGTTTTATTAGTTCTAGAAACATATATAATTATTGTTCTAGATTTACCATGGTGTCAATTAAAACTATGTGTAGTTTTATGATTGTAATCACCTGAATTTTCAAAGCTACAAATTCACAATGGATGTATTTGAAAGTAGACTTACAGCATTTTGGTATGTACCTTTTTCTGCTGCTAGTTCTCCTAACTGGATAGAGGCCCCCAGCCAATTTGTACCAGCTATCTTATCTTCTCACCTTATCAGCCAACTTACGCTGGCTGTCCAACCTGCTCATCTTATTATCAACCAACTTATGCCGGCTGTCTTATCTTCTCATCTTATCAGCCAACTTATACCAGCTGTCCTATCTCCTCATCTTATTTTCAACCAACTTATATCAGCTGTCCTACCTGCCTATCTTAATAACCTTTAATGTAGATTTGTTTCTCTTTGTGAGTTTTGATGTTTACATTCAAAAAACAAAAATCTCCTGGTTTCACCAGCCCTATAGGTTCCAGTGTAACTGTATTCTAGTTATAATTATCAGATTCTCACAGTGTGTATTCTGTTCAGTGTTAATATCTTTTCCCTCACCTCATCTCTTGATTCACTGGCATTTGTTTACTTTTCTCTGAAAAACTGCACATTAGTGATTGTGTTTAGCCAATAATTCCGTCTGCATGCATGCAACAGTTAGCAAATTTTTGTAATTTATTAGTAATTAGTTTAATTATCCTCCTCGTTTCTAATCCATACAGTACTCTGTTCCCCCAGTAGTAAGACCGGGTCTTATATTAATTTTTGCTTAAGAAATGCACTGGGGCTATTGTTTGGCGGATATCTCTCTCTTTTTCTTTCCAGTGTATACGAAGGCTATTCCAAAATAAGCCTCTGGCTAGTAAAAAAAAATGTTTGTCATAGGTGCACTGTTCCTTGCTTGTACCATTCAGTAGCCTTTTAGCTCGCTACACACCAGTCTTCAGTTGTATTTGTTCAGTAGTTTATGAACCAGAATGAATAAACATGGACACTGCCATTGCTGGTCTTGCCAGCTGTGAGATTCATGGTGTGATTTGTTTTCTTCAAGCTCAGCTTGGGCCTCTGACAATATGGGAATACATTTCTGCATGGATTAGTGACTAGGGATGATTTTTGTATATGGGAATACATTTCTGCATGGAATAGTGACTAGGGATGATTTTTGTATATGGGAATACATTTCTGCATGGAATAGTGACTAGGGATGATTTTTGTATATGGGAATACATTTCTGCATGGATTAGTGACTAGGGATGATTTTTGTATATGGGAATACATTTCTCCATGGAATAGTGACTAGGGATGATTTTTGTGGGTTCACTTTGTGAATGCAGGGACGAAGGAACAGTCAAAATAGTGGCTGCGCACTCATTATCCAGACAAGCCTAAAAAAACTCCAAGCAAACTTTTTTTGCTATGTAAAATAATGGTTACAGTGCTCTGGGACCGCAAGAGCATTTTGTTTATGGAATTCATGACTGGGACCGCAATATTTTCAGAAGTTTGTTGTGAAATACTGAGAAAGCTTCAAAGCCAGTCGATCCAAA